GACCCCACGGCGCAAAATGCAGCCCACTGCCCAGCCCAGCCTGGAAACGGTGGCTGTGGGCACCAGGTAATGACGTCACGTAGCAACGCCTGGCTTCCTCTCCCTAGCAATGACTAGACTCTTTGTAGTTTCTTCAGCCCAGGAACACGACTTGCTTTATAGCCAGGTGCAAACATTTTACACTGTAACCAAATGACTGTGAAGCGTTTTCCGTGCCTCATCTCATTTGATCCTCACAGAAGTCCTGGAGTAGGTAGATAGGAGACTCAGTGGAATCCAATTTTCTTTTCATTGGCTGGAAAATGGAGATTTAGAAAGTTTAGAAACTTGACCTGACTGAAAAGAAGCAAGAAATAGTGGACCTTGAAAATGACTTCAGGTTTTCTCACTGTGCAGAATATCGTCAGACACTGCTGCAGTTAAATATTTTACCCTTTGTTCTCCCTGCATGATCTACAATAATAATCTGCTTCATGTTGATATTTACTGCTGTGTTGCTGATAATTACCTGAAAGAGAAGCTGGGGTGCTTCACTGGGCTGGAAAAAGTTTAGGTATATCAGAAAGCAGGTCTAATTAAGCAAGTTTGTTCTATGTCTATAAAAGGCTAAGTTGGCTCATGCATGTGCTATACATATAAAGCTCTCACTGACGCCAATCGCACGAGTGTGTTTTGATCTGTCATTGTCGATCATGAATTTGGTTGACACTTCTATTATAGAGAAAGGGTGAATAGCGATATTAAAATATTTCTTCTAATTAATTTCCTTTCAATGTGCACAAATCCATGTACGGGGCCTCTAGTAAGGATCTAAGTTCTTTGGTTTATCTCTTCACGTCCCCTCACCCCACATGGAGGTATGTCAGTCTGTTGCATGCCTCCCTGCTTCGGGTCTCATTTGGTTGGTCAATTCATTATGTTCATTAGATTCCACAGATAAGTGAGATCATGTGATATTTGTCCTGCTCGGATTAGCTTATTTCACTTAGCATAGTATTTCCCAGGTCCACCCGTGCTGTCCCAGACGGTAAGAGTTCCCTCTTTTTCACAGCTGCATAGTACTCCACAGTGTAAATGTCCCACAGCTTTTTTTATCCCCTTGTCTACTGGTGGGCACTGGGGCCCTCCTTCCGTTTTCTTCTCATCCTCCAGGGCTTCCATGTGTGGGGGCCTCAGGACAGTCACACTTTCCTGGCAACCAACTTCCAAATGGCAGGAAGGAGGAACTGCCAGGCTCACGATGGGCTGCGCCTGAGAACAGTTACTCCCGCCATAATCCACCGGCCAGCACAGTCCGGCGGGGCTCAAAGCGGGTAAAGCAGTTGGCTTCTCTTGCTGGGGCGCCGGCCAGGCTGTGGGAGAGCATGTGACCTGGGAGGTGCTGAAGCGGCTTTGGGAGATGCAGCTGCTGCCTGAGCTGTAGTTGTTTTGTGTTGACGTGTCCACACCGTGTGTGAGTGTGCGTGTGGCTGCTCCATCAGGTCGCTGCCGGGAGTGTGCTCCCCGTGGAAAGCGTTCAGTCAGGGCGCGGTCACCCTCTTCCTTGCTCAGGAGGTTCAACTAGATTGGAATTGCCTATTTGTCTAAAGTTCTAAGGAACTCTTTCATAAATCACCTGAATTGCTTACATTAAAAATTTAAGATTTGAACCTAGCCAAACATATGGTATACACACACACACACACACACACACACACACACACACACGCTAGAGGCCTGGTGCATGAAATTCGTGCATGGATACAGTCCCTAGGCCTGGCCTGTGATCAGGGCCATCTTCCCTGGCTGTCCGCAGCCGGCCCCACCCCCTGCCGCCACCCACCCTCGGTTCCCCATTCACCATCGGGTGATCGGAGCCTGCTGGCTGTGGGGAGGAACCAAGAGGTTGGCCGTTCCGCCCACTCACCAACCCTGTCCCCCAGCTGCCACCCACCCCCAGTTCCCTGTTTGCCTTCGGGCGATTGCAGTCTGATGACTGGGGGAAAGGACCAAGAGGTTGGCCATTCCCACCCACGTGCCGGTCCCACCCCCACCATGGGTCACCCTCTGTGTGGGGTGACCAGTGGGGCGGGGGCCTTGGCCTGGTGCTGCCCACGTCCCCTACCACCCACCCCCGGTTCCCCATTTGCCATTGGGTGATTGGAGCCTGCCGGCCGGGGAAAGGAACCAAGAGGTGGTCAGTGTACCTCATATTGACTGATCAAAAGCAGTTCTGGTTGTTCTGCTATTAGGGTCAATTTACATATTACCCTTTTATTATATAGGATATCTACTTATATAAAAACCCTGGGTGTAACATCACGGCCAGAAGTGCAACCAACTGGAAGGAAGTCAGTCCTGCAGGGGTCGTCTTGGAAACGGCTGCACCCTCCCCCAGCTGTTTCCTGGAGGGCGAGGTTTCAGGCAGGAACCCACCCTCAGGGAGAGGTTTCAGGCAGGAACCCGCCCTTGGAGTGGAGCATGGAAGTGAAATGATTTGTAATGGATCTATTACTGAAACTACCTTTGGAAATACTATATCTATAGATCAGTGGTTCTCAACCTTGGCTGCACATTAGAATCACCTGGGAATCTTTTTAAAACCCTGATTTCTGGGCCTCATCCTCCGGAAATTCTGTTTCTTTGTTACTAATGTTGTAGCCCCACCCCATAACAAAGAAACAATTTCTGGAGGATGAGGCCCAGAAATCAGGATTTTAAAAAGATTCCCAGGTGATTCTAATGTGCAGCCAAGGTTGAGAACCACTGCTATAGATAATATTAAAAATATATCTAAATGTGCAATTCTTTGTCCAAAAAATGAGCATGTTCAAAAATTAAATGAAGAAAATTTGGATATACTTGATGGAGATTTTCACACATATTTGAGTGATGATTCCATTGATTCCACAGATGATGCTGAAAAGGAAAATTTTCCCATCGAATTTCTTAATAGTATTACTCCTTTGGGAATGCTGTGTCATAAATTAAAATTGAAAGTGGGTGCAATCATCATGCTATTGAGAAATCTCAATAGTAAATGGGGTCTTTGTAATGGTACCAGATTTATTATCAAAAGATTACGACCTAACATTATCGAAGCTGAAGTATTAACAGGATCTGCAGAGGGAGCGGTTGTTCTGATTCCAAGAATTAATTTGACCCATCTGACACTGGTCTCCCATTTAAATTGATTTGACGACAGTTTCCCATGATGCCAGCATTTTTGATGATTATTAACACATTGTTTGCGGGTAGTTTTTATTGCGCACTAACAGGTGGCGTGGGCCATTTTTGCTAATTTTTTGCGCAAATGGCAACGTTCAGTAAAATTACGATAACTTTAGTTTACGTATTTATACGTTACCCGCATTCTACCGCTAGTCTATAAAAAACGTATTAATACGTGTCCCGCGCTCTACTACACTGGTAGAATGTATAAATATGTAAAACGTGTAAGCACGTTTCCCACATACAACGTGTTAATAAATCACAAGGACAAACTCTAGACAAAGTAGGCATATTCCTTCCAGAACCTGTTTTTGCACATGGTCAGTTATATGTTGCTTTCTCTCGAATTTGAAGAGCATGTGATGTTACAGTTAAAGTTCTAAATACTTCAGCACAAGGAAAATTAGTCAAGCACTCTGAAAGTGTTTTCACTCTTAATGTGGTGTACAGGGAGATATTAGAATAAGTTTAATCACTTTATCAGTCATTATTTGCATCACTGTTGTTTTTATATCATGTTTTTGTTGTTTTCATATCATGTTTTTGTTTTCATATCATGTTTTTGTCATTTTATATCATGCCTCTGTTGTTGTTATATCCTTTTGTTACTGTTTATTTATTAATACATTTATATATTATTTTCATATACATTTTACTAATTTCCTTTCATCTCTTACACTCCTATTATAGAGAAAGGGAAAATAGCAATATTAAAATATCTCTGCTAATTAATTCCCTTTTTAAAAAAAATATATATTATTGATTTTTTACAGAGAGGAAGGGAGAGGGATAGAGAGTTAGAAACATCGATCAGCTGCCTCCTGCACACTCCCCACTGGGGATGTTCCCGCAACCAAGGTACATGCCCTTGACTGGAATCAAACTTGGGACCCTTGAGTCCGCAGGCCGATGCTCTATCCACTGAGCCAAACCGGTGAGGGCAATTAATTCCCTTTTAATGTGCATGAATTTTGTGCACCGGGCTACTTGTATTTAATATTAGAAATGATGAGAAAGTCCTTCCCTCATTTGAGCACATTTGAATCTTTACCCACAGCTTCTGTGTGCTTGGTTCTGTCTTGTGTATAATTCTTGAATCCAGCTAGAATTGTGTAGATGCAGGTACAACACGCTTTTCCCCACCAGATGTCAACTCCTTGGGAGGTAACCCGTCCACTCCCGTGACTTGCCCGCAGCCTTCACTCGGTGCCATGCCATGTATATCAGTCCCGGATCTGCTTCTGGGTCTGTGTCCTCTCCTACCGACATGTAAATTCTCGCCCCGCACCATGTCTTAGTTATCACAAGTGCCCATGCCTAACAGTGTGAGGAACTGCACGTCTGATGCCCACGCAGGATGTATGCTCAGAGACCGCTGAGGACACGTGTGTAAAAATCCCACGAAGAGTTCGTTGAATGTACATTTCAGCCAGATGTTTTTGTGCTAATTATCTTTTTCTAGAAAGAAGGGGGAGTGAGTAGAGCGAATCACAGTTTTGTGCCCGAGAGCATGGCCTTCAGATCCAGAATTTGGTGCCCGGCGGCCTTTCGGAAGGAAGGCGCAGGCGGAGGCAGCCACTGCATGCATTATCCATTGACGGGCCCCGCGTCCCAGCACACGGGAGCGGGAACTAGCGGAGTTTTTCGAACTTATTGAAGAAAGCTCTCGGAGAGTGGGTCTAGTGACACTGAAGTTTCGAACCCTGTCACAGTTAACAAATTACTTAAATGTGTTCTTGAACCAAATGAACCCTTTATTTTCACTAATCTAGCTTATTTTTGTTTTCCAGATATTGTTTTGTGTTTGCTTTGGGATACCTCATAGTGTGCCAAATTACTAGAGTCTATATCTTTGATTATGGACAATATTCTGCTGATTTTTCAGGGTAAGATGAAAACTTTGATTTAGTAGCCTGTTTTTTCTTTTCTTTTCTATTCTAACATGTTGGTTAAAGGACAAAGTATAGTTGCATTTAGTGGTTCACATGAAAAGCTCTTACTAAACATTTTAGTTGAAAAGTCCGTTATGAATGTAGAAATGCCCTTGTAAACGGTCTTCTGTAGTGTCACAAAGCCATCAAGTCACCTCTCCCCTCACACTGGCGTAAGCTAGTCTAACAAGTTCACTTGTCACATGGCATCTGACATTGAAAGCGTTTCCCAATTCCAATAGAAATCCCTGCAGTCCTTTCCAGCCATTGCCAACCAGCCCCCCTGAGTCCGCATCCTTGCCCCCCCCCCCCCCCCCGTCTCTCTCTCTCTCTGCTCTCTGGGTCACTCTGCAGCTTCTGCATGCGCTCTGATGGCCTGACTTGCCTCTCAGCATCCTCGCGGCTTTCTTTGGACCAGGGTCCTGGGCGAACGCATTCCGCCTGGGTCTCCCAGAGAATGCCCTGGAGCGTGGATCTCGCTTCCTGCATTTCCCTCTCGAGCACTGTTCTCCATCCTTCTGCCCCGGGGCCCGCTGAGTGGTGGGACGAACTCAGCTTGCTCCTTCCAAGGGGGCCTCGTCCCTCTGTGGTCCTCTTTGCTGTGACAAAACCCACCGAGTGCCTGTTGAGAGATCGGCGCAGGCCAAGCCCCAAAGAGCTGACTGCGCGCCGTCCCTAAGCTGCCGGTGAGCCTCCCGGTTCTCTGTGTCAGCCGGCCAGCTCTCTCTACCGAACGGGACACGAAGACCTGCCTTTAAGTCGGTCCCGAGTCATCTGACAGGATAAGTAATGACCAAAAACCCAATTTGAGGACAACCAAAGTGCAGAAAAATGAAACAAAGCAAGTCACGGCGTCCAGGAAAAACATTGTCCAACAGCAGGAATGGACCCGAGTGTGTGACGCAGCGGGAAGTCCCCCGGGAAACAGGGAGCTGGAGAAGGGGAACGTTCTCTTCTCCTTGACGAGATTAAAAGGGATTTTGCTTTTATTAAACAGGTTTTAAAAATAGGCTCAGATGAGAGGAGATTGCATTCAAAAGAACAAGCAGAGCCACGCCAAAGCAAACCTGATTGGAGACGCTGAGTGTTAGCAGCGTGCTGAATAGAAGGAGAGGTGCCCCTGGGGTTCAGAGGAGGCGGCTCGGTGCTGCCCCCTGGCGCATGGTCCCAGGTCCCCGAGGAAATGAACGCGAGCAGGACCCTGGGTAGACTGGCCCCCGAGCATCTTAGTGAACTTGGAGAAGAGACAGTCACAGGTCGTCATACCTCAGTGGAAGGATGATGTGTGTCTCTTTAAAAGAATCAAAACCACGTAGGAAATTTAATTTTCCTGAGAACAGTGACTACTGGTCTTGCTCACCACGGTATCCTTGAAGCGTAGCACGGAGAGGCGTTGACTTACTACTTATTGAATCGGTAGTAACACTCCAGCAAAGGAACCCCGCACGGGAACGTAAACACAACCTAGGAAACCTGACACCGTGGGCAGAGCTGTGCTCTCGCAGCGGCAAATTCATCGCTTGGAACACGCACTTGTGTTATGATAAATAAGAGCGAAATTAGGCATTTTTAAAAAATCCTCACCTGAGATAAATTTTCCATTGCTTTTCAGAGCGTGAAAGAGGGATGAAGGGAGAGAGAGAGAGATCGATGTATGTAGGAAAAAAACTACATAGCATCTTAAAAATGGAAAAGCTGATATAAAACTTGGAGTACAGCGTGTAATTTTTATCGATTAGGAAAAACATTTGCCCATGATCAGTGAGCTGATATGTATTAGACGGACAGATTGGCTGAAGGGGACTGTTCTGGCAGATCTAAGCTGAAGGCCTCTCTCTCTCTCCTCTCTCGGGCACAGGAGAGAAAAGCCCCTAGAGGCAGGCTCCCCTTGATGGAACCTGCAGGCGTTTAGAAGCGCTGAGTGTGTAGTAGCAGAGAGGGTCCGCTGGGTCCTAATGAGGTCAGTGGAGCAGCCCCCCAGCGTGGGCCGCTGCAGCCCGGAGAGCTGAGTAAGTGCCCCTCTGTGGGGGGCCTGGCGCCCGGGAGCGAGAGCCCAGGGGTAAGGCCAGGCCCTGCTGAGGGCTCACCGGGCAGCTCTGTGGGGTGTCTCACGTGCACGCGGCGAGGGAGCCTTACTCTGTGCGTGGTGTGTGCACGTGTGCACGTGTGCACATGTGCGTGTGCATGGTGTGTGTGTGTGTGCGCGTGAGTGTGTCGGGAGAGGCGTAAGTGAAATGCTGGTGCAGTCGCTCTGACTGTCACAGAAGCAGGTGTTCGTGACCCACATGTGCTGTCAGGAAAGCCAGTCTCTGCTGCAGGGGACCTGCCCGCTTAGAACGCCCCTCCCCTCCCACGGGGCCTGCTATCGGGGGTCTGTCCCGCGGCCCTTGCTGTGCAGGCCGGTGCGGGCTCTGTCCAGTCCCCTTGGGGACCTTCCTGGCACCCGCTCACCACACCCCCTCGCTGACGTCCCCTCCAGCGCTTCTCGCTTCTCTCTGCCACCTGCTCCTCGCAGCCCCTCCCTAGAACCGTGTCCGCGGTGTTTATGCTCACGCCGCAGCCCCCGGCTGCCCCGGTACGGGCTGGACCAGAGGCGTGGCCTGACGCTCATTGAGAGCCGCAGGGAGTGTTCCGGGCTGCTGGGCGCCAGAGAGGAAAGAGGGGTGAGCTGGTTGCACCCCGTCCGCACCGCAGTGGGGAAGCCCGCGCTTCATTCCGGAGCTGAGTGGGGAGCGCTTTCAGGCCGGAAGCCAGGCAGGAGGGAGTGCGGCCCTTTGGCAGGAGGAATGGCAGGTCGCCACGCCGAGGAGACGGGTTTGCCTGCTGTCGAGGGGTGTGATTTAGTGCGTCTCTGCCGGGCGCGGTGCTGGGCGCCGGCGGAAAAGACTGCTAGTTCCTTACCTCACAGACGTTCTAAAGAGGAAAAGCAGACCCTAAAGCAGCCGTGTCGTTTGAGAAATGAAAAGGCTGTGGCTGTGAGAGTCCTTGGAAGGATGAGATGAGACGCGGGGCGGTGCCCGCGGGCAGAGGGCGTGCGCTCGGAGCACAGGCTGCGGTCGGAACCTCTGGGCCGGGCGAGGGAGAAGCAGTAGGGTTACAGCTGTGAGTTCGAGAGGCACAGAGTTCATTCCTGTGTTGCTATCTAGAAAGTCTTGTATTATTTTCTTACAAGCAGCTCTCACCCTCCTTTTGCCCGCCCTGCATGTGGCACCTAGCAGGAAAGTATGTCACTAAGCTGATAAAATAAATGGAATGCTATTTTATCAGTCATTTTTATTGTGTTTTAAGGTGACATGGGAATTAGAAGTTAGAACTGAAGGATATTTTATTTAGTTAGTTATTTTTACATTTTTTATTGATTTCAGCAAGGAAGGGAGAGGGGGAGAGAGAGAGAAACATCAATGAAGAGAGAGAATCATGGACGGCTGCCTCCTGCCCGCCCCCCCACTGGGGGATGGAGCCCACACCCAGGCCTGTGCCCTGACCGGGAATCGAACCGGCGACCTCTTGGCTCCTGGGTAAACGCTCAGCTGCTGAGCCACAGGGGCCGGGCTTCTCCACATGTTTAAAGGGCTAGTGGATCGTTGGTCCTGTCCGAAACGGCCATACTTGGAAAGCATCGCTGGGTTCAGACAGCCATGATGTTTATTTCTACTTTGTGGTGCACAGGATTGACGCATAACAAAGTCCCGTCGTGTCACTGGTCCGACAGCTGTGCTGTGGCTGCATTGCCAGCATAAGCCTCCCCCTCCAGCCTGGCGGTCATGGCTCTGGCGTTAGGGAGGTGGGCCAGGTAGTCGGGTCAGCGTGGACCACATCTTCATGGACGTTTTGGGCAGAACCAAACATCAGGAGCCAGGCTTCCAGGACCTGCTGGCAGGGACCAAGTGTCCCGGTGGACAGTGGCCGCTGACCAGCCTCCGGTCCGAGCAGGGGGCAGGTAGAGGAGGGCAGGGCGGGACCCGCCGGGCTGGGGTCCTTCCCGGGACCTGGAGGGGGCGGCCCGAGTCCTACCTGCAGCCCACAGGGCTTCCTGGTTTGACTGGAATCCCAAAACGATGAATACACAAGCCATGGCGACTTGTTCTCGGGCCTTCTGCCTGGCTGCCAGTGCGACAGCTGCAGGGCCAAAATGGATCCTGCTGGCTTTCCCACGTAGACTTACTTTTCCTTTCCAAGTTCTCCATCCGTTAGAGATGGGGAAATGGGGGAAATAGAGCCGTTGTCTTACTGGCAGCGTGATGTTCGTCTTCCTTCCCTGCGAGAGCGCCCGGGCCCCGCGCTGTCTCTGGGGCGTCTTTGACGGGCCACCCCCTGGGGCCTGGCTCCCAGGACGGGGAGGTGGGCAGCATCCTTCTCTCTCCCCTGTTTCCGTCCTGTTTCATTCTGCATTTCTTACCCAAACTCTTCAATGTGGTGCCCACTCCCCTTCTCCCAGCAGCTCCCTTTCTGCCTTGAGGTTTACCCCCGAGGTGACAGGCAGCTGGGATTCTGAAAAAGGGCTCGGTCAAGGCCAGGTGGCGGGCGGTCTCAGGCCTGTGCGGTCCTCTCCCTCTGGCCTCCCGTCCTCAGGCACAGTGGCCCTGCTCCACGTGACTCCCACGTGATCGAGCCTGCAGCCCTGCCCCCACGTGACCTGGTTCCGTGGACGAGCTTGTCCTGTTCGCTCTGTAAATCGAGGCCCAGGTTCCCTGCACCTCCCCAAACACAGCAGCCCCCACTTCTCTCCCCGAAGGTCTTTATTGATGTTAAAAAATATTCACGATTTCGTAGTCGTATAAGCAAAATAAACTCCTTTTCCTGTATCTTAACTATTATTTTAAATATGCCCTTTTAACGTATTCATTCTTTATTTTGTCGCAGCCCGATGATGATAATGACCCAGAAGATCACGAGCTTGGCTTATGAAATTCATGACGGTAAGAACTAGAAATTCACTCCCCATCCCTGCAAGACGCCATGTTCAGTTCATCTCTTGCTTGAGACACGACCATCACTTTCTGCTCTTGATTAGAAAGGGCTGGTGGAAAGGCAGGGAGAACAGACCCTGAACTCTGCCTACGGTTATTAAAGTCGGCGTGTTCTCTTTCAGTATTTTATCTTAATTTTGCCTTCAGTTCAGTGACAAAAGCAAAGTAAAATAGTGTGATTCCGTCATGTGACCCACATTAGGGGAAATTTAGAATATAAAGCAAATAGATACTAGTATTTGGTCTAAATAAAGTTTTACTCATTTCTGCCTCCCCTCTGTGCTGCATTTGTATTAAAATGTGAATGTTTCCCCCACCCTCTCTCCCTTATACTCACATGCACGTGTTCTTAGTATCAGAACTTACAGGTTCACATTTTCACCTTCAGCGAGTGGATCTCTTGCCGTAGGAAATGCTCAGTCGGGGCTCTGAGTCCTAAGACTGGGAGGTGGGGGGCACCCTGGGTAGGTTAGCCCTTTGCAGTGGCCTCGGGAGCTTCTCAGGTGGGTGTCAGCCCCACTGTGTGTGTCACCCATCCTGCGCCCCCTGCTGGGGAAGACCTATCAATATGTTTTTTCAAAATACATTTTTATTGATTTCAGAGAGGAAGAGGGAAAGAGAGACATCAATGATGAGAGAGAATCATGGATCAGCTGCCTCCTGCACGCCCCACACTGGGATGGAGACTGCAACCGGCATGTGCCCTGACCGGGAATTGAACCGTGACCTCCTGGTTCATAGGTTGACGCTCAACCACTGAGCCACACCCGCCGGGCTACAAATACTTTTTAAATGTGTTGTTTGCCTCTTAATTTAGTCCTCCTTTGGCCTTTAAATTGGGTTTAGGATCTAGTAGGTTGACGTGTAATCATAACATCCTTCTGTTTGGGGGGAAGGTAAGCGGGAGACGATGGTAGAGAGTCATCTCTTTCGTCAGAGTCGTGTGGGGGTGGGGAAGTCATTCCTCCCGTAGCACTGATGTTGGCCATGTAAGCCATCCAACGACAGAAACATTTTCATGCCCCTTCAGACAAGTTTGCTAGGAAACATGTTAGCTCTGGGGGATTTCTTAACTTAGTAATGATTTTCTCTAAAGAAGAGTCAAGTCAGTTCCCTGAGGTGTGCGTTCACCTCATACAGCCCTAGGCCCGCCAGGGGCTTTGACAGGCTGGAGCTTGTGTTGCAAAAGCGAGGAAGGAGCCGACTCTACCACGGCTGGGATCGTAGCGTGCATTTCGAATGAGAAAAGTGACGAGAGTGTGAGGGGGAAACACCGTTCTTTCCTTTGGAGAAATCCCGGTTGGTGAGAGCCTGTTTCTGTTTCTCAGGGATGTTTCGGAAGGACGAAGACCTCACTCCGCCGCAGAGAGACTTGGCTGTAAGGTGCGTGCCTCTTAATTGTGTCCCGCCTGCTCCCCGCTGTCTCGGCCTGGGACACACACTACTCTCCTGGCCACGGCCGACTTGTCATGCTGGAGGTACTTCCTTCATGAAAACCCAGCTTCCTCCCTCTGCACACCCCTCCACCACGTCCTGCCGGCCTCGGCGAGGCTTCCCTCCTGTGTACAGGCATCCCTTGGCGGGATCGCCACCCAGCATGCACCTCCCGGTACCACGAGGCCATCTGCCAAATTCTCCATCTCTCCCATGAGACCCCTGAAGCCAGGGAGAGCGCTGGCCCTCGTGCCTGCCCTGTAGTGATGAGCAGTCATTGCAGCGGCCCCGTGTAGGCCGATAGCTGGACGCAGGTGCTGGGCAAGATGTACTGCGTTAACACGGCGCGTGGAGGCCCTGCTTTCAGACAATGGCGACCCGGTAAGACAGTCTCATCTTTACCTGAGGAATTCGCCGGATCGACTTCTGTGTCACTGGTTATAGGCGCTCTGTTGACGAGCTTAAGGAATAGCTCACCTTTGGAAGGATCTTCCTTAAAATAATCCAATTAGAGATCAGACGCGTGTGTCCTGACAATCTAGAACAAACAGGCGCACGGCTGCCCGAGAACGAGATGACGGTGAGAGAGTAGGCAGACCCACCCCGGTGCTCGCCTTCCGTCCCGGGCGATGTCTCCTTGCATCTCCCCGCCTTTAAAATGTCCTACCGTCATAGCCTCTGCAGTTAGATTTATAGTCAGTAGATGTGCACTCGAGTGAACTCAGCGATGAGAGGTTCACTGATCCGGGTCCTGTGATCCCCGCGAGGCCTTGGTGTGTCTCGGGGGCCGCTGAGCAGCGGATTCCCAGCTCCCATCCATCTGTCTCCCACCGCCGCCTGGCAGACACCCAGCCCCGGGAAGACTCTGCTCTCCACTCTGAACTGTGGGAGGAAGCGGAGTGGAAAGACACCCCGTCTTGCTGATTGGACGCATGTTGAATTGGTCACCCCAAATTAAGAATCACGGTGCCCTTTATCACTAGTGACTTAGGCAAACTCCCTTTTTCCTATTGCAAATGCACGTCAGCAAGTCCAGTGAACGATTTCTGTGAAATCTCCCTCTTGGCTGACCTTGAATCTTACCCTCTCTAACCTGACTGACCCTTCACCTTTCCCACTGAGGCCCCCCAGCCCAGCGCCATTTCCTACAGTGTCTGCTGTAATAGCTTCCCCGCTGGGCTCCAGGCTCTCTCCCGCCATGGGCAGTCCTTTCCACCCCGAAGGCGGAGATCCTTGTTTAAATTTTTATGTTTATTTTTGTTGATTTCAGAGAGAAAGGGAGAGGGAGAGAGAGATAGAAACACCAATGATCTATGATGAGAGAGACTCACTGATCGGCTGCCTCCTGCACACTCCCTTCTGGGGATTGAGCCAAAATCTAGGCATGTGCCCGAACCCAGACCTCCTGGTTCATAGGTCGACACCCAACCACTGAGCCACACTGGCCAGGTGCCAGAGATCCTTTTAATGTGTTTTGAATTCTATCGTCCCTCCCCGGACACAAATCCTCCAGCGAATTGAGAATCGAGAATAAACTAGGAAACTTCTGACCCCCGCGCGTAAGGCCCGGAAAGCGCCAGTAGCCACCGCTCTCCCTCGCTCAGCTCAGTGCACGTCACCGCACAGGCCCCACTCTCCATCAGGATCGCGCCTCCCTTCCCTGCATCACACTCGAGCCCTGGCCGCCTGTTTCTCTCACCGGCTGTGTCATTGTCTGAGGGTCGATGTTTATTTTGATTGTTCCCCTGCCGACCCGAACGTGAGCTCCATGGGGAAGAACTTGGTCTTGTTCATCGTTCGATCCTGTCTCCTGCTTAGCAGGTCACCCCTGGGGGCGATTGTGCCCCCAGAAGACACGTGATGATGCCTGGAGACGTTTTTGTTGTCACACGTGGGGGGGGGGGGGCGGGCGGTGCTGCTGGCACGGAATGGGAGAGGCCCAGATGCTGTTGAACACCCTATGGGCTCAGGACAGTCCCCAACAACAGAGAATTACTGCCACCGACCTCAGGAATGCGGAGATAGAGGAGCGCGGCCTGGGGCCACGCTGTTCCTGTCTGGGAAATGCCGATGGAATGAAAGACGGACTCGTTTAACGTCATCAGCGAACAGAACATGATCACACTCGGTTCTCATTCCAGCAGCAGATACTAGTGGCCCGCTGCAGCCCCCGAAACGGCTTGTTTGAAATGACAGTTGAGCCAGAAATTATTCCAGCGGATTTCATGGCTCAGCGTTATCTCCCGTCCTCGCGCACAGCGATACAGTGTGACGGGTGAGACGGAGCTGCACTGGACAAGCTGGCATTGCTTCGGGTCTTGAAATAATTGGCAGCGACAATGGGGCTCTGTTGTGGACGCACAAGGCGCCCCTTTGTGAGCGCGGCTGCGGGGGGGGAGGGGGGCCGGGGCCGGAGGCCGGGAGCATGCTGCCTCCGCACACACGCAGCAGAGGGAGCTGCGGGGGAAATCTGCTGAGAGCTGTGTGCTCCCGGCAGCTGTGCGCTCTCAAGAGAAAATCCCTAAAAACACTTTGCAATGTAGACGATTGTAAGAGACCTGACAGGAGTCCGGTTAAGCGGTGGCCCAGCTGGTGGCAGGTGGGCAGGGACCTCTGTTTTCTCTCTGCTTGTTGTTTTTTGGGTTTTTTTAAAATACATTTTTATTGATTTCAGAGAGGAAGGGAGAGGGAGAGAGAGAAAAACACCAATGAGAGAGAATCATGGATCGGCTGCCTCCTGCACGCCCCACTGGGGATCGAGCCCGCAACCCGGGCCTGTGCCCTGACCGGGAATCGAACTGTGACCTCCTGGCTCATAGGTCGATGCTCAGCCCCCAAGCCACGCCGGCCGGGCCACACCGACGTCTTACACGAGCGGATGACTGACCGGCAGGAGGCCATGCTCTCTGCCAGGCCTCGTCCATTCAGGCGTGTTTTCTTGTGAAGAATCATGTAGGAACCCTGCGTGGTTGCTCCTAACGATCTGTATGCAAACTCTTTTGTTGAAAACGGCTGCGCATGAGCACACCCTGCCCTCTGGCTCTCGCCGCGGAGCGCGTGGCGTGGGAAGCCCGCTCCGGCCGGAGGCGGCAGGGCGGCGTGGGGGACGGCGGTTCTCGCTCGCGCCTGTCGGTCTCACGGCGGCCGTCTCTGACTTGCAGGCGCATGCCCAGCCTCCTGGAGTATCTGAGCTACAACTGCAACTTCATGGGCATCCTGGCCGGGCCCCTCTGCTCCTACAAGGACTACGTCACCTTCATCGAAGGCAGGTCACACCACGTGGCGCGGCCAGGCGAGGACGGCCGAGAAGCGCCCCCCTGCGGAGGAGCGGAGCCGTCCCCAACTGTGAGAGCCGGGTCTCCGGGCCGCGTCGCGCGTGCGGAGGGGTCCTGTTCATTTAAAGATACGAATGATTTCAAGTTTGGGTTTTTGTTAAATGCATTTTTTTTTTCCCAGAGAGGAAGGGAGAGGGGGAGAGAGAGAGAGAAACATCAATGATGAGAGAGAATCATGGATCGGCTGCCTCCTGCATGCCCCCCACTGGGGATCGAGCCCCCAACCTGGGCCTGTGCCCTTGACCGGAATCGAACCTGGGACCCTTCAGTCCGCAGGCCGACGCTCTATCCACTGAGCCAAACTGGTTAGGGCCGAACGTTTTCAAGTTTTGAATTGACCCATCTGTTTCTTTAAAATATTTGGCTATCCCTGGCCAGGTAGCCCAGTTGGTTAGAGCATCGTCCTGATTCATCAAGGTGCGGGTTCGTCGCTGCCAGGCAGGGCGTATGCAGGAATCAACCCTGAATGCACAATAAGCGGAACGACAAAAAATCTCCTTCTCCCCCCTTTGCCTCTTTCTTAAAAAATATATTTTGCAAGAGAAATGCGTCTTCGCCCAGGACCTGGCGGTGATGCTTGGTGGAACGAATCATGATAGAAGAGAAAGAGGTAACTCAGGAAACTGCCCGTCCCTACCTGAGAACAACGCTTTCGAGCGAGGAGTCTTCCAGGAGCCGCCCTCACTGCCCGGGGTTCCCCCTGAGGCTGCGTGTTCCAGCCAATTCCGCGTGCTTTCCCCCCCCCGCCCGGTGGCATCTCCCGCCTCTCTGAAAGCCGCCTTCCAGCAGCACCTCTTCCACAGCCCTTTCCCACCCCAGCGAGGGAAGAGCGACCGCCAGCACTTCGACAGCACGGCCCAGTGCCAGGCGCTGTCGCGGGCCCTGCGCACTTCCCCTCCCGTGCCGGTGCTCTCCTGGCCCCCGCGGGCTGTGCGGCACCTCCTGCTCTCGCTCTGCGCTGCGGGGCGCCTGGCCCGCCGGGGGGCCGCCTCCTCGTCAGGCAGGGCTGGGCTTTGTGTCCGCGGACTCTCTGCGGGATTGGCCTGGTGGGATCTGAGAGTCCCACAAGCCCGGCCGGCGTGGCTCAGGGGCTGAGCGCCGACCTAGGAATCAGGAGGTCAGGGTTCGAGTCCCGGTCAGGGCACAGGCCCGGTTTCAGGCTCCATCCCGAGTGGGGGGCGTGCAGGAGGCAGCCGATCCATGGTTCTCTCATCATTGATGTTTCTCTCTCCCTCTCCCTTCCTCTCTGAAACCAATAAAAATATATTAAAAAATAAAATGAAGATCCCAGGAGAAGAAGGTTGCTCAGAAAGTCTGTGACAGTAAAAGGGGGTGCGTGTGTTTCTCAGAACATGGGGCTTGGAGCAAAGGGTCAGCCCCCCCACCCCAAGTTATTGTAGACAGAGCGAGCGTGGAATCGTGGCCCACTGTGCAGCTCATTGCATTTTAGACCAAAAAGGGGCTTCTGTCTCCATACTTTCTGTTAGTGGCATTTTTGCTGAGAAATTCTAGATCGAACTGGGTTGAGTATCAGATTGGACATCGGTGTGTCCAGGCCTCTCCCACGGACCATTTTGTGTCTCTCGGCGGCCTCTCAGCCTCTCAGGCCTCACTGCGTAGGAGACAGTGAACAGGGTACGGGAGGGGGGGGGTTAGGCCGTGACCCCCCTTGGAGGGGGGTTAGGGGGTGACACCCCATGGAAGGGGGTGGGTTGGGGGTGACGCCCTCAGAGGGGGTGGGTTAGGGGGTGACACCCCACGGAAGGGGGTGGGTTGGGGGGTGACGCCCTCAGAGGGGGTGGGTTAGGGGTGACGCCCCACGGAGGGGGGGTCAGCGATGATGCCCGTCTCTCCGTGCAGGCGGCCGTGGTGCAGAAGCTGGTGGTCTGTGGGCTGTCCTTACTGGTCCACCTGACCATCTCGAACGCACTCCCCGTGGAGTACAACATCGACGCGCATTTTCAAGCCACAGCCTCGTGGCCGACAAAGGTTCTCTACCTGTATGTCTCTCTCTTGGCTGCCAGACCCAAATACTATTTTGCATGGACGTTAGGTGAGTAGCATGTGGACGGGCTTCCCTGTTAGTGTGCGGACGTGTGTCTTATACCTTACGCAGCCGGGGGAGTGCCCCCTGGAGGGCATAGAGGGGAAGCCGGTGAGAACAAGGAGGGTTGCTCATGTAGAAGACAGGAGCCCTATGGCTCATACCCACACCGTGAGGATGTGTCCCAGAAACGGTTCGGAGACCCTAAAATGGGACCAGGGCCCATCGTGTTAAGACGGAAATGGGAATGGCCCTGCTTTTCCTGGTTGAGAATAAGAGATGACATGTCCAATGGCAGGCCCTTCTGGGGGGCGCGGCGGGGGTGTGGGGGGGAGACACAGGTTCTTCATACCCCGCCCCCTGCTTATTCACTGCAGCCGACGCGATTAACAATGCTGCTGGCTTCGGGTTCAGAGGCTACGACAGACATGGGGAAGCTCGCTGGGACTTGATTTCCAACTTGAGGATTCAGCAAATAGAGGTTGGTACCTCACGGAGACGTTAGTTGCCATGTGACACTCAAAGAACCATAGTTTGCTTTCATAGAGTTATGAGGTGATGCCCAAGAATGGTGTCGAAGGTTTTTTTTTTTTAAAAAAAATATATTTTTATTGACTTCAGAAAGGAAGGGAAAGGGAGAGAGAGATAGAAACATCCATGATGAGACAGACGCATTCATTGACTGCCTCCTGCACGCCCCCTACTGGGGGTTGAACCCGCCACCCGGGCATGTGCCCTTGACCGGAATCGAACCCAGGACCCGTCAGTCCCCAGGCTGATGCTCTGTCCACTGAGCCACACCGGCCAGGGCGTGGTGGAGGATTTTTAATAATAATACACCTTCTCTCATCGACCCAGGACCGAGGCTCCCTCCGACGTGAGGGAAGCTCCTGGGAGAAGCTCTGCGAGGGGCTGGAGGCGGGCGGATGGTGGCAGCCCACTCCTGCGGGGGTGCCCGGCGGGGCCAGCGTTCCAGGAGCTGGGAGGGGTGGCTGCAGGGCGCGGCGCCACGGAGCGTAGCCGGGGGCCTTAGAGCACGTCCATCCTCGGGAGAGAGCCCGAGCCCTTTGCTTGAGCATCGGGACTTTCTTGGGGATAATGCCTGACCGCCCCCCCCGCCCCCCTGAATGCTCACAGGAGAAGAGGGCGAGAGCCCGCTGAGCTGGGGGGGGGGTGCCCCACGCCACACACGCTCCCTTGAGCCCCCGTCACTGAGTCAGAAGAGCGCGCGCAGGAATGACGCCAGGACACTCCCGTCCCTGCCAAGCCCCTTACCTTTAGCACAAGGCCTTGCTACCCACCTTCCGAACGTCATCCCTTCGTTGGGCCAAGAGAGACGTCGCTCTGTTTTTCAGGGGTCAACCAGCTTCAAGATGTTTCTCGATAACTGGAACATCCAGACGGCGCTGTGGCTCAAAAGGTACGTTCCCTCCCGCGCCGCCCTCCGCCCCGCGAGGTGGGGCATCGCTGAGCCGGCCCCGGGTTAGTGACCGGCGTGCGAGGGACACCTGGTGACACCGGAAGCGCTGTTCCCCCTGCGGGGCCGGGCCGGAGGCGGCTGGCCCTGACCTCCCCTCCGCCCGTGAGGGCCCCTGCCAAGGCCAGGCCAGGTCCTCCTGCTCATTCACGGGGAGCTGGCCAAACGGAACACGTGACTGTACGGGCACCGAGCATGCGCCCTAGACTTCCCAGCACCAGCCGGGGCCTTCCCACGTCGGGCCCAGGACGCAGCCCTGCAGGCCTCACTGGAGGATATTGTTTTTCCATTGATTTTTTTTTAAAGAGAATATCTTTTTATTATTGATTTCAGAGAGGAAGGGCGAGGGAGAGAGAGAGAAACATGAATGATGAGAGAGAATTATGGATCGGCTGCCTCCTGCATGTCCCACACTGGGGATCAAGCCCGCAACCTGGGCCTGTGCCCTGACCGGGAATCGAACCATGACCTCCTTGAACATAGGTTGACGCTCAGGCAATGAGCCACGCCAACTGGGCTCCGTTGATTTTAAAGAGAGTGGAAGGGAAGGGAAGGGAAGGGAAGAGAGAAGAGAGAGAGAGACACATCAATTGGTTGGTTGACTCTCCCACTCACCCCACGGGGGCCCAGGGATTGAACTTGCAACCCAGGTATGTGCCCTTGGCCGGAATCGAACCCATGACCCTTCGGTTCGTGGGCTGATGCTCTAACCACTGGGGCAGGGCTCACCGTCTTGTTGGAGACACCGCAGAGCCGTCTACACCTGCTGCTCCCGGCAGCGAGAAGGAGAGAAGGGCAGGGACCGGGCGGAGAGGCCCAGAGCGGGAGGCAGGGCTCGCGCTGACCTTGAGGACCAGCAGGAGATCGTCAGGCGGACGGGGAGGCCGGGCAGCTCAGGCGGAGGGACAGTCCCGGAAGATGACGTCAGGAAGATGCTCAGACACCCCGGGGGACAGCGCCCTGCGCTGGACTTCCCTGATGAGCCGCCTGTGCCGCCTCGGCATCCGCGCCTTGACTTTCGGATGGCCACGTGTCCCTCTCCCCGAGGTGCCCCCGTGTATTGTCACCGCTCCCGCCTGCCTTGCTGTCTCCCGGGGCCACGCAGGTTGCCAGCAGATCTGCTGCTGCTTCAGTTAAGTGTTGAGCTTGCTGCCTTAGGTGCGTCTTGTTTTCATGCGAGTTGAGTTCTCCGGGCAGCTACAAGAAACTTCTAGACCAGCGGTTCTCATCCTGTGGGTTGCGACCCCTTTGGGGGTCGAACGACCCTTTCACAGGGGTCGCCTAAGACCATCCTGCATATCAGATATTTATTTACATGACGTTCATAACAGTAGCAACATGACAGTGATGAAGTAGCAACGAACATAATGTTATGGTTGGGTCACCACATGAGGAACTGCATTTAAAGGGCCAGAAGGTTGAGAACCACTGTTCTAGAAGAAGCACCGCCCACTCCCAGGAAGACTAGCTCTCCCTGCTCAATAGGAAGGTCTGGGCTGCTCACGAGAAGGACAAACACGCCAAGTACCCGCCCTCTGATCGGGGCTGCAGTTTCCTGTGCGACTGTCCTTCCGCCCAGACACCAGGAAGGGGCTCTGAGCTCAGCTGGACCAGCAAGAGATGCAATTGCATTTCTCTCCCGAAACCTGACACTTAACAGCTGTCACGCCCCCGAGGTCACAGATGACCACGCTGTGGCCTGAGGTGACGCGTGGTTGTTTCCCGGGCCCCCTGGACCCCCTCAGGGAACACAAGAACGGCCGCTGTGGGCTTGACAAGGCTAACCTCTCTGCGGGTCCCTAGGGTGTGTTACGAACGGACCACCTGGAACCCCACCGTCCAGACGTTCGTGCTGTCCGCCATCTGGCACGGGGTGTACCCCGGCTACTACCTGACCTTCCTGACCGGGGTGCTGATGACGCTGGCAGCGCGAGCCGTAAGTGCCAGGGTTCCTTCCCTGCCCACGGCAGCCCTGGGGCCGGCCCAGTGGCGGGCGGGCGGATGGCCGAGGGCTCCCGGGGCTCCGCCTGGTGCGGCTGAGAAGCCGGCACACGGGAGGCACCCACCAGTGGGCATGGTCGTTAGAGAACTTTCTAAAGGAGCCGGGAACGTTCAGTAAGGCCAGGTGGGTGGGCTCCTTAGCCAGGTTCCCGGGAGCTGCCACCTGGGAGCCTGGTCGGGAGGGAGAGCGGGGTGCGGACGGGCCTGATTTCGCGCCAGCCATTCCCAGGCAGACGCCGTTCCGGTGCCGACGCCTGTGACAGCTGATGGGAGGAGCAGGAACGTGAAAGAAAAAAGGATGTTTAAGGTTTCACATTTCAAACCTGAAATGTCCTAGAAGCTAAAACCATTAAAACAGTGGCTCTTTGAAAACTGCTTTGTTTCCCATGGGATTTTGTTTAATCCTCACCCAAGGGTATGTTGTTTTTTTTAAATTGATTTTTGAGAGAAAGGAAGAGAGAGAGAGGGACATCACTGTGAAAGAGAAACATTGATTGGTGGCCTCCTGCATCCTGACTGGGAATTGAACCTGAAACCGTTGGGTGTACAGGACGTCGCTCCGATTAAGCGAGCCGCCGGCCAAGTGAGCGCTGGCTAGGGCAGAAGCTGCCTTTTAGAGAAGCAATTCCAGCTCCGTTAGCAAACAAACAGTGTGCGAGCCGTCATTCTCTCCAGGAGCGCTCTGTGTCCTGCACACAGGCTGAGGGGCCAGAAGAGGCTGTCTTGGGTCAGGGTTACCATGGTGACAGTGTTACACAATGAAAAGATGGAAAATAGATCCCACTTCATTTATATGCTGTCGTCTACCAAAGATGATTTAAAGAGCTCTAGGCAATGGTTGTGTGTGTGTGTGTGTGTGTGTGTGTGTGTGTTTCAAATATATTTTTATTGATTTCAGAGGTAGAGAGAGAGAGAAACATCAATGATGAGAGAGAATCATGGATCGGCTGCCTCCTGCACGCCCCCTACTGGGGATCGAGCCCACAACCTGGGCATGTGCCCTGACCGGGAATTGAACCATGACCTCCTGGTTCATAGGTTGACGCTCAACCCCTGAGCCACACCGGCTGGGCTGGGCAATGTTATTTTTAACTTAAAAATTTTATTAAGCTTTAATACAACTAAAGTCTACAGAAACGTTGCAAAGAACTCCTGTATTATGCCCTTTGCCCAGACTCACACATCTGCCGTGAGCTTCCCCACCCGTCCCCGTGTTTTCCTCGTGTGTGGACCGTGTTTCCTGAGCCTGCTTTCCCGTGGCGCCGCCCTAGACCCGCCGGCGTGTGAGCGCGGCCACCCACCTCCCGGAGCGGCTGTAGAGGGAGGCAGTGCGCTCCGACGAGCGGTTAAAAGCGAAGCCATCCTCTCGCTCCTTTATTTCAGATGAGGAATAACTTCCGACATTACTTCCTCAAGTCCCCGCAGCGGAAACTGCTGTACGACGTCGTCACCTGGGCAGCCACCCAGGTGGCCGTGAGTTACACGGTGGTGCCGTTCGTGCTGCTCTCGGTCAAGCCGTCCTTCGCGTTCTACAGGTGAGTGCTGCTCGGCAGCCCTGTCCCTGGGGGTGGCTCCGCTTGTGAAAGACGGCGCCTCGCTCTTGGGCACCACGGGAAAATGGCACCGTTGCCTCATTTCCTGCGGCTAAGTGCACTGTCAGTTACTTTAGCCTAAAAGCACACGGTCTCCGGATGCTTGGTAGCGCGTTTCCCCACTCAGCCCTCAGACGAGGGTCTGATTGGAGAACGACCAGCCGGGTAACCTCTGGGCTCTCAAAGGGCGAACCAGAAAGTGTCGCTGTTCTTTGCAAGGAATCCTTCCTTCTCTTGTTTCCTTTCATGAAAATGACATAAATTAGTCCTATTCCACTCACCTGCTTTGGTTTCACTCTGTCATGTTTCATCGGTCCTTGGTCATCGCTGTAATGTAGAAATTACTGTCTTGAATGTCATGTTTTATTTCTCTAACTCCTCCCCTTCCCCCACCCTCTCCATTAGTGATATCTTTGAGATCAAAAACTTTATTCTTTCATAAATTCTGCATTATCTTGGCATTTAGAATGACAGCACAGAATCCAGGGTCAAAAATGGTTGAATTGGATATGATGAAAACCGTACAGGAAACATTAAGAAACTCCTGCTGCTAAAGTTCCATCGTAACCACTTGTTGCATATTTTTGAATGAGATGGAACTGTTTGAATTTTCGCCTAGTTTTTCGGTTCACAATCCCTTGAACTTATATCTGTAGGAAGAGGTTAGGCCCCATTTTGGCTTATATTTCACTCGGGGAGTGAGGTTTCTAATAGTTTTGATCACGTGGCATTTCTTTATTTTGTGACAGTAACGTCCATGTTGTGTGTCTATTACTCACGTCATTAGGATGCACGTGGTTCGACTGGGGACAGTAACAAGCGGGAGAGGCCGAGCAGCAGCCGTCTGCACTGGCCCTGCCTCCTCTGCCCGCTGAGCACTGGGTCCTGTGGGCCTGAGGTTCCTGGGTGTATTTAGCCATGGCCTCCCGACCCTCACAAAGGAATGTAACAGGGTGGCTAGGCTCAGGCTTACAGCCCGCATGGCGTTCTGTGGAGCTTTATAAATACCCCGCACGCGCTGCGGGGTGTCACTCAGGGTTGGGGGCGGGGAGGGTAAGAGGACAGCATGGTCGGTAAACACACGCGGAGGGCAGGTGGTGTTTGGACAAATGTGCAGTTATGACAGATGGCTCATGATCACATGTTTCATCACTGCTTCCCCTTTTCTTTCAGCTCCTGGTCTTACTGCCTTCACATTGCCGGCCTCTTAGTATTGTTGTTCTTGCCCGTGAAAAAGACCCAGAGAGGACAGGATCCACACGAACACAGGCGGCTGTCGCGATCCAAAAAGTTTGACGAAAATTCCTGGGGACAGAATAGTTTTCCCACAACAACAAACAATGTGTGCAATCAGGGTCCAGCACAAGCCGCCAGACACCCATCGGGAGCGGAGTGACGGGAGCCGAGGGCTGTGTTCTGTATGTTAACAGCCACCGATCTTAGCACCTTCTCCAGGGGGTGGGGTTCGTTGGAAAAGAGAGTAGGTTGGGGGTGCGGGGGGGCGGGGGGGAGAATCGGACAGTTGCTGATAGGGAAGTCCCTGTGTACTCAGTGATACTCCCCCTCCCTCGCCACGTTCCCGTGGGCCACGCCTTAGAGAAGGTATTTCCGTGGTCTCAGTGGGCACTCAGGACCTCAGCGTCTGGCCGCAGGGTCCTTCCTCCGGGTGCCCTGTTGCTGAATGTACGCTGTGCACCCCGAGGCAGTGGCGAGGTGGGGAAATAACGGTGTCCATCTGACCGATGGAGGGAAATTAGCTTTTCCAAATGAATGTCTTGCCTTAAACCCTCTCTTTCCTCAAATGTCATTCCTAAATGGTCTTTTCAACTGTAACATTGTGAGAACTCGATTCCAATATTCGATGTGAAATGAGCTGTGAAGGAATTCTGGGGAAATTGGAAACAGGATATTTAAGATTGTGGATATTTTAAAAATGCAATAAACGCCTCAGTATTTGAAGGGTTTTCTTAGCGCATCACCAGTGACTACAGTGCATAGTGACTCTGTGAACAGCTCGGATGCCAAACTATAGGAAGCTCATTGCCCTGGAGAGTTTCGTTACCTCGTGTCAGTCAGCGAGCCCTTCAAGGAAGAATTTCGTAGACATAATTAAAGACCGGCAATGTGATAGTTTAAGCTTATCTTCTGGCAAACGAGAGAGGAGATGACGGGGGAAGGCAGGCGTGAGTGAAGCCCGCGCTGTGCGGCCGGCCGGGGCTGGAGCCGGGGCTGGAGCCGGGCGGCGGCAGGTCCCGGGTGCTCAGCAGAAGTGTTTTCCTTACCCGTCCGAGCTTCTGCGATACGTAAACATTGACTCACTTTTTACTGCGTTGGACTCTTAGAAGAAATTTACCAAGCATAACTTCTATCTATGTTATAGAAGGCCCGTGGCCGCAACGCCGTGATGCCCAAACGACTGGTCACCAGGAGGTGCATGGAGGACCTCTCGGGCCATCCCCCTCCCCCCACCCCACCCCCCTCCACCCCACCCCCACCCCGGGGCGCCATCAGCGTCCGAGGAGCGTGGCAGGGCAGCGGGCAGGGCCCTGATGGCAGGCTAGGCTGGGGGACCCTACACGCGCACAATTTAATAGGGTGCTGGGCCTCTAGTCGGTCTGTAAAAGGTCGTGGACATAATAGTGGTGGATTGCTCCAAGGGTTGGAAAGGGAGATCACTGAGTGAGGCTACTCTCGCCATTCACTCCCGCCTCTGCGACTGTTTAATGCATATTTGGGAGAGTTTTCGGGAAATGAAAACTGAATGCCATTGGGTCTGAGCCACATTTTTAGAGAATAATATAAAGTCTTTTCCAAATCCCTAACTTCTCATATTAAAATGTTGCTGTAATGCTTGCTAATGAGTTTTCCATTCTGTAAGTGGAAAGGTGTGCTTTTAGCTCCTGGGCCCTGAGTCTCTCCCCGAATCCCAGCCTTGTGCTTCGAAAGGTTGGGGTGGGGGGGACAAGGTGTCAGCCTGGCTCAGGGCCTCGGCCGGCCGTGGACCCCACGCAGGGCTGGGCGCCAGGCGGGCAGGAGGGGCCTTCGCACGGCACCTCTGACCAATCTCTTGTGGGATTTATTTTCTTTTTGCCTTAAATTATTTAATGAAATGCAAGTTATCTACGGCGGGCGGGTCTCTTTTATTTTTGTCATTAGTAACTTTTCAAATGACGTTCAGGACGGAACAACCATGGGGCTTCAGCGACATAGTATTTCATTGAAAGAAGACGGGGAAAGCAATGCACCTGGGACCTTTGAGGTCTTAACCAGCCAAAATACCGCTGTGTCTTTTCAGAACTTCGGGAATGCCCGAGTGTTTGTGTGAAATGTGTTCATTTTCCTGAAGGTAAATTTTCTCCCCTGATGAGGTCAGCCCTGCGCTGTCGCCTCCCAGGAAAGCGTAGGTGGCGGAGTAACTTCTCTCCGTTTTCCCCTGCGTGGCATCGAGCCGGCTGTGCAGTGTGAGAGGAGAGGCGAGAATCATCACGGGACGTAACTGCCCCCAGCTCTCTCCGTGGTCTAAGTAATGCTGCCGGGAACTGGCCTCGAGGAAGAACAAGTAAGCAAGCCTGGAGTTTAAGAGACAAGTGTAGGCATGCCCGAGAATAAAACTCCTTTTGTCCAGCCCGCCTGGCCCTTTCCAGACAATCACCGTGTGTTCCTGTTGCCAGACTGTTTTATTCTCGGCTGTGAGCTCGAGCCCTGTTACTCCTGCTCTGAGTGTAATCATAGCGCCACCCCCGGGAAGCAAGGTGGTCGCTGGATTTTCCCATCCCGTTGGAGATAAACAGACTGATCTCCGCGCCCCAAGGCCCTCCAGTTGTTGTTCTTTGGTGTGAAATGGCTTATTGGGCAGCTTTTCTCTTATTTCCGAGCCATGTATTTATTTTATTCTTTTCCCATTAAATTGATCGGAGTTAATTCTGGAGAAATTAGCATCACAAATATGTAATCCAGAAGAACCACGGAAGAAAGAATTCGGATTCTCCAGGTGACCCTTCTCCCCCAGGAGGGGACCCCTGTTCTCTGTCAGGCGCAGTGTCCGAGGGGAGTGTGCAGGGACCCGCCCCGCTCCTTCCGGCGTTTCCACCGCAGCGAGTCCGCCGCGGGCGTGGGAGCGATGCGCCGAGAGGGGCCGGCTTCCTTAGGAACCACAGGCTCGGGGTCAGTGCACAGTCACACGCTCTCCGCTTCCGTGGACAGAAGACCACTCCAGAGGTGATCCCTCAGTGCTGTATTTGTACTTTTGGTTGGCGATTACTCAGGGAAAAGGGCAGAAGTCATTCTCCTCTCTCTCATGTTCTTGGACAGGCAGTCATCTTCACTTGCTGTCTCTCCGCTTTACGAGCGGCTTCCTCTCGGTGTTTAACAGAAGCATTTTCATCGGAAGGTGGGGTAGCTGGGGAAATTCCTTTCACTCCTAAAATGTCCCGCACGGTAGAGGTTTATGTGGTTTCCCACCCGCACGGCCACCCCCTGGCCGCCACCACGCTTCGGGGTGGAAAGCGTTGTGACTGATCCCCGCCACGTGTGGCAGTCACGTACGGGTTCCCCTAGATGCTGGTTTTGAGAAGAATCTGCAGTGAGAAGGATGGTTCTGGGGGCGAAGGTGGCTCCCACTGAAGCCCCGATGGCCTTGGGGAGACCTGGGCTTTCCAGGGCTCAGTGTGAACGTGCCTGTGGCTGGTCCTGGAGCTGCGGCCAGTGTGTGTGTAAGAATGGCGGCCTGAGCAGATCTGTCAGCCCCGGGTGAGGGCGGGCTCTCCAGAGGCCGTCAGGGGCAGCGGAGGGAAGCCATTCAGCCCGTTCAGCCAGGACGCACGCCGTCTTCACCAGCCCGGCCCACTAGGATCCTTCAGATGGGACAGTCTCTCCGAAGAGCGCATCCCTTTCGCTGTCTCTGCCTTTCGTGTGTTTGTTTCTGTTCGTGCTGTTGAAGAGAGATGCTGAGACCATTTTATGCGCATTCCCCCCCTCACTGGGTGTACCGCTCTGCACCTCTCAAATATCATTTGGTTCAAAGAGATTTAAAACACGTAATTTGGGTTCTACCTTATTTTAAACGACGGAGAAATTAGAGTGTTTGCCATTAAAATAATTGCAGAATCTATACTTTAATTCGAGGGCTGGCTTGCACGTAGGACATACATTTTTCCTATTTAAAATTTTGAATATTCGTGAACAACTCTGGGTATTTATACGTTGCTGTGTGTTTCTTTATCGCAAACCGTTCAAAAGGATTCGTTCATTGGTTCTGAGAGTTCCACGTTTTGATCGGGAGAAAACCATCACTTGAGGGAATACTTGCTTCCGAACGGCGCCTCCGCTGCCGTCGGCCAGGGCCTTGTCCAGAGCTTTAGGTGTAAAGCAGTGTGTTGCGGAGTTTCAGCAGCCGCGACTCGCCCGTCCGAATTGGAAGGCATTAGACTTAGCGTAGGTGCAGCATCCTGTGTCACTGTGAAATGGGGTCTTCCCAGCCCTCTGTGCCCAGCGGCCGGCCGGCTGCACCCTGAGCTGAGGTGCTGGGGGGTCTGCTCTGCAGCCTCGCCTCGAAATGCAGGGTCCTGAAGCTGAAGGGAGAGGTTTGCCTCTGAAAGGAGAAATCCCACTCAGATGTGCATTTGAAAGCTGAGTCTGTAGGGAGTGTCCCCAGCGTTTGCCTGCAGCGCCCGCTCTCAATCTCCCTGCAGTCGCTGTTAGGAAGGGGAGGCAGAGAGCAGTTTCCCTGTCGGCTCTGCAGGCAGGCCTGGCCATCAGCGAGGCAGGAAGCTGCACGGCTCCTGTAGGAGGAGGCAGCCGGCTCCATTGTGACGGCTGGGCTGCTCCACAAGGGTTCCACCTGCTTTAAAGCGTCGCTGATTTTAGTCGGTTGTAACGCCCCGCAGACCCCAGTGACGAGCTGAGGTGCTCTCGGCCATGCACTGGGCGGCCTTCCTCACCCAGAGCCGGAGACACCTGTTTATGCTGACTGTCTGTCTCGCCTGTAGCACTGTCTTCTGTTCATACGCCTTTTATACAGCAAAGGAGCAACCCAAACACGCCCCAGCCTGTGTTCTATAAATACTGGTGAGAAGACCCAGGCAAAACCACGGTCTCGGCTCACTCCGTGACGCACGGCCACCCGCAGGCGTGTTTTGTCAGATGCTGCTGCTGTGGGAAGACGGGGACGTGTAATGAAAGACCGAACGCTACGGAGCGGCGGCAGCAGGGTGACTCACGGCTCCCGGAGTGAGGTGCTGGGGATGGAAACGGCGCCGGCCGCCTTCTCCCGGGGCCCCGTGACCTGCCGCCACGCTCTGTTCTGGGCTCACTTCTTTGAGAAATTGATGGGTTGATGTTCCTTTTCGTCCCTTCCCGTTAGAGGACAAACATGTAAAGAGTCTCCCAGGCCTTTGCAATATGCCTCTGTCCCCGTTTTCTGTGTTTCTGGTTCTGTACATGCGGACTTGTCAGCAATGTGCATTCGCTCCTGACTCGGTCCTGTGGGGAAAGGAATCGAGCATCCGACACGGACCTGACCCGGACGAGGCTTTTCCACCCATCACCTGTGTGCGCCGGCCTCTCGGAACCAGAGGGACAGACACAGGCCACGGGAAGGAGCGTGAACGCGGTTCCGGTGGAACAGGAGCGGCCCCGGGGCACAGAGGGAGGCGTGCGACTTCATTCCTGCCTTCACGAGCCGATGTGACCTTCGCCTGGCGTGCTTGACCTTGACCCTTGCTCCCCGGACAGGAGGCTCCAGCACCAGCAGCTGGGCGGGGCAGGACTCCTGTGGTTCCCTGCGTGAGCCCGGGGCGTGGTGTTCTGTGCTTTGTTTTTACGATCCCAGAACATGTTTTTAAAGGAGTGCTACTTGTCAACAGCTCCGTACGTAGCCCTCGTGTGCCGCTGGGTCGGACGCCCTGTAACATGGCGGTTCTGGTACCACTCCTTTCTGGTCTGTGTCCTCAGAGCTGGGTCTCAACCATGTTTGTAGCTTACACGTGAATGTTCTTTTCTAATGTGTGTGTCTTTGAAACGGATTAAACAGTAGTTTAAAAATGTCTGTGTGTGTGTCTGTGTGTGTGTGTGTGTGCGTGCTTTCAGCTCCGTGCGGGGCGCTGAACACCAGGCCCGCGTGAGAGGCAGCGGTCCTGCTACTGCAGCTTCCTCACCTGAGGATGGTGTTCCAAGGCAGCGGTTCTCAACCTGTGGGTCGCGACCCCTTCACAGGGGTCGCCTAAGACCACCGGAAAACACATATATAATTACATATTGTTTTTGTGATTAATCACTATGCTTTCATTATGTTCAATTTGTCACAATGAAAATCCATCCTGCACATGACGGTCCATAACAGTAGCAACATTACAGTGATGAAGTAGCAACGAAAATGATGTTATGGTTGGGGGTCACCACCACATGAACTGTATTAAAGGGTCGCGGCACTAGGAAGGTTGGGAACCACTGTTCTAGGGGAAGGGAGAGGGAGAGAGAGACAGAAACATCAATGATGTGAGAGAACCATGGATCACCTGCCTCCTGCACGCCCCCTACTGGGGAGTGAGCCCACGACAGGGGCATGTGCCCTGACCAGGCATCAAACCGTGACCTCCTGGTTCATAGGTTGACACTCAACCACTGAGCCATACTGGCTGGGCCCTTCCTTCCTTCCTTCCTTCCTTCCTTCTTCCTTCCTTCCTTCGATGGGAGAGTCTGGGCCCCAAGGAAATGTACATATAACACTCTTCTTGAGGCTAAGGACCCATGCCTTAAAAAGCGTGCAGTGACAAACAGGAAATCAACTTGCTGGGGGAAGGGTGCCCCCTGGCCCTTCCTCTCTGGAGTCAATTTAAAAAATAAAGAGTAACTGGTAACGGACACACACCTGCAGCCACCCCTCAGCATGGACAGTGCCGCTTGTTGAAAAGTAGCCAGCGCAGCCCCTCTGCTGCCTTGTCTGTCCCCAGCTCCACGGAGCCTCCTGCGGGCCCTCTGTGGCCCCTGCTGCTGACCGCTGGTGGGCTGGCCCGGCTTCTCTCCCTGGACTTGGGTGGCATTGGGCCACGCCGCCCACTCTCTCGCTGGGGGTCCTTCCTCGGCATCTGGGAACCTCTCCTCTCCTGCCTCCTCCTCCCTGCTGGGCCCGGTATTTCCCCGACTGTGACCTCCTTTCAGGGCGCAGGTAGGCCATCGACAGATAAAGTTAATGGAAATGTTCTTAACGTTCACCGAGAATAAGCAGACCGTGACCTGGGTGAGATACAGCCCGTAGAAGGAGGCCCCGGTGACCAGCACCTGACTCTGAATCACTTGTCGGGAGAAGCTGACTCAGAAGGAAGAACGAGGGGATTTTACATCAATGATCCGGTGCTGCTGACATGTGACTCCCGGAGACTGTGGCCGCGAGAGAGCCGCAGTGTCACGGTGTCCTTGGTCCACAGCGGCGCGGTGCTTTGGCACCAGGAAAGGTGTCTCCCTCCTGGCAGCTGTGCGTGACTTCCGCGGAGCCTGCGGCCCCCCGAAACCTGAAGTCCTTTTCATATGAACTGATGTGAAGTCGCTGTAACTCTTTCTCCCAACCCTGTTTCTCTCTCCACCCCCCGCCCCACTTGAACACACGGTGTCACATTTCCTTCTCCTGGTGTGCTCCTCCTCTTCCTGCCGCCGCCCCGGGGACAACGAAGCGTCCCTCTACGTGTGTTTTATGTAGAAGGAACACGCTGACCACACGGGGCAGGGACGAGACTGGCACAGGCATCACGAGAAGTGACAGGGACAACCATCATCAACTAAAGCAAAGAGAAAGGACGTTCTAGGCCAGTGATGGCAAACCTTTTGAGCTCGGCATGTCAGCATTTTGAGAAACCCTAACTTAACTCTGGTGCCGTGTCACATAGAGAAATTTTTTGATATTTGCAACCATAGTAAAACAAAGATTTATATTTTTGATATTTATTTTATATATTTAAATGCCATTCAACAAAGAAAAACCAACCAAAAAAATGAGTTCGTGTGTCACCTCTGACACGCGTGTCATAGGTTCGCCATCACTGTTCTAGGAGCATCCTGGGGGCCCTGCCCCCTTTCAATAAGGAGCTTGGTTAATAAATTTTTCAAAATATATTTTTATTGATTTCAGAGAGGAAGGGAGAGGGAGAGAGAGAGACATCAGTGATGAAGAGAATCACTGACTGGCAGGTGTGCCGGGTGGGGGAACAGCACTCGGGAGAACGGAGACGAGCTCGGCCCTGCAGGTGGGGCAAGTCAGAGGCCCCCTGTGCAGAGATGGGGTGGGAGCCAGCCGTGGGGGGGCTGCGGAGGAGGGAGTGAGGGAGCGGGGGAGCCGGTGGGCCCTCAGGGCCAGGAGTGGGGCTCCCACCTGCATTGGGGCAGGCAGGGACCCCGCTTCTGGGTTCCGAGGCAGGGATTGGCGCTGGCCTTCCTTTGCCGTATTTTGGGGACTTACCATTGCATTTAGGGCTCTGCACAAGCTTTGAGTGTGATGCTGAATATAGGGTAACCACAGCGCCCGGCCAGGGTGGCTCAGTGGTCGAGTGCCGACCTCTGGACCCGGAGGTCACTGTGGGAATCCCCAGTGCGGGGCTGCCCCTCTCTCATCACTGATGTGTCTAACTCTCTATCCCTCTCCCTTCCTCTCTGTAAAAAAATCAATAAAATATATATTTTTAAAAAGTATTAAAATAATAATAAAGTAACCACGGCAAGAAGACCGGCATCCACAGCGGGGAGAATATCGCCGGGCACAAGGACACGCCCAGGCCGCACCGGCTCCCGCACCGCCCGCCGCCTCCACCTCGGACTCGCCCCGCCCCCGGGGCGTGGCCACCTGCAGCCCCGCCCCTCCCGCCCCGCCGTCACGTGACCTGTCAGTTGTGGAGACGCAGGAAAATGGCCGCCGGGCGTGAGGCGGGCGCCGCGCTCTCTCCGCGTCCCGGCTGCTGACCCGGAGCTGCTGGGCGGCGGCGAGGCGGTCAGTGAGGCGGCGGCCTCGGGTGCGGGCGGGGCGGGCGCGGCCGGGAGCCGGGGGTCGGGCCCGCCAGTCCGCGCGGCTGCAGCGCCGGCCGGTCTGGGACTGGCGGTCTCAGGCGCGTCTCTCCGGGGCCGACGGGCGCCTCGGGGCGGGGCGGGGGGGGGGTGAGCCGGTGCCTTCTCGGGGCCTCTGCGCGCGCCTCCGGGGCCGGGCTCCCCGCTTCGCGTGGGTTCGTGGGGCTGCGAGCGGGGACGCCGGTGGGGCGGAGGCGGGAGGGATGGGGGAAGGGGGGAGAGGGAGGGGGAGAGATGGGGCTGGGGGGAGGGGAGATGGGGGAGGCGGGAGGGATGGGGCGGAGGCGGGAGGGGAGTGGGGGGAGGGGGAGAGATGGGGCTGGGGGAGAGGGAGGGGTGGGGACGGGGAGGAGGGATGGAGTTGGGGGGAGGGGTGGGGTTGAGGGGGGGTGGGGCTGGGGGTGGGGGGCCAAACTGTGCGGGAGCCGCAGGCACAGCACCTCCGCCGCCGACCTGGACGCGTGCGCGACTTATTCTAGAGACGAGGTCGAGGTCGCGGCCGGTGCTCCCGCCGGCTTCTCCTGCGGCCGGTGGGTCGCGGGGACTCAGAAACGCTGAAACCGTCGCCCGCCCGGGGCCCTGCAGCCCCCCTGCGGCCGCCAGGGGCGCTGGCTGCGGGCTGCTCCCCGGCCCCGATCCCCGGGTGTGGCCGCCTCGCCCCTCGGGCCGCGGTCCGGGCGCCCTGTGTCCGCGCTCGCACCTCCACGTCGGGGCGGGGCGCCGGGCTCTGGGGTCCAAGCGCCGCCGGGCCGGGCCGGGCCGAGCCGGGAGCAGCGCCGGGCCGTGTGTCCTTTGTTCTCCCGTCACCGGCGCGGGCGGTCATCCGAGCTGGGCATTTGGTCCCGAACAAAAGGCAGGAGTCCGTTCTCTCATAGAAGGACATCCCGGGGGAGAGGCCATGGGCCGCGGGGACTGCAAGTGACGGGGCTGGAAAGGGCGGGGAGCGGAGTCCCGGGCCTGTGTGTTGGGCACAGTTTCGACCCCTTTCACCTGACTGTGCAGTTATTTAATGACGCTGAGCCCTGGACAGCGGCGAGAATCCAGCCCCAGGTGGCCCAGCGGGAAGGGGTGAGGTCAGGGGCCGGACCAGGCGGGGGTGGGGGTGGGGGGGTCTGTGCTCTGTGCCCCGCGAAGAGGCTTTTGAAGGAGAGCGTTGAGGTGCAGCTTGGCCAGGGCTCCTGCTTGTCTGTGTTCAGATGGCGTTTCCAAGTGGCTTGTTTTTGTCCCGTCGTCGTGGTCAGAGCGATCTCCTCTGATGCTGGGGCTCTGTCCGTCCGTCCGTCCGTCCGTCGGGCCGCTTTTCTCCTCCTCGGCCCCTGGTGGTGGGCATCGTGCCGGATGTGAGGTGGCTCCTGCCTCGGGCGGTGTAGTCGAGGGGGGATGTGGACGTGGGTGAGGAGGATGGAGGGTGGGTGTGGTGTGAGTTTAGGTGTGCACGGCGTGGAGGCGTCCGGAGCAGGCACTGGCCCGTGGTGTAGAGTGAGCGGGGCCACCGGTCACCGCAGGCTCCGGGAGCAGGTGCGGGTGGAGCGGCCTGGGGGGCGGGGGTCCTGCTGTCCAGCCTGTACTGGAGGCGGGCACCTAGGAGGAGGGGCAGTAAGCAAAGGCCTGGACAGAAGAAAGGGCGGGGAGGTGGCGTGGCTGGAGCTGGAGTGTGGACGTGTGGCTGTGAGGAGGGAGCAGGTTTGGGTGGAGGAGGGGATGGGCTTGGGGCGGGAGAAGGTGAGGTGGAGGGAGGTGAGATGGGCCAGATGGTGAAGGAGTGCGTGCCCCCCACCATCACTGAGACCTGAGCTCAGGAGCCCTCGCTGCTCTGCTCGGAGCGAGGCTTTTCGGGGAATCGTGGAGTCTGAAGGACGAGGGAGGAGGCGCGGCTGGGAGACACTGTTGGGAGGTGCCTAGCCACAGCAGGTCCTTTCCCGGAAGCAGTGCCCACACGGTGTGACCTGCGATGCCCTCCCAGCCTGTGCCTGTGCCTGTGCCTGTGCCTGGAGTGGTTAGTCCCGGGCTGGCACCTGACTCCATCTGAGTAGTCAGAGCCCTTTCCTGGGGCTTTTAGGTCTGGGGGCAAATCCACACTGTCTCTGGTTCTAGAGGCGATTGGCTTGGGGCTGTTGGCAGCCATATTCCCCTTTGTGTAGACGTTGGTCTGTAATGGTAGTAGGTTAAGCCAGTGGAGAATGAGAATTCTGCTGGCATCTGAGGTCCGGGCCGCCTCTCCCACAGCGTGGTGATGGAATAAGCCAGTGCCCTGCGCGCTTCGTTCCGCTGAAGCCGGTTGAAGTGTGCGTCTTGCACTGTTCGGAGCCTTAACTCAGTGTAGATGGAAGACCCAGCACCAAGGCACCGAGAGTCTGGTCGGCTGATGTCGGGCACGGGAGGTAAATTGGAGAGAAATGGCAGCTGCTGGTCCTGGAGACGGAGGTGCTGTGTGGAGTGGGTGCGAGCGTGTTCAAGGGAGCGGAGCACCCCTGGCCACGGCAGAGGCGGGGGCAACGGGCAGCGGGCGCAGGGGCGACTTTGAGTGTGTCAGCGGGGTGGGGGGAGGAGGGAGGGGGAGGGGGGAGGGGGGGAGGTGGAGGTGGTAAAAGGGAGGGGTAGGTAGAGCCAGACCCTGGATGCCTGACTGAGGTTAGACGCGATCCTGTAAGAAGTGGGAATAAATGAAGGTGCTGGGTGTTGGTGATGACTGTTAACAAAATCTCTTACTGGTTTCCAATTATAAAAGGACCACAATCTAGAAAATTAGGAATTAAAGGTTCTAAAGAAAATAAAAATTACATTGATGTCATTTCTGTATTTAAAAAATGTAATTTTTAAAAATGTAAATTTATATAGTTGAGACGCTGTGTAGATAGTTTTCTAGGCTATTTTTTTCTCCCAGTTAATACAGCACAAGCATTTTTTCTGTCAGTACATATTCTGGAACCATTTGATGACTGCATATTTTTCCACTGTGTGGCTGTCGCATGATTTGTGGAATCCCCATCTCTAAGTTTCTTTGAACTCATGACTAAAGTTGTGTTGTATTTAAAATCTTTCTTCATGTTTCTTGTGTTTCTAGAATTGATTCTTAGAATAAAGGTACAGGATCAAATAACATAACCTTTTTTGATGATTATTTAAAAGTAAGGTATTCAGGTATACTTTACATATAATGTAATATAATTCACTTTTTAGTGCTAAGCTTTGAATTTTGGCAAAGCCATATACTTGCGTAATTACCACCACGGTGAGGATGTACGACAATCTACTCCCCAAATTCTCTTACCCACTTGTAGTCATTGCCTTCCCCACCTTTAAGCCTGACGGCGTCTGGTCTGTTTTTGCCTGTCTCATGTTCCCTTTCTAGAATGTCATCAGATGGAATCATGCAGTCAGCAGTTTCTGTCTTCTGGCCCCAAAGATAGGCTTCCGTCCCACACGAACACCACATCCACCCCACCCCAAGGCCCCCCAAAGTCTCAGCACCTTGCAGGATCAACTCAGCGCCCAAAATCCTTTCTTCAGCTTAAAAGTTCTAGTTCCCATCACCTAAACCAGGTGTGAGTGAGGCTCCGGGTCTGTCCGTCCCGTGGGCATGTCCACCTGTGAGCCTGTGAGCTAGGAAAGAAGGCGTGCGCTGTGAGGGGCGGTGCAGGGCCAGGCGGGGAGCCCGGCGCAGGCGCCGTCCAGGAGTGGGCTGGGAGAACAAACGTCGTCGCCAGGCCCGAACAATTTTATCCTCTTGGCAAAGCAAAGGTTTTAATTTAGGTGAACTCCGATTTATCAGTTTTCTTTTTAAAAAAAGCACCACGCTTTTAGTGTTATATTGAAAAACATCTTTGCTTAATCCAAAATAGTCTGTTTTCTTCTGGAAGTTTTGTGCTTTTGATGTGACATTTAGGGCAGCTTTGTGTTCGTATGTGTATTTGGGGCGGTATGAATGAGCTGAGGTCTGTTTATTTGAATGTCCAGTTGGATAAAACCAAGTTCCTACACTTTGGGGCTGACGTTCTGGCTGTGGTGGGTGGGCAGTAAGCGCGCACGTGCTGTGTCTGTGGTGGTGGTCAGTGCCACGGAGAACAGAGGGTGGGACGGGGGGGGGGGCGCTGTGGGTAAGTGACATGGGCAGCCGGGCCTGGTGAGGTGACTGGGGCTGAGGGGCGGCCGTGGGGGCCTGGTTAGTGCGGAGGCCGTGAGGGGCGCAGTGCCGTCCGCTCAAGTGAGATGGGCGAGGGGTGGTAGGGGCTGAGGTCAGAGTGGACCTCCGTGCCGCGTGGGCCGGAGTACACATGCCAGTCCGCCTTGTTGCTCGGAGGAGCCGCTGGAGGGCGGGGAGCAAGGGCGGCTGTCGTCTGACTGGGTGCTGCTCAGGTGGCTCTGCAGGCAGCGGCTCCGCAGCAGCGTCGCCGGGAGCTGGTACCACCAGGGGCCTCGCCCAGACCTGCGCAGCCTCTGAGCGGAGGGCCAGGCCTCTGCTTCACAAGGTCTCGGTCCTGGTGCGGGCGGTGGCTTCCTTCAGGAGCTCTGGGCAGCTTCGCTCTCCCATCCCCTGGTTGCCTGTGGATAGGCCGTGGGAAGGCAGAATGGAAGTAGGAAGAGCCGGGGATGTGGGTGGAGGTGCTGGCAGCTGGGACAGGCGGGGTGTGGGGTGGTGAGGGGTAACCAGGGCGAATCTGATTGCTAGGCAGAGCCCAGGGGGTTGCTCAGAGATGGGCTGCAGAGTGAGAGGGCGAGGTGAGTCGTAGGGAGGCTTTGGCCTTAGAAGGAGGAACTAGAGCTGCCTTTACTGAGGCGGGAAGACAGCGGGGGAGCAAGGGAGCACTCTCTTTCATGGGGAAGATGCGGGTGGGAGTTGGATGAGTTAGGTTGAGGGGAGTGTGAGCCTGGGAAAGACAGGAGCGGGCATTTCGCCCGCTGAGCCGGGGCGCTTTGCCTTCAGTCCTGCCCAGTGGAGGTGATCTGTACAAGCTAAGGGGCGCTGTTTTTCTAATCACACACTCTGTATATTTTATTTATTTATTTATTTATTTTTATTAATGTCAGGAAGGAAGAGAGAGAGACAGAGACATCAATGATGAGAGAGAATCATGGATCGGCTGCCTCCTGTACGGCCCCCACTGGGGATCGAGCCCGCAACCCGGGCCTGTGTCTCTGACGGGAATCAAACCTGGGACTCTTTAGTCTGCAGCTCGACGCTCTATCCACTGAGCCAAACCAGCTAGGGCAACTCTGTGTATTTTATCTCTGCTTTCCACAGGTACTGGGATAAAGGTAACTGCAGCCTCCACAAACATGTCGGTTCTGATATCACAGAGTGTGATCAATTATGTGGAGGAGGAAAATATCCCGGCCCTGAAGGCGCTTCTGGAGAAATGCAAAGACGTGGACGAGAGAAACGAGGTGAGACCGGGCGGCGCTGCTCCTCACAAGGATGTGTGATGCCCCGCGTGCAGGCAGCGTGTGTGATGCCCCGCGTGCAGGCAGCGTGTGTGATGCCCCGCGTGCAGGCAGCGTGTGTGATGCCCCGTGTGCAGGCAGCGTGTGTGGTGCCCCGCGTGCAGGCAGCGTGTGTGGTGCCCCGCGTGCAGGCAGCGTGTGTGATGCCCCGCGTGCAGGCAGCGTGTGTGATGCCCCGCGTGCAGGCAGCGTGTGTGATGCCCCGCGTGCAGGCAGCGTGTGTGATGCCCCGCGTGCAGGCAGTGTGTGTGATGCCCCGCGTGCAGGCAGCGTGTGTGATGCCCCGCGTGCAGGCAGCGTGTGTGGTGCCCCGTGTGCAGGCAGTGTACACGGGTCGAGGCGAGTGAGTAAGAAAGTATCACACCCTCGGTGATACTGACTTACAATAAGGACAATTTCTTGTAGTTAATGTACTTCCAATTCCATATTTTTGGAATGCATTTGAACTTACATAAATTATTGTGTATTGAATTGAGATTTATGATTGCCTTTTTTGCAGATGGAATAATCAATATTCAGGAAGTTTGATTACTAAAATCTAACGCGCTTCTAGGACACTTCAGAGAGCTTCTATAAATAGATTAGCCAAACAAAATTAGGACTTTGAAATATTTCCTTTAATGGAGCCCCAATTACCTTTCTGAGGTGTCCATGCCACACACCTTGGGATTTTAAAGACCCTGTATCTTTAAGAGAGAGTTAAATAGTCATGTGCTCTGTTTAATAAGACAGGGAAGTACACAGTTACCGTCTCATTATCGTAGGCATTTCTAGTCAGCAGGAGACTGGGGGTATAAGTACAATGCTGGCCTTATCTCATCATGAACAGCTGCAGCAGCTTATGGGCTAATAGGTTTTTGTATGAATTTTTAAGCAAAGGATGTACGTGTTTTATAAAACATAATAAAAATAATAACTTTGTTTCTGAAAACTGCATTTTTCATGTAGTACGATTTTTTTTGCCAGTAGATAAGCTCATGAGACGTTAGTTTAGTTTTCACGTATACACGTATGTGTATGTGTGCGAACCTTTCTCCCTTTAGTCCTGATGGTACGTGTATCATAATGTAACTGTGCTGTAGAGAGAATTTGGTTCCCATTGGTGCCCGAGGTGGTTGGTACATTGTGCTGATGGCTTTCGGAGCCTGGTGCTAATGGTATTGATAGATTGTGAACGAAATTGCAGTGCTGATAACAGGTCAGTCATGCTGTGGTAAAAGAGGTTTTGTTCTCTCTTTGACGTTTACATTGTTAGAAAATTGAAAACTTAAGACTTCCAAGGTGTTTCTAAATTCAAGAAACCCTGTAAGCAGTGCTGGCCGTCTCGCTGTGGAAAAGAGAGCGTGGTGCTAACGGCGTCTCGGTCAAGCCCAGCGCTGACTGTGTCCTTTCTGTCCCCAGTGCGGCCAGACCCCGCTGATGATCGCCGCCGAGCAGGGCAGCCTGGAGATCGTGAAGGAGCTGATCAAAAATGGAGCCAACTGCAACCTGGAGGACTTGGTAGCTCCTGAGAGGAGGCGCTCATGGCTTCTCCTTCTTTTCCTTAACTTGGCTGTTTGTTTGATGAAATGATTCTAAACGAATGGGCGGCCAGTTATACGACCAGTTACATATCAGCTTTGCCTAGTAATATGCTAAGTTAATTTTTAAAAAGGGAGAGACGTTTTCACTTTGAATGGAAGGTCTCAGCTCTTCATGTCGTTATATGTAGATGGCACTGTGAATAGGGAGCACACACATGAAATCAAATGCCTGCCTAGAAAATACCCACGTATGAGCCATGTTACCAGTTACGCCGCCTAATGCTGTCTGTTATCATCAGTGTCATTACATGGTCACAGCCAGGAAGATGCAGTGCCTCTGACTCCACTTCTGAGTGGTCGATCACTGTTCCCAGAGGCTCTCATTTCTCTTGCTGTTTCCCGGGAATTATGTTTTAGGGTTACTTACACACCTACATCTGTTTTTTTTTTCATTTTATTTTATATTTTTATTGATTTCAGAGAAGAAGGGAGAGGGAGAGAGAGAGAGAAACATCAATGATGAGAGAGAATCATGGATTGGCTGCCTCCTGCACACCCCACATTGGGGATCGAGCCCACAACCTGAGCATGTGCCCTTGACCGGATTCAAACCCAGAACCTTTCAGTCCGCAGGCTGACGCTCTATCCATTGAGGCAAACTGGCTAGGGTTACATCTGTATGCTGTTTTTTTAAATTGATTATTTTCAATTGATGATTTTTATTGAGTGGTCATTTGAATTAAATTACACTCATGAATAAAAGTTAGGATAGGATACTTGTAGCCTTTACTTAAGAAAATAAAGGAGAATAAGTGATTTCTTTATCACATCGTTTCTAAACTCATCATGGGATTGCTTTAGTTTGCCCGCCTGCAAGTGTGTTCTTAAGTCTCATTATGGTCTTTAATTTCATTTACCACGATGGCTGCTAGCACCGGATTAGCTCTGAGGTTTGCTAGTCATCGTCTCTCCTTTTTAGAAAGCCTGGGGTGTGATTAGAAGTCTGGGGAAAAGACTGACCAAGCAGTTGTGGAAGCACTTCTGCGCATGGTAGTAATGCAGGCAGACAGACCCATCCCCCCGGCTGAGGGTCAGGGTGACGTTAGAGTCGAATGGTAACTGGCAGTCTGGCGTGGTCCTTCGGCAGCACATTCACATTCCTTCAGGCTGCTTTCCCTCGTTTTGAATGTTCTTTCTGGTTTTGAAACGGTAACATAGTGTCTTGTGTTCAAGGACAACTGGACAGCGCTTATATCGGCCTCCAAAGAAGGGCACCTGCACGTGGTGGAGGAGCTGCTGAAGTGCGGGGGCAACCTGGAGCACCGCGACATGGTACGGGCGCTGCTCCCGCCCGCGGCGGGGACTGTTACCGGTGACAGGCCCCGGGGAGCTTGGGCGAGGTGACACAACGCTGTTTTGAGGATGTCATTAAATGACCCTCAGCATGTTTAAACCCAGGTGGTATAATATCTGCCTCTTTTAGAATATCCTTAGTCATCATCTCTAGTTTATTTTAGAGTTTAAAATTCTGAAATATTGTTAAAAATACTCACCACCATTTAGTATGTCAGTGTTTTAGAACTTATGAGAGAATGTTTCCTTTAAGAGGAATTTTAAGAGGGACATAGTTTCAGTTGTTTAGTCATAATTTTCAGATTAACATTTATAAACGTATCTTTAACATGTAATTGTGTTCAGACATGCCATCTATACATGATAAGCTTAACAAGATATGATTCTTAATTATCTTGGCTCTTGTTTGCTCTTGGCATCTGCTTAAAGCATTAAGGTTAAGAAAGGGATCGTTTTTGGCTTATTCTGCAAAATTTTTAGTCTTTTGGAAAGTTCATTTTAACAATGGAAGAAAGAGAGGAGGTGATCTGCCCTGATCTATGAAACAGGCATTACTTTGCTGATGATGCTTCAGGGTGTAGGTGGTCTGAGTTGTTAAGAATCTGCAGCCTCCCACCATCTTGCACTTCTGCTGGTTGCTCCTTGTTCCGGGAACAGTCCTGTGGGTCGAGGGTTGCTGTTCTCAGTGCACGTGGCTCGGGAATGAGACTGAAGGCGGGCCTGGCCCAGCTCCCTCAGCAGTGAAGCAGTCAGGCCGTTCTGAACCCGTCTGCAAGGGAGTCAGGAAGTGTAAGCACACATCGCGAATGTGCAGGGTTTAGTAAGATTTGTAACAAATGATTTCCTAAGCCCTGTAGGTTCTCCATACTTCTCATTTCCCCCAAGTAATTATCACACCTTTTAACATGTCTTTGTGTAAAGCCCCACAAATCGGGGAAACAGGACTGTGTCTCCCTTAGTGTTGGGATGGACTGGCGGTGGAGTGGCCGCTGCCGGTGAGGGAAGGCGTGGTCCTGGGACTTGGGTGAGGAGAGGCTCCCTGCGGGGGGAGTCCCCCAGGTCTGATGTCGGGCAGTCCGGTGAGGGTTCTTCTCGAGCACCTCCAGTGGTTGCCCACCCGCAGCGCTCGCTGACGGCGGTCAGTTCCAGTCTGTTCACTTGGCAAATTCAGACGTAGTTTTCTCAAGATAAGATTTTATCTCATAGAGTGGGGCATGATATTAAAACAATTCTGGGCAGGCATTTTACAGATTAAGTATTGGTGTATGTAAGACTTGACTTGATGAATGTCCAGCTCTATAACTCCTGGCCTTTTTGTGCGTGGAGACAACCAAAAATTTCATCCCGCCCCTTTTCAGGGAGGATGGACAGCTCTGATGTGGGCCTGTTACAAAGGCCGCACTGACGTGGTCGAGTTGCTGCTCTCGCATGGAGCCAATCCCAACGTCACTGGTCTGGTAAGCGTGCACCCAAGCCCACCTGCAGGCTCGGTGGCCAGTTCTTGGGGGAGGGCCGCGGCTGAGGGCACTGCAGGCTTCAGAGCGACACAGATAACCCGGATCTTACAGATCAGAATGCAGAGGGGGACTCAGCGCAGGAGCACTCATTCTCAGGCTCAGCTTGCTTCTCAATTCGTATCAACAAAAGGTGACTCCTAGAGCTTCCCTGTCAGTTACAACCGTCTACATGTCGGAAGGAGTCTGAAACCCTGTGTCCTCTGGCCGGTGTTCTGTGGGCCTGCATATCAATCTAAATTCTTTTTTTAAAAGAAAAGAGACATTTTTCTGTGTCTTACAGATGGCGATGTACTCGTTACTACTTTGTGCGAGACTTGATCTCAGATTGCAGATTAAGAAACTTTTATTGATGGCATATCATTTAATGTACACTTTAACTATCTCACAGTTGTGCCCACTACACCTCAGTAAGGTTGAAACAAAGAACTTTTATTCCAGTTCATGGAAGGGTCATGTAAGAAAAGTTTCACACCCCTACTGTCAGTCCTGCCTGTTGGCCTGATAACCCGATTAAATGAGCTGAAACTAGAATAAATGCGGCCAGGGGATGTATTTAAGGTGGAGTGCATCTCAGCTGCCAATTAGGCTAGGGTGCGGTGTGTTTTTAAAGTGAGAAGGGTCTGTAATTTGATATTAAAAATATTACTTCATATTATTCCGTTCATTACTTTTCTTAGCAAACGTGTGCTGTAGCATCTGCCTAAAGGTTTTTCTTGCCTCTCTCCCTGCCTCTCTCCCTCCCTCCCTTCTCTGTCCACCACCTGCCTGCCTGCCTGTGCGCCAGCAGTACAGTGTCTACCCCATCATCTGGGCAGCAGGCAGAGGCCACGCAGACATAGTACAGCTGCTGCTGCAGAATGGCGCCAAGGTCAACTGCTCCGACAAGGTAGGTCAGCAGGCCCCTCGGGCTCCCGTCCACGTGCTGTCACTCAGTGTCAGGGACAAGTTTCCACACCGTCTCCTGAGGCTGCGCGGACGCGGGAGGAGGTCTCTTCGTACGTTTCTAGGTGAAACAAGGGAAATGGGGCCCGTAGTGCGCGCGGAGCGGTGAGGTTTCCTACGAGAGGGCCCGGCTTTGAGAGAAAGCGGGGGACTTGCGGAGGCGGCCCGAGTGCCCCCTGCAGGGACGTGGCCGCATGTCAGGGACCCTCCCGGTGAGAGCTCCCTGCTGAGGAGGGTGCGCCTGGCTGGCGGGAGGGTGGCCTGGAGCATGTGGTCTGGAGCTCTGGGAGGAGAGAGTGCTCAGAGGAGGAGCTCAGTTACAGCGTCTCTGAAGATGTCGAAGATTGTTCATTTGTAGACTTAGGAAGGCGTCTGAGCCAGAAAAAAACGTTATGCACAAAGGAGGAGCTAGGAATTTAATTCTGGGCGAATAGAGATGTAAGAGTGAGCTGGGGAAGGGCCTCCATATTCCTTCTTCCGCCCCTAAGGTTGCTCCACGGGGTGGCCGGGACCACTGCCCTCTCTGCAGGCTCCTCCCACCGCGGGCTGGCACCTGGGCTGCTGTCAGAGGCCCTGCCCCCGGGGAGAGCCGGGCTCAGCTTATAGCTGTGGTTCCTGGGGTGTCTGATGGGACCCAGAGAGGTGCTGTCCACACAGTGGCCACCAGCCACATAGCTGCCTAGATCACATCAACTAAAATAAGATGAAATAGTTACACTGGCCCCAGCTCAGGCGCCCAGTAGCCAGAGGTGCCTGGCGCTGCGGTGCTGTGCAGACGATGGCATTTCCACGGCACAGCATCCTCGGGACGCCATCGGCAGAGGCTCATGCACCTGTGGGCTTCTCGAGCTCACAGTCCCTGTGGCAGCCCTGGCTCTGGCCACCGCGCCCCCCAAGACAGAGCACGGCTGGTTCTGCACGAGTTGTGTCTGATGCCTTTTGCATCAAATTCCAGCAGGAGGTGCTGTTGAGTGCCATCCGAGGCTGCAGCTCACCTTCCAGGGCGGAGCTGAGGTGGGGTGTGTGTCAGAGCACGGACTGAGCCAGGCTGTGGGTTCAGGGTCCAACTCCACCTCCTAATCACTAGCTTTGTGACTTTGAGCCCATCACTGCTTCTCAGGGAAAATGCGTCATGGCCACGTGTCCTCACTCGTGTGCTAGGGTTCCATGGGTTGCACGTGAAGTCGCTGGAACCGTGGTTGGCCCTTGATTGTTGCCGTTTCCCTGCAGTCACACTGCTGCACTTTAACTTGTGCTTCACAAGTCGTGGGAGCGGTGGGGCTTGTGGGAAATCAGAGTGTGTGACTTCGTGACGGGAAATTCAGTCACTGATGATAACAGGTAAAGTCGGGGAAAAGGTATTTCATGCAGCGGCTGATCACCTAACCTGGAGAAATAAAAGGGGGAAATGTGATTTAGCTACAGTTAAAATTATGAGGGTGTAGGCAGTAATCTGAGTATACTCAGTATGATGTTTATCCACGTTGTGGCGAGCGCGGGCTCCTTTCGCGCCCGCTGATACGATGGTACATGTGTGCTGCTTTCACAGTACGGAACCACCCCTCTGGTGTGGGCGGCGCGAAAGGGTCACCTGGACTGTGTGAAGCACCTCCTGGCCATGGGCGCCGACGTGGACCAAGAAGGCGCCGTACGTACCGTCCCTGTGCTCACCACCGGTAACGGGCGTGCTTGTCGTTTTCAGAGGATGTTCTCCTGTCAGCACCTGGAGAAACCGCCTGCGGTTCTCAGTGACACTTGGAGACAGGCGTCCTCTTTCTGTGACGCCGACAGTGTGTTACATGGCAGGTGTCATGTGCATCAAGTTCTGCTCTTAAGGATCCATGGCCAATGCACACAAAGTGTGTGCTAGGTGATTTATTGTTATAAACTAGATGTGCAGTTTTTTTAAGAACCTCTAAAATAAGTTTTTGAAAGTGGGGTTTCTAGATCACTGTAAAAAAGAAGAATATACTTTTAGTGAAGTATTCTGTAGTTATTATGTCATTGTTTTCAGTTTCCCCCGTAAATTTTGTTATAAACAATTCTTCGCTTGAAGTCTGAAAGGCCTTACTTTGGATCGTTGGGTTTAGAATGTGTTTGATTTGAATCACGCTACCCACTGTTTTATCCTTCACTCCCTGTGTGAGGAGGTTGCCCACTGTCGGATCATCACTGAAAGAGCTGAAGGTCACAGGGTCCTGTGGACTCGGGGGATGGATGGATTTTCAAAAATAGAAACCACGCCTCCTGGCTCTCGCGTGTTTTTGGTTATTTATGTTGACATTTTATTGTCAGAAACAACTGTGATAGGCCACCTGCTTGGAAACATCATTGTATCATGATGGCATAAATCATATTTTCTAGAATGTATTAATTTCTTGGGCTGGTTTCTGTGCTTAGAATTCAATGACTGCACTTATCGTGGCTGTAAAAGGAGGCTACACACAGTCAGTAAAGGAAATCTTGAAGAGGAATCCAAATGTGAACTTGACAGACAAGGATGGCAACACGGCGCTGATGATTGCGTCCAAGGAGGGCCACACGGAGATCGTGCAGGACCTGCTGGACGCCGGCACCTACGTGAACATCCCCGACAGGGTAGGTGCCTGCTGGTCTCCTAGTGACGGGGGTGGGAGACGACCTCGTGGCCCACCGCCTCCCTGGTTCTGTCTGCACGCGGGCCTTCTCTCAGGGGGTGTTCGTTCCTCAAAGTCCTCCCTTCAGGGAGGGGCCTCCGTGCCGCGGGATTGCCCGGAAAAGTGGTTGCATTATACGCCCTGACCTGCCGCAGAGTGTGCTCGCCCGCTGCTCACGCCCCTGTGGTCTGTCTGCAGAGTGGGGACACCGTGCTGATCGGCGCCGTCAGAGGCGGCCACGTGGAAATCGTCCGTGCGCTGCTCCAGAAGTACGCGGACATCGACATTCGAGGGCAGGTACGTGGCTGTGGGTGGTTGGCTCGGAGTGTGATGGGCTGGCAGGTTGGCTGATCACAGTGCCGTCTGCCAGCGGTAAGCCCTGATGTGCTTCACAATGCCTCTCACATCCACGGCGTTGTTAGGGAATTCCTGTGTGGATGCCAGGCTAGCTTTAGAGAGGACTTACAGTAGCTCGGGGTCTGAGTGCACCGCTGTCACTGATGGAGAAGTACACTCAGCCCTGCCGTGGGCAGCCGAGAGCGCTGAGACTGGCGTCGCTGAGTGTGCTGTGCAGATGGCATGTCTTCACCTCCTGTACGTTTCCCTCTGTCTGTCTGCTCCGCCCCTTCCCGCCGCTGCATCGCTCCTCTCCTTCCCCGTCCGCCTGCCTCTCCTGGGCACTGGTAGTGCCTGTGGGCTTTGCCAAGGCAGCCTTCGCCCAAAGGCTATTAATTTAGGTAAAACCCCTAAATTTGTGGGTTTATCCAATATTTCAGAGCTTTAGCTCATTTTGTTGTTGGACGCTCTGGTTTCCACTCAGTTTTTGCTTTATTCACTTGTATCCAAATCCATTTTTGAATCAAACTAGTAAATCTCTAGCTCCACTTCAAAGTCTATATTGACCTATTTTTGGGTTTTGAACTCGATCGGATTTTAAAGGATGTGATCAAGATTGGCCTGTGGTGGTGGTGGGGCGGGGGCGGGGTTAAGAAAGCTAAACGTGGCGGAAGCAGTCGCCTGAGGCTTGTGTAGTGCACCCTCATGCATCCCTTTGAAAAGACTGGACAGAGGGAACGCCAGGGGCCCTTGTCCATGGGGGGAGCTCAGGTCCTGAGGACTTGGAGCCCAGCGCGTGGTCCCGGAGCCTGGTCACAGCACAGAAATGCACGTGACCTGTTCTTTCTACGCCAAGTAATAGAAGCTCCCCAGGCTCCCTTCATAACAAACCCCACAAGTCGGTCTAGGGTGCGGCGAGGGTTCCGGTGTTCCCGCCACGCAGCTGTGGGTGAGCCCTCCCGTTGCTGTCGGCAGGAGGACCCTTCGTATGTATAAGAGCGTGTCCTTCTGAGGACCCTTAGTATGTGTAAGAGCGTGTTAAAGCATGCGTCCCACATGCAGCCATTGCTGTTTTTATTGACAGGACAATAAAACTGCTCTGTACTGGGCTGTTGAGAAAGGGAACGCAACCATGGTGAGAGACATCTTGCAGTGCAACCCCGACACGGAAATATGCACAAAGGTAGGCCGACCCTCCGTCCCCTCACCAGCCAGTGCCAGTCCTGCGTGCTGGACACTAGATGACACCGATGTTACTAGTAATTTCCATGTGACATTGAGGGGCACTGTGTCCTTTCAGGAGCTGTGAGCTCACAGGGAAACGGAGTGTGTCATTTCTTACGTGAGTTAAAAGCGTTCAGAAAATGCAGTGTCTGCTATTGACCAGCCGTGGACGGGTCGTCCCCAGGATTCGCTCCTGCCCGCGTTGTGTGGGATGCAGACCCCTTTCTTTACGAAGACCCCTCGAGTGGGCGTTGGTGCCCAAAGCAGCCCTGCATCCGCTTTACTCAGACCCTGTGGACTGTTCACTGGATGCGACTTCAGGGACACATCCAGCCCGTGTGTAGTAGTTTTCCGTGGGGAAGATGTATTGGGAATTTTTGAGTGAAATGGTGATAATTCTTCATGAATAACACAGTCGTGTGGAGTCAGCCATGGGACAAGCCCATTTCATCTCCAAGGACGGGACAAGCATCTTTCTAAGACAGTGATGCCAGCCTCAGTGCACAGGCCAGGGCGGTTCCCCGATCATCTTTATTTTTTTAAAAAAAACCATATTTTTATTGATTTCAGGGAGGAAGGGAAAGTTGGAGCAGTGAGGAGGCTGCCCGAGGTCACGGTGGAGCTGGGGGTGGTGGCCACAGTGTGGGCAGGGAGCTGCGGCCAGACACACCTGCTGGGGTCGTGGGCCACATCTCATGCTCGGTTGAGTGATAGCAAGTTATTTTGATACAGAAGATTGGTTGTGAAAGGAAAAGCATGTTAGTTTTTACGGCTGTGTGTCCTGGAGAACACTGAACATAGACTGGTCCAGAGGCCGCTGCCCGAATTCTTACAGATGTGTTCATGTGACCTTAGCATGTCGGAGGGAAGCTGTCAAGGTGACACACTTCCTTCTGTGCCCACAGGACGGCGAGACGCCGCTGATAAAGGCGACCAAGATGCGGAACATCGAGGTGGTGGAGCTGCTGCTGGACAAAGGGGCGAAAGTGTCTGCCGTGGACAGGGTGAGCCGGGGCAGGCAGTGGGGAGGGGCCGGCAGCTGGCCTGCGCCCTGGGCTTCGGGGGGCTGGTTGGGTGTGTGCAGGGAGGTCACCTGCTGGGACACCTGGGTGGGAGCCCCATGCCCTGCCAGCTTCCCGGTGCGGTCTCCAAAGGGGCCGGAGGAGGACGGCTCGGAGAAGACGGCATGGTGTCCCCTGGGGGAGGGGCCCCTGCACCTCGCCTGCTCCCCACTCTTCATGGTGGACGCGGCTGCAGCGGGCGGTGTGGGGAGGAGGCGGGAGCGGGTGTGCAGCGGGTGTGCACTGGCTGAGGCAGACCCTTACATTGGACATAAATGCGGTGGGAGGGTGGTTACTCACCTGGGCGGGGGGCGGCAGGAGGAGCTGCTGCTTTCCCTAGTGACTCGGGGCCGGAGGACAAGGGCCTCTCTCAGAGGCTGCGGGAGAAGCCAGTCCGGAGGGGGGCGAGGAAAGGACCGCGAGAAGACATTGCCGGGGGCGTGAGAGAGAAGTGCCCGTAACTTGGGTCTGGTGTCTGACACAGGAAGAGCTCAGATTTGCAGTCGTTTACAGCAGCGGGAGAGTAGTCCCGTGTGCACCCCTGTGACGACACGCCGCCCCCTCCCCTGCGCCTTCCGCAGAAAGGAGACACCCCTCTGCACATCGCCATCCGCGGGAGGAGCCGGAAGCTGGCGGAGCTGCTCCTGAGAAACCCCAAGGACGGCCGGCTGCTGTACCGGCCCAACAAGGCGGGCGAGACGCCCTACAACATCGACTGCAGCCACCAGAAGAGCATCTTGACTCAGATATTCGGAGCCAGTGAGTACTGCGCCTGCTCCTCCCGGGAAACAAGAGGCCGCAGCAGTTAGCGGCCGCCACTTCATGGAGACGATAAAGGCGTCACTTTGCCGGGGACAAGTGCTCCTCCCGGCGCAGCTCCTCTGCACTGCGGGGCAGCTTCTGATGACGCGCATGCAGGCGGATCAGTCAGCATGTGAGGCCTGAGCATCTCGCCTCCTTTTCTAAAAGTCTCCTGCCACCGTTCCCCCAGGCGTACCTTGTGCTGCTAATCAAAACGCCCAGTTTCCCGAGGGTGGCGCGAGCACCCACACTTCCCTGCCTGGGCCGGTGGTGTGCCCACCCAGGTCTGCCTGCGCCATCCCCACGGCTGCCTCTGTTTGTTAAAATTCTCTCTCCAAGGCTCGGGCCAGCCGCCACCTTCTCAGTGACACTTTACCTAAACACATACCAGTTTCGCCTCATTTAAATACTCAGGCGTTTGTGTTTATATTTTCTTTGTTGTTGTTGTTAGTCCTCACTTGAGGCTATTTTATTGATTTTTAGAGAGAGTGGAAGGGAGGGAGGGAGACAGAGAGAGAAACATCGATGTGAGAGAGACACACCCATTGGTTGCCTCCTGCACGTGCCCTGACCAGGGCCAGGGATGGAGCCCGCAACCCGGGCCTGTGCCCTGACCAGGAATCAAACCATGACCTCCTGGTTCATAGGTTGATGCTCAACCACTGAGCCACGCCCACCAGACTCCTCTAGTATTTTTATGGTTTTACTTTTTACATTTATTTATGTTTCAGAAATTTATTTTTGTTATACAAGGTATGAGGTATATGGAGCTATAATTCTATTTTTTAAAGTGGTTGTCTAACTTCTTACCACCACTCACCAAATCATTCTTTCCCGCTGATTTGAAGTGTTTATGTTAGTTCCTGGGTGAGTTCTGTGATGTTTTAGCTGTAGCTTTATGGACACCTGCTTTTGGTGTCTTTAAATTGTTTCTTAGCTACTTTCACATGTCTTTGCTTTTCAGTTTTTAAAATCTTCTCATGGATTTTGATTGGAATTGCCTTAAAGTGATAGATTGATTTGGGGAGAATTGATGTCTGTGAGTCATTGAGCCTTTCTGCCTGGAACCATCGAGTGTCTCTTTTCTCTGAGTCGGTGTGGTCTTCGGTAGTGCTGTGTCGCTTTCTGTGTGTACTGTCACACATCATATTGTTCCCGAATGCACCCTGCTCCGCATTCAGCATCGCAGATCAGAACGCGCCTCCATTGGCGGGTAGACAGCACCACGCCGCAATTGGCAGCATTTTTCTCTCTTGGTTGTACATGATCATGGTGCGTCCTACACTCAGTAGGTGTCTTGAGGTCTATAAAATGTGGTATTAACTTAAGAGGATCAGAACCTGTTTTACACATTTAAGTTTTTTCTAATTCAATAAACAATAGATACAAATGGATTTTTCCTTCTAGTGCAGCCGTGGTCAAATTACGGCCCGTTTGAAATGAATAAAACTAAAAAAAAAAAGACTGTACCCTTTTATGTAATGATGTTTACTTTGAATTTATATTAGTTCACACAAACACTCCATCCATGCTTTTGTTCCAGCCCTCCGGTCCAGTTTAAGAACCCATTGTGGCCCTCGAGTCAAAAAGTTTGCCTAGCCCTGTTCTAGTGTCTCTCTCTCACATAAGGCCCGTTTATAATTACAGGACACTTGTCTCCCACGGAGACGGACGGCGACATGCTGGGCTACGACCTGTACAGCAGCGCCCTGGCGGACATCCTCAGCGAGCCGACCATGCAGCCGCCCATCTGCGTGGGGCTGTACGCGCAGTGGGGCAGCGGCAAGTCCTTCCTCCTCAAGAAGCTGGAGGGTCCGTACACAGCGAGGGCTTTGCTGGTGGTTTTAGTTTTTGCAAAGAAAAGAAAAACCGAGTTTTACTTGGGGATACATGTGGAGTTTGGTAGAAAGAATGAGTTATTTAAGCTCATTTGGGCTCAACACACCTTTGAGAACTGCGCTTCTCAGATGTGATTGGAAGGAGGGGTGAGGCGCAGTTTCAGAGAGGAGTGAATGGAGGCGTCACTAGTGAAGACACGTAGCGAAGTATGAGTGGTTTTCCCGTTCACCTACGGCAACACCTTGTTGCTTGTATAATACAAACCACAAAAAACCATCAATACCACCTTGCCGGAGGAAGTGCCCGACAGGGATTGGTGCACCTCCACAGGAAGCGGGGTGCCGGCTGGAGCCTGGGAGTGGGACTTTATGTTGATCCAAAGAGAACATTGGTTAAGTGGCTAAGTAGCAACATTTTATTGAGGGCCTTAGTAAGTGCCCCATAATGTTTATATTCAACTAGAGGCCTGGTGCATGAAATTCGTGCATGGGTGGGGTCCCTAGGCAGGCCGGCGATCAGGGCCGATCAGGTTCCCTGCCTCTCCCCTTCCTCCGCCCATTTCCACCGCCACCCACTGCCAGTTCCCTGTCCCAGCCTGGGGCCTAGCCCCGACTGGGCGATTGGGGCCTGCTGGCCGGTGGTAGGGGCCGACCACCAGCTTGGCGGGCAGGTGATGGGCTGATTAAGGGGAGGGACTGGGAAGTTGGCTGCCGGCCCTGAGGAGGGAGCTGGCCATCGGCGCTCCTGGGAAAGGGGCTGCATCTGCTGCCACCCACCCCCGGGGGCCTGGCAGAGGGAGGGACCAGAGGGTTGGCCTGCAGGCTCCATCGGCAATTGGGGCCTGTGGGCCGGGGGCAGCTCTTGCACTGAGCATCTGCCCCCTGGTGGTCAGTGCGCGTCATAGCGACCAGTTCTGCCTCACTGGTCGCTCAGGTTTCTGTATATATGGATGTGAAGTTAGGAGTTGGTTCTTGAAGCAGGAATACGCTTTCTGCTCCCTCCCCAGATGAAATGAAGACCTTCGCGGGGCAGCAGACCGAGCCCCTCTTCCAGTTCTCCTGGCTGGTCGTGTTCCTGACGCTGCTGCTCTGCGGGGGCCTGGGCCTGCTGGTCGCCTTCACGGTCGACCTGACCCTCGGAGTGGCCGTGTCGCTGAGCTGCCTGGCGCTCCTGTACATATTCTTCAGTAAGTCCTCGCTGCTGCTGTTGGCAGCGACGTGGAGACGTCAGGACTCTTGTACCTAAAACATCGCCTGCACCTCTCTCCCAAGACCTTGAAGTGAATTTCATAAATCACTTAGAAAATGGGTCTTTTTGCTGCTTTGTAAATTGGCCTAGCCCAGTGGTTCTAACCTTCTGGCCCTTTAAATACAGTTCCTCACGTTGTGACCCAACCATAAAATTATTTTCGTTGCTACTTCATAACTGTCATGTTGCTACTGTTATGAATCGTAATGTAAATATCTGATATGCAGGATGGTCTGAGGTGACTCCTGTAAAAGGGTCGTTCGACTGCCAAAGAGGTCGCGACCCACAGGTTGAGAACCACTGGCCTAGAGGAACATGCCCACAGCCTGGCAGGAGCAGCTTTGAAAACGAGAGTCTGCTTGTCAGTAGTGAAGCAGAACCCTAGTTTACTGCGCTCACCCACGTGTATCTTTGTTAGCGCTTTGTATTTAAATCTTGTTTTGAAAATAAGTCTTCATAGTATCACTGGCATGTTCTTGAGCGTTTTGATCATGGTTGTAATTTTTATATAAAAGCAAAGAAAAAATATAAAACCCATGTCCTTGGGGTGTCTGCAGTTGTAAGAAAGGAAACAGTGACAAACCCCACATTATTTGCTCTGGGATCTGAGCGAGCCATGCTTCTGTGGAAGGTATCGTCTTGCTTACGTCATGTTTCAGCTGTTAACGTTCCCTGCTCATGCCTCCTGTGTGTGGCGGACGCTCATGCATGGAGGAGCGGGGGTGGGGGGGGTGGGGGTGGGGGTGGGGGAGAGGTGGCAGAAAGTGGCAGGACCAGGAAGAGCTGCGTGGGCCTGCCGTCATCCTTGCTGTCTGGCTGCTGGGAGGAGGGGCTGCCTGACCCTGGGGGTGTGGCCATTATTTAACTCTGTGTTTCAGCCGTCATTTACTTTGGTGGCCGGAGGGAAGGAGAGAGCTGGAACTGGGCCTGGGTGCTGAGCACCAGGCTGGCCAGGCACATCGGGTACTTGGAGCTGCTCCTCAAGCTGATGTTTGTGAACCCGCCCGAGCTGCCCGAGCAGACCACGAAGGCTTTGCCCGTGAGGTGAGTCGGTCCCTGCGACAGTGACTTAACACGACGAGGCCCAATCCAGTTTGTAATGCACCATTCTCAGTGCCCGCTTCAGAAACTTTTACAGGAGAAGTAAAACCAACAGCCGCCTGGTCAAGGGCACTGGGAAGCACTCCGTGTCCATCTCCTCCCGCACATCAGAGGTCAGAGAACCTCCCTATGAAGAATCTGTTTCACTTGGATTTGCAGATTTTATCTATGTGCCCGCCCCCTCTCCTGTGACACCTACTGCCGTCCGTGCGACACTTGTGGACAGAGCATGGCCCTGGGCTGGGTCCTGGCACCTCCTGTGCTGGCTGTGACTGGGCAGCTCGCTGTGCTCCGCTGCCCGTCCGCACCTGTGGGCACGTGCTACCTGCCTGCCTGACATTATCAGTAATGTCACGTGGGAAACGTCTGGGGAGACATGCAGGAGGGTGAGAACAGGCGTGAGGGGGCACAGGTGCGAGGGGGCACAGGCACGGGGCAGGGCTGCGGGGGAAGCAGTGGAAATAGCTGAAGCAGGAGGAAGTCAGTGGAAATGAGCACGAGAATTCCACATGCACTGAAAGGAAGAAGTCACAGTGACTAAGGTAAAACGTGCAATTGTAGATGAAAGCAGAGGCCACACCACACAAACTGTGGCAGCTGTCACATGAGAAGAAGGAAGACATAAGCCTGCAGGAAAGAGAGTCAGTGTTAAGACAAGGATTTAAACATAAAAAGTTGAAAAGAAAACTTACAGAGTAGAATAAAGTAATTGGGGAAATATTTTTACAGGAAAGGACACATTTTAAACTAACAAGATGGTATCACTTTAAAAAGAGAGGTCACTTCACACAGCCTCAGTGGAGAGCAGAGTGCAGTGCGGGCAGTGGGGCCACAGACGGCGTGAAAGCCGGGCTTGTCTGCTGACGGGGGAGAGCTCGCTCAGGGAGGGAGGGAGGGGAATCGTGCGGACATACTGTTCACCCAGGAATTCAAATGTAAGCAATTCCGTTACTTCAAAGAGCAACTCGAATAGAATATTCTATGACTTATTTTTAAGTCTCTGGTCGAGGTTTAAGCTATAAATGAAATAGTCTAGAGCAGTGGTTCTCAACCTTCTGGTCCTTTAAATACAGTTCCTCATGCTGTGACCCAACCATAAAATTATGTTCGTTGCTACTTCATCACTGTAATGTTGCTACGGTTATGAATCGTCATGTAAATATCTGATATGCAGGATGGTCTTAGGCGACCCCTGTGAAAGGGTCGTTTGACTGCCAAAGGGGTCGCGACCCACAGGGTGAGAACCCCTGGTCTAGAGCCTGAGTTTTTATTTACTTTTATTTTTTTTAATATATATTTTTATTGATTTCAGAGAGAAAGGGAGAGGGGAGATAGAAACATCAATGATGAGAGAGAATCATTGATTGGCTGCCTCCTGCACGCCCCCCACTGGGAATCGAGCCCGCAACCCAGGCATGTGCCCTTGACTGGAATCGAACCTGGAGCCCTTCAGTCCACAGACCAATGCTCTATCCGCTGAGCCAAACCAGCTAGGGCTAGAGCCTGAGTTTTTAAATGGCATTAAATGCTCAGTGAGTAGGTCGTGTCCTCTGGTTCTAATCGCCCAGTTGGTGCTTAGGAACCTTCCCGAAGTGCCGCTCTGTACCCTCATGTGGTGCCGCCTTCTCGTCGCCTCGTGAGACCTGCCGCGGGCGGCCCGCTGGGCCCTCACGGCCTCTCCCCTCCGCCTTCAGTCGGAGCTGCTCTGTCCCTTGGCTGCGTGCGGCTTGTTCATGGTCTTTCCACAGAGACGTGTGTAGGGTGTTCGAAGCAGAAGATGCCTGACTTCGAGTTCTTTTCCCTCCTTCACTTTAAAAACAGTCTTCTGAAAGAGACACAGACAGGCAGGGGCCTGACACAGGCGATGCACAGGGGCTTCTGGGAGAGCTGAGGCCGTTTTCTCCCGCAGGTTCCTGTTCACGGATTACAACCGCCTGTCCAGCGTCGGCGGGGAGACGTCCATGGCCGAGATGATCGCCACCCTCTCGGACGCCTGCGAGCGCGAGTTTGGCTTCTTGGCCACCAGGCTCTTCCGAGTGTTCAAGACGGAGGACTCGCAGGGTAGGGCCTGCTCCCTGCTGGTGCTGTGTGTGTTTGTGTGTGTATGTGAGTGTGTGTGTGTGTGTGTGTGTGTGTGCTGTGTGTGTGTGTGCTGTGTGTGTGTGCTGTGTGTATGTGTGTGTGTGTGTGCTGTGTGTGTGTGTGCTGTGTGTGCTGTGTGTGCTGTGTGTGTGTGCTGTGTCTGTGTGTGTGTGGTGTGTGTGTGTGCTGTGCTGTGTGTGTATGTGCTGTGTGTGTGTGTGCTGTGTGTGTGTGCTGTGTGTGTGTGTGTGTGTGTGTCCAGCACGCGATGCAACGAGGGGACATCGGGTCGGCCTCGGCCTCCCGTGCTGCGGGGGATGCTCTGCATCTTGGCATGAGTGTCAGTGAGACTATCGTCCTGCAGGGAAGAGGAAGTGGAAGAAGACGTGCTGCCTCCCGTCCTTTGTCATCTTCCTGTTCGTGCTGGGCTGCGTGGTTGCGGGCGTCACGCTCCTGGCCGTCTTCCGCGTGGACCCGAAGCACCTGACCGTGAACGCCGTCCTCATCGCCATCGCGGCGGTCGTGGGGCTGGCCGTGGTGCTCAACTGCCGCACCTGGTGGCAGGTGCTCGACTCGCTCCTCAACTCCCAGCGGAAGCGCCTGCACAGCGCGGCCTCCAGGCTGCACAAGCTGAAGAGCGAAGGCTTCATGAAGGTGCGCGCGCGCTCGCTTGCTCGTGGCGCCTGGGGCCCTGCCGCGGGGCTGGAGGACGGTGCTTGCGGGGCGCCCGGGGCCCTGCCGCGGGCTCGCTCTCAGAGCGCCGTGGTGGCTTCAGTTTCAGCCCAGGTTTCTCCTGTGGAAATGCACATTGAGTGGGAAAAGTTAGAACAGGAGCATCTTTTTATAAAATAGACTTTTATAAGAGACGCAGAGGAGCTAGCGAAAGGGGTCCTTCACGGTGCGATTCCTGCCTAGTGGCGTGGGCCCTCGGGGCCTGGGCCCGGCAGAGCAGAGGGACTGAGGACAACGTCCTTGAACTGACGGCCACGTCCCATCAGGAGCCGCAGGGTTGGGTCACTTAATTTCCATTCAGGTCTCAGACTGGTGACCTTCAGAGAAGGGGATCTTGGAAAGAAGCCACTCAGCCCAATTGAGTAACTTTTTCGAAGGCCATGACGGGTGTCCCTCCTTGTGGGGGGAACTGCTGTCGGTGTGAAGCCGCTGTCCCTCGTGGAGCCCCCCTTGGGGTCGGGCGGGACCGTGGCGGCAGGAAGGCCGGGAGTGTCCTCGTCAGTGGCTTCTGTGAGGCTCAGAATGCGCCGCCCTCAGTGCGTCTGTCTTTCTCTCGCGCGCAGGTTCTCAAGTGCGAGGTGGAGCTGATGGCCAGGATGGCCAAGACCATCGACAGCTTCACGCAGAACCAGACACGGCTGGTGGTCATCATCGACGGGCTGGACGCCTGCGAGCAGGACAAAGTGCTGCAGATGCTGGACACGGTGTGCCCACCGCCCGCGGGGCTTGTCACGCTGGGGGGTGGCTGCGGGCACAGCTCGTGGGGCGTTGGGATTGCACTTTTCTTTCGTAGAAGTAATCATCTTTATGTAGAAACGTAGCGAGAGTGAGCGTTCGTAGACAGGTGCAGAGAGCGTGCACGTGCTGGCGAGTGAGAGGAAGTGAGGGGAGGCTCGCGGTCCCGCGTGCCCCAGCGTCTGCGGACGGTCTGGTGCAGCTGAGAGCAGCAGGGCACATGGGTCGCCGTGTTTTGCTAAAGCCCCCCGCGTGCCTCTCCGTGAGGTGTGTGCTGAGCAGCAGCATGTGACAGCAGAGACCAGTGTGCCGTGCCTCTCGCATGTTCCCGAGGGCCTCTCCCGAGGGCTGGCCTCCCCTCTCCTGTCGACCGCCAGCGCCCCAGATGGGACGGGAGGACTTGTTTTCTCCCGAGACCGTCACCGTCACCTGGTGCAGTGTCAGATGGTGCAGAACCAGGTGGAGGCTTCAGTGGCAGCTGTGTTCAGATAGAATAATATTGGATGAAAAACAGTTTTAAGAAATACCCAGTCACCAAAGGCTGCACGGGTCTGGGAGGGGGTTTCGGAAACGCTGGGCGGTTGAAAGCTGCACCGCGAACGCACGTCCCGCCCGCAGGTCCGCGTGCTGTTCTCCAAAGGGCCGTTCATCGCCATCTTCGCGAGCGACCCGCACATCATCATCAAGGCCATCAACCAGAACCTCAACAGCGTGCTGCGCGACTCCAACATCAACGGCCACGACTACATGCGCAACATCGTGCACCTGCCCGTGTTCCTCAACAGCCGCGGGCTGAGCAGCGCCAAGAAGTACCTCGTGGCCTCCACCACCAACGGGGACATCCCCTGCCCGGACGCCGCAGGTGCCGGCCAGCCCCTGGGCGTGGGCGCAGTCCTGTGCGTGTGGCTCACCTTCACCTGGCAGGGCGGTGGGCGTGGGCACAGTCCTGTGTGTGTGGCTCACCTTCACCTGGCAGGGCGGTGGGCGCGTGGGCGCAGTCCTGTGCGTGTGGCTCGCCTTCACCTGGCAGGGCGGTGGGTGCGTGGGCGCAGTCCTGTGTGTGTGGCTCACCTTCACCTGGCAGGGCGGTGGGTGCAGTCCTGTGCGTGTGGCTTACCTTCACCTTGAAGGCTGCAGGCGGGCTTCTTCCCTTGAGCTGTCCCGCAGCAGAAGGCTGTGCTAACGGTGCTCTTGGTAAATTCTCTAAGGGACACAGGACGACGCCGACAGAAGAGTCTCACAGATCAGCCTTGGAGATATGACAAAGTTTGGCAGCAAGACAGCCCTCAATAGACGGGTAAGATGCCGTCTCTTTTGAGCCCCATGTTTGTGTTGCTGTTACTCAAATAAAGCTGAGCTGATGGCACTAAATCATCTTTTGTAAATAGTGCACCAAGCTCGGCCAATGCATTTTCTCACTGGACTCCTTCCTGCGTCAGTGGCTTTGCGGGCATGTCTGACCCTACAGCCACAGTGACTCACGCAGGAGCCCCTGTCCCTCCCAGCCGGTCCTCAGGCCACACGCCGCTCCAGACCCAGACCCAGTGAGCCCCACGGTGTTGCCCAGTGCCCGTGGCCACCACAGCTGTGAGGGGAGGGAGGCCTTCCTCCTCCCCCGGGTGCTGTGCCCACCGTGGGTCTCCCGACCCTCTGCCCACTCCCAGACCGCTCTCCGTGTGGAGCAGGGAGCGCACCAGGCCAGGAAGCGGCCCGGTGCAGGCCGCCATGGCCACAGAGCGCTGAGGACGGCCAGGTGGGCTGGCGCTGACTGGCACTGTTTTATGTGGTTTTTTGTTTGGTTTTAAGATTGTTACATTAAATTTGGATCTTTGGCATTTAAAAATGTCTTCAGTGACATTTTGACGTTCTGATTTTATGCCTCTACCCTGTGCAAATACGGATGCCAATTAATGTGATGAGTGGCCGCTGACGCTAAGTCAGGAGCAGGGTGTGACCTCCCGTGCCGAGTATCTGCCCTGGGACATGCTGAACCTTAAAGCCCCGCAAGGAGTTAGGCTGCGTCACCTCAGGGCTCCTGTGAGCAGCTGACTTCTCCGTGCGGAGTTCTGCTCGCGTGTGATCTCCCAGGCCCCGAGCTCGCTCGGCCGCAGGGCTAGGAAGCTCATTCCCTCTCAGCGCGCCAGGGCCTGGGACCCCTGCGGCCGTGTTTCCAAGGCCTGAGCCCTGCCTCGGAGTCAGGTGGCTCTTGGCGGGTGCGATTCCGCCCTGGGCCTGCAGGGCGAGGCTTGTTGCTGTCGCAGGAGCCGTCCCCGGCCTGTGGGTGACGCTCGCGCCTGCTCCTCAGGACACGTACCGCCGGCGGCAGATGCAGCGGACCATCACGCGGCAGATGTCCTTCGACCTGACGAAGCTGCTGGTGACGGAGGACTGGTTCAGTGACATCAGCCCGCAGACCATGCGGAGGCTCCTCAATATTGTGTCCGTGACAGGTACCTGTCTCCTGTCTCACGGCCCACCAGCCTGCACGTGCCGGAGCAGCTCAGTTTCGGGAGCAGAGGGGTGTCCTGTGCTTGGGCGTTTGCGTTGCTGAAGGCGTGATATTTGCTTTCAGGGTGTTTAGTAAAACCAAAGTGAGTTCTGCCAACAAAAATCAGCCATCAGTGTGCACTGTTATTTCAAAACGTGACAAGTTACAGAGGCCTCTGATTTCCTCTCAGGTTTAATTGAGTGGAAAGCAAAGGCCCTGTCCCTGGCCCAGCGACCAGAACCCCTTTCCAAGGAAGAGGGGCCCAGCCACGGTGCTGTAGTGTCGCGTGGCCGGGCAGACAGGCCGAGGGGTGAGGCAGGAAGAGCTGGGTGGGGGTCTGTATAGTAGTTGTAGAGGAGGGAGAATTCATCTGAGCCAGAACAACTGGATATAAACTGATAATGATCAAGTTAAACGGATAATGTTCAAAATGAAAAAGCAAAAATATCTGCGGTTCAGAATCCCAACAAAATCAGGGATAAAATGATGAGGCAGCGAAACAAGGCATGAGTTCTAAAAGATTGAGGATTGCAGCTGCCCACCTGTAAGCTCTCCCCGTGCGGAATGTGAGCGGGGTTCCCAGAGAAGCCCGGGTAGACAGGGTTAGGGAAAAGAGCGAGTCCTGGGAACACATCATAACCACCTGGTTGGTCATTCCCAGAGGCACCTCAGTCCTAGAAATGAAAGGGGCTCGCACACTCACCCACACGGGAGCGAGAGTGGGCCGGCACGGCTGGTTTGCTCAAGGCCAGCAGCGGGCTCTTGCACTGCTTGGAGGATGGGCCGTCGCAGGAGCAGCAGCTGCTCTGCTTGTGGTGGGGGCAGTGCCCAGACTGTCCTCCCTGACACAGTTCTGAAAGACCTGCTGCTGGGTGTGGTCAGGGCAGCAGCCGTGGGAAATCACACAGAAACCACCTTAGAATTCAACAGAGTTGGGTGTCATTCTAGGAGCTTTCCAGTAGAGCTCTTTGGATTGTAGAAGCCGTATATACACACATATATATGGCTTCTACAATATATATATTTCTGTATAGACACACACCAGAGGCCCTTGGCTGGCCTGCGGGGATCGGGCCGAAACCAGCTCTCCGACATCCCCTGAGGGGTCCCAGATTGTGAGAGGGCGGTTCTCGGGTGACACCCTGGAATCGGGCTCCCTCCTCTCTGGTTCCGGGTGCGTCGCCTGAGAACCACAGCTGCCAACTCACTGTAGCTGCCAAGTCACCGCAGCTCGGCAGCTCCTGCATTGAGCGTCTGCCTCCTGGTGGTCAGTGCGTGTCATAGCGACCAGTCAAACGGTCAGTCGCTTAGGCTTCCATATAGAGAGATTCACATTTAGTTAGTTTGAATATGTTGTGTAAATTAAATGGCAAATTTTAAAGATTTGGGGACATTAAATGATTTGTGACTATGCTCAAAGTTTTGCTTAGCATAACATCACACGTCTGTTAATTCACAAATGTTCTTGCGCTCCTTAAAGGGCGGCTGCTGAGAGCCAATCAGATTAGTTTTAACTGGGACCGCCTTGCCAGCTGGATCAACCTCACAGAGCAGTGGCCGTACCGCACGTCCTGGCTCATCCTGTACCTGGAGGAGACGGAAGGGATTCCGGATCAGATGACGCTGAAAACCATCTATGAAAGGTACTGAATCTCTTTATGTTTAACTTGGTTTTACATCGAATTGACTTTTCAGGAAAAAGTTAATGCATATAAAGCAAAATGAATACAAAACATGTATAAAATGGACGCTTCCAAATTCAGTGGAGGATTCTCACTAATTCATTTACTTTGGGAGCTGTGTTAGCACAAGTGTAATTCCCATCGTATGACATTCATAGCTTCCTTTTTCAGTGCAACCTAATGTGATAAAATGTGTAATTAACAGTCCTAGTGGCTTTATGTACTTGTATCTACGAAATGCAGTGCCTAAGACATTATTATTTGTTTCCAGTTTATTTTTTATTCTAAGTGTCTTCTGGACTATTAAGGAGGTCACATTTTCCAAATCATTGGCACAAGCATCTCTCAGCTTTGTATCTGAGGGTTTTAGAGACTGTGAATACTGCCTGGAGCAGATTCTTTGCATTAAATAATACAGGAACTTACTGTTCGCTTATATTCAGGCGCTTTCTTCACTTGATGTGGGTGTAGCGTGAGTTTTAACTGAGCTTAGGTGGTTGTCCTTTTTGCCTCTGTGTGTTGCGGGGCCAGGAGGTGGGTGCGTGGGGTGAGGGACAGGTGTAGACAGCACCTGACGCCCTGGGAGTGGACTATATAGAGACCCTCTCCTAGCCATTAGAGGGTCGCTTACACACACGTCCTTTGTTCTCACACTGTGCGCGCCCAGGAGTTTGTGTTCTGACGGGAGGTAAGCACACAGTTCACTTTAGAAAGGACTGGAGGGGCAGCCCCTGGGGTTCAGCCAGCCAGTCAGGAAGTGTTGTCAGGGTCGGGCTACCGGCTCTGTGGGGATGAGAAGCTTTCCGGCTGAAAGTGCTGTTCTTTGCCGATAGAGGATTGCTTGCCCTCTGAAAGCGTTCACCCTGATTTTCATTTGAGCGCGCTTCAAGCTATATGACTTCCTGATGTTCAAGGAAATCTTAAAAAAATGACATTTTTAATTAAAATATGGCTTAAGGACAAAAGACAATGTATCACCTATAGTTTAAAGAGAATAGTACTTTTTTCATTCTGTGAAATAGAACACTTGCCAAAGAAATGTTTTGAAGGAGTATTTTTATTATACAAGTAAAATAGTGTAGAGTGAGTGTTTAGAGGGGATTTTGTTCAAGTAAATGTAGAATGTTTATGCTGGAGGTGTAATGAGATGGGGAGACTCTGCCTGCCACTTGCTTCATGTCCTTCAGACCTCAGCCTGCGGGGGCTGCCATCTGTGAGCGGGTTGGCTTCGGGGTGATTTTGAGGTGCCCCCCCTTTTTTTCTTTTAAGAAATAGGTATGTCTTATACATCTACAAATACTTACAGATGCTTTGTAGATGTTCTAAGGAAGAGAAAATACAGTGTAGTGAGAATCTTGGAGAATTCATGAAGAACTTGACTCAAAAGAACTAAATTTAAGATGATTTGAATGAAAAACTATGGGAAAAGAATTTGATCAACATATTGAAAAATCATGTTGGAATATGTTAGAATAATATCAATGACTGTTTCTAGTTAACTGTAGTTGAGTTCTTTGATGCCATTGTTTGTCCTTTAAATAAAAAGTTTTATTTACAGCAGACAAAAAGCAGCAGTATATAATTGACATTCATTTATTTTATTAAAGAATTCTGACTTGGTAAAAACAATCAGAAAATAGTGTTTTTAATGCTAGTAGTAAAATTTTTTTAATCCATAAAAAGCCTCATTTACTTTTATAGCAATTTGATGACACAGCTGCTTGCTTTATTTGCTGAAAAAGAAAATGTTGGCTCTTAGTGTTTGGTGAAATTGCTTTGTTAAATTATTTTCTAAATTGTTCAACTTTTAACAAATGACATTTGATATAACACTGAAAAGCAATTTCAGCTAATTAAGTAGATCCCTCTATAAACCATTGGAACATTAAGATGACATACTGTTCATTCAAGATTATTTTAATTGGTACAATTATTGTAATTTCCTTGCAATTATGTGTTGAGCTAAAAGCTTTTGTCTCTATCATTTGAGGGGTGTTTTTTTGTTAACATATATTTAGTAAGAAGAAAGGGAGTAAAATTAAAACTGTAGATTAAGATCTTCTGTCGACTTTTTATTATAGTGTTTTACACAGCCACTGAAATATTTTAGTTATAAAACTTTATTTCTCATATTTTCTAGAAAGCATCTTAAGCAATGATAAAGGTTTTGAAAAGATCAATTTTAAGAATTTTCGTGAAGATAATGTTTAAACTTTTTGTTTTGACACTGCTTAAGAAGTCTTACTCAGGATGCTCTGGTCAGAATAGTTTTGTGATAAGGATAATGCCAACCTTTATTTTGATTCTGCGTATTCATTTTTAAAAACGATCAAATGCATTTTGAGAGCCTGAGAATGGCAGCCATCTTTCATTTCATTGAAATAGCCATTTGTTGAACAGGCATTATAGATGCCTTTATATTAAATTCAGTATCTTTATTTATTTACTTATTTATTTATTTTTTTGTTAATCTTCACCTGGAGATATTTTTTCCATTGACTTTTCAGGGAGAGTGGAAGGGAAGGAGGAAGAGGGAGGAGGGGGGGAGAGAGAGAGAGAGAGAGAGAGAAAGAGAGAGAGAATCGGTTGCCTCTCACATACACCAACCAGGGCTGGGAATCGAACCTGCAACCCTTTGGTGCTCAGGCTGGGCTCCAACCACTGAGCAACGCCAGCCAGGAGTTGGGTATTTTAAATTATTCAAGTAGTGCTCTTTCTATACTTGAAGATATTTATACAACAGACCTCACATCATGATATTTCTGCCTGATACTCAGCAGAGTTCTCATAAGCTTAACGTTATCGCTTCTCGGCATCTCACGCCTCTCAGCTCTCACCCGCCACCTCCTGTTCCCTTCGTGTTCCGGGCGATTGTTAGTTGACCCCCAGCCCCTGAATGTGGCCCGATTATGCACGTGTTTGTTTCTCTGCGTGTGAACCTAAAGTATGGATTTGAGCCCTGACTGGTTTGGCTCAGCAGATAGAGCGTCGGGCTGCGGACTCAAGGGTCCCGGGTTCGATTCTGGTCAAGGGCATGCACCTTGGTTGCGGGCACATCCCCAGTAGGAGATGTGCAGGAGGCAGCTGATCGATGTTTCTCTCTCTCATCGGTGTTTCTAACTCTCTATCCCTCTCCCTTCCTCTCTGTAAAAAATCAATAAAATATAAAAAAAAAAGTATGAATTTGAACAGCATGAAACAGTGGACACTAGTTGTTTAGATTTGTGAAAAAGTTCTTTCCTTTTAGTACAAAGTATATCCTTGTACTGACGATTTTTCCCTTTCATTTAGGTTTGAGGTACTGTAAATAGTTACTCCAAACACTGTTCCGCGTGCCGTCGGTGTTTTTGTGTGTAGTTTAGAACGCTAACGCAGTTCTGTCTCCTCAAGGCGGTGAGACTTCCCTGTAGGTGCTCACTCAGCACCATTAAATGGCTGTCTGTGTGGAATTACTGGCTCCATCTTTACTCTGAAAACACACTTGCCTGTAATGTATTTATAATGCAGATACTTTATTCCCGGTTCCATGTTTTATCAATACCTTACCTTTTATAAAGATGGCCTGGTCTTTGCAAAATCCTGAGTGTGTCCTGGAGCTGCAGGAGGTTTTGGGTGGAGAGCGTGACGCACTCAGCTGTGACAGCTCCGCTGGAACCGCTGGCGCATCTGCCGGCTTCAGCCTTCGCGCCGTTATGGGTGCCGAGTGCCTGCCATCCCCTCCCAGGTGGCTTCTCAGTCCCTTGCCTTCCTTTCTGTGGGTAAAATTGGTTTTTAAAATACGTCCTCATTAAACTTGTCATGACGCCATTTTTAGTATCTAATGCTAATGTAGAACAGAGGAAGGGTTTTCAGTGTTCCAAAGTGTGTGTTTCTAACTTCAGCATGGAAAATGCAAGGACATTAATTAAGGCTATTTGAAAGCAGAAGTAGCAAAATCAGTTTCTCTCAAATATATATTTTAATATGTAAAAAGTCATTACCCTTGCAGATTTAGTTTATCTTATAATACATATTTTATAACTTATAATATTTGTAATATTTTATATCTTATAATAATATTTATTATGCATGTTTACATTTTAAAAATAAATCAGATTATTGAAGGATTCAAATTCACCAAAACATGAAATGTGCCTTAGAGAGCAAGTAGAGGCTGATTTCCCCTAAACTGATGTTTTCAGCAGAGGCTTGTGATCTCGGAATTTCAGGCCAAAGTGTGTTTATATTGTTCACAATATGAGAGTAAACAAAAGAAACAAAAATGCCAGCTGATGAAAGGCAAGGTGAGGTGCTGATGTAAAGCCGCGCTGAGTGGCCCAGTAGCAGTATCCACGAAATCCACAAGGCGGCAGTGTTCCACCAGCCACGGCCACGGCCTCATGCATTTGCTCTCCCTTTGGCAGCAGAACGACAGGGAACCCTGAGTTTAATGAGTATTTCCGACTCTCGAGTTCCTGTTCAGACGGTTCCAGGACACTGACACGCACTGGGAACCGTGGCTGCAGGCACGTGGACAGTCACCTGACCCTGTACGCTTTAAAGCTCGATAGGGCCCCTTTCTTCTGAAACCCTTTTCAGTTAACGTTTGGGAAAGGGATGGAGATGGAAAAAGGAGTTTTTATTCATCTTACAAATTTGTGTTTACATTTAAACTTGTTAAGCCCTAAACATTGTAGACGTTGGGTCCCGTACTTACTCGACATTAAGTCTTTAAGGGAACCTGGGTAATGGGGTTTTGCTTTAGCCTGAGATGTTCCCGGGCAGCGTGGTCCGTGCCTCATTCTCCACCCTGTCACTCAGCATTGCATTGCAAACGTTTGCTTTCTCTGTCTGACTAACGTCAAACTCTCCGAGGTTTCTTAAAGGCAACAGCACCACGAACGCCCTTCCGCTTGGCAGCACCTGTGGGGTTACTAGCGCCTCCCCAGCCGCTCTGGAAACTGGGTCTTGCCTCTTGCGCTGGGGCGTCTCTCACGCATAGTGTGAGCCTGGCTGTGCTGCGAGCACTGCTTTCAGGGAGGGGCTCTGAAGCTGGCCTCTCAGCCTCTGCTGGTCTCCCTGTCACCGCAGCCTGCAGCGGTGTGATTGTTCGCATCGCAGCACTTGCCAGAGGTGAGGGCCGCCTCAGGCTGTGGCTCCCCACTGGGGACCTTTTCAAATCAAATCTTTTGCAGAATCCTAACAGATAAAGCAGAATGAATATAAATTAATCGGTGTGAGTTATAACACGTCCTAATAAATTCAGTTAGCGAGAAAAAGGAGCTCTTCTGGAGAGGGTCACGCTGAAGCATGTGTGTGGCTTGCGATCCTCGTGGGCGGGACATCCATCTGTGCCTGGTGGCGTGGCACGGCCTGGTGGCGTGGCACCCAGGAGGCCTGACCCTGAGCGGCAGGTGTGAGCTGCTCTGCTGTGGCCGGTGTTTTCAGTGTGTCCGATCCAGGCGCTGGAAAGATGAATGGGGGTTTGGCTTCACGGGCGAATCACCAGTAAGTCGTGGAGATGCTCCGGTGAATTCCTGGTTGGGGTGCTGGGCCTGCGTCCCCACGGCCGGTCCCTGGCCCCTCATCGTGCGTTTCTCACTGGTTCTCAGTCTGCGCTCTGGCACCTAGGGGGCGGGGCACTAGCTTGTATAATTTTGTGAACGAAAAAGTGTCCGTCTGGATTAAAGAGAAACGATGAAGGACGTTACATACGCACACGAGGATGGAGGAGAACCTTCTCTACGTCTGTTTAAAAAAAAAATAAAAAAAGGCGGTAAAAACCAGGCCACCTGGTAACACGGGTCCACGTGTTAGTCCCCTTCAGTGCCTGTGCCGCTAGCGTGTGACAGGCTATTCTATCACATGCGTGTTTTTATTTTCCGATTACAGTCGACACTCAGTACTGTTTTATATGGTTCCAGGCGCACAGCGCGGTGGTTAGGCAGTTATAAGTTTACAGAATGGCCCCTCCGTGCGTCTAGGGCCCTCCTGGCCCCGCCGTGGCTCCTGTGACGTCACTGACTGTTCCCCAGGCTGCAGTCCACATGCCTCTGGCTGTCGCGGAGCCGGTGAGCGCCGCCAGTGGTTGCTGTGGCAGCTTAGACAGTGCTTTCATGTTGGCTTATTTAACCCTGGGTAGACTGTGTGAACACCTGCGTCAAACACATGACATGCCTGAATCAGAAACGCCCGAAGGCGAGGGCGCTGGTGTGCCCTGTGCGCAGTGCGGGCTGTGGCCCCGGGTCCTGATGCCGCAGCTCATGGGCTCGGGGCGTGGGCAGCAGAGAGGATGAGGCAGCTCTGCCCCACGCGCAGAAGCCTCGCTGCTTCCTCTTTGGCCTGCTCGCCTGGGAGCTGCTCGGCGCCTGAGGCTCCTCCCGCGGCAGGTGTAGCGTCACCGCTTCCTCCGCAGCGGCCGGGCCGCGCCCCGGCTCACGTTCTCCTGCATAACGGGGCCTCGTGGGGTCGCTAGCGAGGGGTCGCTGTGTGGACCCTCGGCGTGATCACAGCTCAGGGGAGGCTGCACAGGCAGAGCTCGGGCATTTCAGACCGTAAATACCCACGCAGGGAAGAAGAAATACCTTAAGAGCCTTTGAGGAAAAGGAAGAGGAAATTTAAAAATTCAAATCATGTACAAAAATGAACTCAAGATGGATCATCATACGCTTTCCCAAGTACAAGGTTTTTTCTATCTAAGAAAGGATCATTGAAGTGAAAATTATTTTAAAAGGCTAGAGCTCACTGGGAGCAACATATTTGCTTGTGTATTTATTGACTCTACAAATGTGTATCGGGCAGGAGTAGAAAGCGGGCATTCGCGCCAGCCCGCAGGTACGATGGCGAGAAACCACGCCTGTCCGGCTTCACCGGCACTACCGGCACCTGCCGTCTGAGGGGCGGTACGCTGCAGCGCTCCCACGAAGGCAGCATCCCCCATGAGGTGTGGTGTGAAGGGCGCGTCTGTGCTGGGAGGGCTGGTCATAGAGGAGCCCCTGGTCCCGGGGGACCCGCGGGTGGCGCCGGGCTGCAGGATGCGCAGGCCACCGGCGTTAGGACGGAGGGCAGCCCGCTCCCGCCTAGAGTTTCTGGTTCTTTCCACAGGTGGTGGTGCGCTTCGCAAGGATGGCGGAGACCATGAGGCCTATGAAAATGGCGCTTCTATGTAGTTTGACAAAAAGTGTTTGCTGTTTTTTAATGAATATTGCTTTTTCCATGCAAGACCGCTGCCTGATACAAAAGTGTTTTCCTATATGAACAACTGTGTAAAAATTCTGCATAATAAGCATTAATTTGCTATTTAAATGCTAGGTGACACGCTGGGTCAGTACTGACTATGTCCATTGGTGAGATGATGCTTGTCCCTCTGTGTCCCTCTATTCCTCTGCGTTTTAAATATGTGCAGTAGTAAGTACATATTTCCTTTACAACAGAAAACAAAGCCTTTCCTAAAACAAAATCTGTGCTGACGTTCTAGTCTGTGTAATTTATTCAGACATTATTCTTTATGTCTTCTCTTTGCAAAGGCAAGACCCATGGTCCCCTGTGCAGGCGCAGGCCTGTGAGCCAGTCGGATTCGCTTTCCCTGTCCTGTGGCTCCAGGCGGCCGGTTAGCTGCCCCTTCACTGTCCCCGGGAGGTGCCATCCGCGTGAGCTGCGCGTTCCTTCCGGCCTGTTTTCCTGGCCCACGGCGTCCTGCCTCTGTCAAAGGCAGCCCCGTCGCACCCACTCGTTTCTTTACTACTTTGTGACTGTGCCGCCTATTTTTTTCTTTAAAAAGATTTTGATGGCAGCAAAGTATGTAACGTGTGATTTATTTTTATGTAGAATTTGCCTTCCTCATGGTGACATTAATGACCTTTTCATTTCTTTCTCGTTTGAAGAATCTCAAAGAACATTCCGACAACTAAGGACGTGGAGCCGCTGCTGGAGATAGACGGGGACATCAGGAACTTCGAAGTGTTCTTGGCTTCGCGGACGCCCGTGCTGGTGGCTCGAGACGTGAAGACCTTCCTGCCCTGCACCGTGAACCTGGACCCCAAGCTGCGGGAGATCATCGCCGGTGGGTGCCCGCGGAACGTTCGTTTTCCTTCTCGGAAGCCCTCAAACGCCCCCATTTTTAGCAGCTCTGTGAGTTCCTCCTGTGCCGTGAAACCTGAAATGCGGAGCCCTGTCTCCGCGGGAGGACAGGGCCCGGCGTGGCCTCCTGGGGCGGCGGGAAGAAAGGGCTGTTGGTTAGCTCCCCACCCAGCCCGCTCCTTGCTTTGGAACCATTCCCGTCCAAGTCGGGCCCCACTGTGGCTGCCGTCACTGGACTGTCCTCTCTCCCCTCTCCGGTCCCTAGTGGCTCTCACCCGGAGGGCACGGAGCCTTCGCCCTGAGCTGGGGACTGGCACGGGGGCAGTGACAGGAAGATGTGGGGATGATTTAAGTCGTCCTGAGGCACCACGGTGCACAGAGGCGCAGACACAGCCTCTGTGGAAACCCACGGCCTTCGTATGACCGGACCCTTGCGGCCCAGCCGAGTTTCCGGAATGATGGGGCGAGAGCCCGGGTCCCCGTTCTGCTCTGGGGCCGAGGGCCGTGTTGTTCAAGGTGGGCGCGCCGTGCGCTTCCCAGCCGGTCTCTGCTGCCCTGTGCCCAGCCCCTGGGTGAGGGTGAGGGCGTCCGTGCCCACGCTGAGCCGTAGGATGCCAGGGCAGCGCAGCCAGCAGCTGGGCGAGGCAGAGGCAATGTGTTCTGGTGGCTTGCGAGAGAGGTCGGGTGGAGCAAGAGCTGCGTGCGGGCAGCGGGGCTCCTCTCGCGGCTGAGCTCCCGGAGTGTCTGCCTCCCCCGCGCAGGCGGAACCGCTTCCTTCCTTTTTTAACCCTCACCCGAGGATATTTGTAGGGAGAGTGGGAGAGAGGGGGGCAGAGAGAAACATCATGTGAGAGACACATGGGTTGGTTGCCTCTTGTACGAGCCCTGACCGGGGCCCAGGCTGGGGAGGAGCCTGCAACCAAGGTACGCGCTCTTGCCTGGCATCGAACCCGGGACCCTTCGGTCCGCAGGCCGACGCTCTGTCCACTGAGCCAGTGAAGGAGCAGGTGCCAGCTGCTCTGACGACTCCTGTCCCACTTTCTCTTCCTTCGGGACCGCTTCGCCTTTCAGATGTCCGCGCCGCCCGAGAGCAGATTAACATCGGAGGCCTGGCGTACCCCCCGCTGCCCTTGCACGAAGCTGCCCCCAGGCCCGCGTCCGGCTACAGCCAGGCCCCGTCCGTCTGCTCCTCGTCCACCTCCTTCAACGGCCCCTTCGCAGGGGGGGTGGTGTCCCCACAGCCGCACAGCAGCTACTACAGCGGGATGACGGGGCCCCAGCACCCCTTCTACAACAGGGTGAGCAGGAGGCGAGTCTCGTCTCAGAACGGGGCCGGGGAAATAGCAGACGTTTTCTGCTGAGGGTGCTGTGATTATTTTGAAGCTGTACGTTGGCTTTAAAATTGGGGAAGAGTTAGGTTTAAATTTAACATATACGATGTTTTAAACTTAGAAGAGGGTTGCGCTGTAATGGGTCTCAGTGTCAGTTGAGTCAGCATTGGGGCGCTCTTGGCTCTTCGCTTTCCCAGCCTCGAAGGGGAGCCCTGAGGCTGCTGCAGGGCCTGCCCCGTGGACTTTTGCATTTTGCGTGTCACTCACGTGGGAGTTGGAACAGTGTCAACGCCAGTTTCTGCAGGAGCTCAGTAACCCTGTGTTCAGTATGTGGTGCAGCGTCTACATGGAGACGCTCATGGGAAACACTGCGTGTGGGGCTCAGACGACTTGGCCGCGTAACAGCGCCACAGCCATTTCCAGTGTTCCACGTCGCCTCGGCACGTGTGGCTGCGACTCAGTGGGAGCACGTGAGTCCTGCGTGGAGAGATGGAAGCACAGTCGAGTGCCCCGGGGTCCGGACCCTGCCAGTTCAGTTCTGTTGTCTCCCTCTTCAGTCTAATTCAAGAAAACACGGGCTAGTCTTCCGAAGCCACGTGCATGGCACACGAAGTCCACGTGAGCCAGGGAGAGGGGGTTAGAGCCAGAATTCCAATTACATTTCCCGTTGGTTAAAAGCGTTGGCCACGTGAGTCGTTAGCCGCACACCCTCGGTGCTCGTACGCCGGCCGCAGCTTCGGCGGCGCGCTCGGCACGCGGAGCAGGGTTACTTCCCAGGCCCCAAAGCAGCCGAGATGGGATTAAAACAGCTCCGTGGGCCAGGAGAGGACACTTGAACTTTTGAGACCATGAAGCTATTTTTTAAAAAATTACCAAACCATCTAGGCTGAGACCTCATGTTCACTGATTTCATGTGAATAACAATCATGTGATACTTTAATAACATTCGATTACTTTTAAAACATTTAAAATTCTCTCATGGTTTTAGGTCTAGTTACTTTTTTTTCTAGTTATTTGAGGTTTTTAATCAGAAAGTAAAAGCAGAATAATTTTCTTAAAATGGCAGGAGTGAAAATGGTTATTTTAGTGTATGAAGCTTGGAGAACTCTAATCTTTGCCTTTAGCCCATAGAATCTGACAGCTCCTGTTAACAAGAAACTTGTTACAAATAAAAGCTGTAGCTACAACTCGCCTGAACAATGGCTTCCCCATTGAAGATACGCCTGCTTACGTAGAGCTAGCGAAACCCCAGGAACTTGGGCTAGCAGGTATTCCTGGGGGCCACGGAGGCTGTTCTCACATCGTCCAGACTATTTTGGTCTTACTTAAGGCTAACCTTTTTTTTTTTTTTTTTTTTTTTTGTAAAGAATAGTTTTCTATTAAGATTCCATTCTGCTTTTTTATAAGAGATTGTGTTAATACTTATAAATCATTTAGAATCAGACACTTGGTAATTAGCCCATAAAATTATTAATATAAAGAGTAACTCCTGTGTCAAATTATAAGGTGTAAAACTTTAGTTGCTTAAAAAAAAAAAAAGCTTTTAGTAAATCAACAGTGTAACAATTTAAGTGATATATCAAGTTTGGGGTTTGGTCTCGGGTAGAATATGAGAAAGGCTTTTTTCTTTTGTTTTGTCACTTGCATTAAAGTCTGTATGTTATTGTTTAGTTTCATTTGATAAGTCTCATTACCTTTGATTTCCGTGATTGTTTATCCCACTCTTTTGTTACGTGTTTTTTCCATAGCCATTCTTTGCCCCATACCTTTACACGCCACGGTATTACCCTGGCGGTTCCCAACATCTCATCTCACGTCCAACAGTAAAATCGAATTTGTCCAGAGATCAGAGCAATGGCCTAGTAAGTATAAAAGGGTAATAACTAAAGTATCAATCTAATGAGAACCATCTAGAACATTAGAGGTGGGTTATTTCCTTTTTGTAGAAAGAGAATGAACTTGTTTTGTGAATAGTTTAGGAAACGTAAGCTATTACTAACATAAAATGCATTTGTTTTCATTCTGTTGACTCTGTGGAAGGGGCCGACGGGCAGCCTCGTGGGTAAATTGAGATGCTGGCAGCCAGCGTGTCTGCTTAGAATGCAGCGTTTGTCACCAAACGTAACACACGGCCTTTACTTCTGCTGATTTCTACTGTCTGTTTAAAGGACATGCACGTGTGGTGTGTGTATATATGTCAGCCCTTTTGTATGACAATCAGGGGACATGGCAAGAACACGGTAAGCTAATGGCAGAAAGTAGGTAGGATAAGGAAATTATTCAAATGAGGTGACCTTTGAATCTAATCCAAAGCAGTACGTTTATGGCTAACATACTAGGTGTTCCTGATGATAAAGCTTGTTAAATAATTTGCATAATGTAAAAAAGGAAGTCCCCGTGAGCATATTGTTATAAATTGGGAGGAAAAGATGGAGGGCTTCGCCTTCTATGTAAACGTGAAATGTCGTCACTGAAGGAAACGGCGGGCCCCCTCCAGGTCTCGGCGTTCTGTGGTTTTAACGCCACGTTCGTTCATCTTCCAGTTTGCCCCTCACACGCTCTGTTCTTGTTGCCAGGAGGTTATCAAGGAGGACGCTGCGGAGGGGCTCGCCTCGCCCACCGCCCCCCCGAGGGTAATGCGTGTGTGGGGCGTGGCACCGCCTCGCTCGGCCCGGCACTAACAGCACCGCGTGTGGCAGCAGCTGCTGCTAATGACCGTGCGCGTGGAGTGACTGAGCGGCCGCTGTGCCCGTGTCCCGCTCCCCTGGCCGAGCCGGGAGGGTAGTGGCGGTGGGAGGAAGGGGCCTCCGGGGGCGGAGCTCCGTTCCCTCTGCTGGCTCTCGAGCCTCCACGTGGAGAATGTTTTTGAAAATAGTCCGCACCCCCGAGGCTGCAGAAAGCCATGCTGAGCAAGAGGGCGAGGCCACGCGAGTCTTCATGGCTCATCCCGCCTGGGTGTCCGCACTGTGGGCGCCACGTGTACACGGAGCCCTGCTCTCAACCGGCACTTATCAGAGCAGCTTCCAGACGCCCACAGAGCTGCTCAGCTGGGGTGGCCCCTGCCCCCATTACAGGCTCCAAACCAACACAGGCAAACAGACGACTAGGAAGTCGCTGTGTGTCTTTATCATTCAAGGCCTCATACTTACAAAAACACGTTTACTGCATGAGCCTTAGACTCTGCCTTCACTTCGATTTATGTGCAGAACGGTGTGCCATGTAGAGAAGATCCCGTCAGCCTGAGGCTGCCTGACGGTCCATAGTGCCGGACTTACTGGGATCAAGTGCCATCCGAGCTCATCCATAATGTTTCAGCCTGAAACATGCATTTGGGAAGACAGTAGCTTTTTACTTCACTTTTGAGTTAACGTTAGTGAGAGAGAGAAAGGGAACCGCTTTGGTGTTTTCCTTGAGGGGTTGATGATTCTTTTAAAATCATTGACATGTAGCTGAAGCGTCTGCGTGACTTCAGTTACCCGGGAGTGACAGGCACAGGAGCTGGAGGAGCCTGTGGCGTGGTCACTGCACGTTGCAAGAATGGCTGTCAGTTCAGCCAGGGCCTTTAGTGCGAGGACCACGCATGCAGGGCCGTTCTCTGGGCAAAGCCCTCCCCGACCCGATGGAAGTCAGACACCGCGGCCTCCGGTGGCCGTGCAGCCCTGCAGACAAGCTGTCCCGAGCTGACGATGGGCACAGAGGCGGAGTTAGTGCCTGCAGGTCCTCAGGGCCGGGGAGGCGGCAGTGAGTGCGCTGAGCTCCGGGGAAGTTCCTGAGCTCGTCCAGAAAGGGGCCCGGGACAGGGCCGGGCGTCCCGGCGGGCGGGGCCTGTGTGCAGTGATACCCGCTGTCTGCTGCTCTCTCACGTGGAAGGTCCCTTTGTGACCCGCTTAGTGAATAACAGATACTCACCGAGCTTCTTTGCTTTTAAGACATTAACAATGACAGTAGCTGTAGATGTGTTTTGTAGCCTAGTCGCAGTAGACACTCGTTCAAAGCCGACCTAAAAGCAGTGGTGGAAATGGGGGAGGGGGGCTGCCGTCTGCGGACTGTCAGCCGGCACCGCTGAGCCAGTGCAGACGCAGTGGACCTGAGAGGTTTAGCCTCGTGGCCCCGGGTCTCCGGTCCTGGGGGGACCCTGTGCCTCTGACGGAGCCCCTCTGCTCGCTCAGCTGTCCCTCAGGCGGATCACTGGGTGACGAGAGCTGCTGGCGGATGCGTCAGGAGCGCCACAGTTTTTGACAGGTTGTCATTACAGACACAGAGCGATGAGTTTACAACAGACACAGGAGAGCGGACGGTCAAGAGCTAGCCAGCCGCAGCCTGTGCAGCAGAGGCGGCCCCGAGGCGACCCGCCGCCCGACGAGCTCATGAGCTGGCCAGCAGGCCCTCAGGCGGACCGTGGTTCTCAGCCAGGGTCACTGTCGTGGGCGTATCTGGTGAGGCCACCACGGGCTTGTCAGGTGAACTGCAGACAGGCCAGGGTCCGCAGCGGTGGGGTGTATGTACAGTCCTCTGTGCTAGCTCCCCCCCTTTCATAGGAGAGCAAACATTTGCCGGATCTGATGGCCGGGAAGTAACCCTGGACCAAGACACTCCGGGTCGCAGCCGGGAGGGCCCGTTTCTCCCCCCGAGGAAGCAGAGGAGCCCTTTCGGCCTGAGACCTTTATTAAAAACCAGACTCTGGGTTATAAAACCAGGAAAGCTAGGAGCCTGGCCCCCGGGACCCCTTTCCTCTCGCGGGTCCTCGGAACTCGTGCCCACGGCCAGTCCTGCCCGCGGTCCGAGGACCACCCGGGACTCTGTGAGGCTCAGCCCAGCAGTGCAGGCGGGGAGCGCCCGGGGGAGGGGAGCCCACGCGGCCCGACCCCCATGCCAGCTGCCTTCGCTGCTCCTGCGGCTCTGGGCCTGTCGGCCGTGGTCAGGTCTGTAATGGAACAGGCGCTGCCGGTGAGCGCAGGACAGACCACGCAGCCTCTCAGATGCTCAGCCTCCTCGCCCGGCCACGCACACTGGCCTCCCGGGTCCCCTGTGAGCATCACGCAGCCTCGGGTGCTTTATACTTAGTCGTCGTTATTCCGCCCACAGCGAAAGCTTTGATGGAGCGTTCTAGACGCGGGCACTAAAGCCGCTGGTTAAACCCTGGCTCTGCCCGCTCAGTGGGCTCGGCCTGTGTCTGTTGATCTCTGGCCGCAGAGGTGTCAGGCACTGCCTCCTTAGAGTCTGGAGGCTCCGTGGCATCTGTGTGCTCCACGTGCTCTAACACGTGGGAGCGTCCCCGGGCTCTTCTCGGTGCTCCCGTCAGCCCCGCCCGCCGGGGAGGTGGCCTCCATGGCTCTGCCTCCCCCCGGCTCCTCGGGCACGTGCTGGGGTGTCTCAGGGCTGCTGTGCGAGGACTGTGGTCGGTTTTACTCAGGTCCCTGCTTTGCGGGCAGCTGGGTCTCCCGGAGCAGCCTTTCCCATGGGAAGGCTGACAGCATTTCTAGACCCTGCCTGTCATCCTCCTCGCTTCAGCGTCGCGGGCACTGCGGCCGGGCCCCTGCCAGGCCCTCCTCTCGGGGCAGGAAGCAGCCCTGAGCCGGGTGGAGGCCGCAGGGAGCGGCTCTCAGGGCCACGAGTCCCTCTTCCAGCCTCCGCCAGCTTCCTCGGGGTCACCCCTCCACCTCGTTGAGAGGCATGGGGGTAACCGGTCAGCTTGAGGGACAGCACAGTGTGGGTGTGAGGAACTCCAGAATGGCCAGTGCATCCCTTCGTTAATAAAGGGGTCAGAAACGAAGGCCTTGGTCTTCATGAACAGTCCAATCAGTGCCCAGGTGAAAAGGAAAAAAGATGGGCCTCAGCCGTCGACGGCTTTGTTTCCACCACTGGCTTAGACCTGGCGACGTGTCGAGCGAATCATGTCCCAATGAAGTTGTCTCTCGTTGCCAGGCGCAGCCTTGGACGGGACAGTCGCAGATGCCGTGGGTAAGGCGGGCGCAGCGCCTCGGCTGACGTGACGGATAGTGTCACGGGAGCGGGCGGGTGTCGTAGTGACATCGTGGAAATGTTAGAGCGCAGTTAAAGTAAAAAATAACAAAGTCACACTCATGGCAGGTGCTCGTTACTTCTGTGTTTTAAAACATTGTCCGTAAAATGCGGTGCTGGGCCCGTCTGCCGCTTCGACCTAATTATTGTCCCTCACTGTGCGAGAGGAAGTGACGTTTTCCAGCCATGGGAGCTGACGATCGCTTTCTCCGGTTTGGGTCTTTGTGGTGAACTGGCTCCCTCAGCACCGCTCTGCTAGTTTCTCTAGTCTCACAGATACACGTAGTCACTTTGTAAAGAGCCTCCTTATCATAAGGTCAACGCTAAGCCAAAAACAAGACGTGAGAGGGAGACTTCGCTGCGCCTGTTGCCATCACCTGGGAGTCGGGCTGTCAGCCCTGGATTATTGTGACCATTTAAGAACCTTGATCATCAACCTCATCGGTACAGAAAAGTAGCTCATGGCAGTGTGTCTGATTTGAATGAGAGTTTTCAAACCTCCATCATTGCCGTGGCCAGTGTGGTTCAGTGAGTTGAGCATTGTCCAGTGCACCAGAGGCCACAGGTTCGTTTCCTGGTCAGGGCACATGCCCAGGCTGTGGGCTCGATCCCCAGAAGGGGCGTGCAGGAGGCAGCCAGTTGATGTTCCTCTCTCACCGATGTTTCTCTCTCAAATCAATAAAAACATATTTTAAGAAAACAACAACATAGCAACAACCTCTCCATCACCAGAATAGTTCTGCTAGTCATAGTTGGCAAGGTTTCACCCTCCGATGGCGATGGCCTGAGCTGCGAGGCTATTAAGGCCTTTCTTTTTAAATGGTATCTTTTTAGTGCATTATGTGCTTCATGCCTAACGAAACAAAACACAAATTTGAAAAGTATGGTTTTGAACATTAACTATAGTGTAGCTAGAGAATATTTCATTTTATGACGTGATCATGTGAATTCCAAGTATTTAGATCTTGTTAAATTGGTCTGCAATAAATCATTGCATTTTTAAATCAGAATATTTAACAATTAACTTTAAACTTGGAGGTAGTAGGATTATTGACTTTTCATAACAAATTTGATTTACCTGGTTTTTTTGTTGAATGTATGGCCAAAGATTTCTTCTTTTCATAGAATATAAATTCCAATGAGAGTGCAATTTAAAAGCTGCCAAGCCGTGTTAATGAAACGGAACTGCGGGGGTGGGTGGGGGTGGGTGCTCCTCGCTGGTGCTGCGTAGAGGAGGGTTGAGAGTGAGGGGGGGAGAGGACAGGGTGCTGCCTGTGTTTATTATATTATATATACTTGTGTCCGGTGTTTTGCTTTACACTCGTGTCCTTCTTTCTGTTTTATTCCTCCCCTGAAGCCGTGTGACTGTGGGTTTAACACGCAGAGACAGGTACCGACACTTTCAGTGAGACCTTCCTTCTCCTTCGCCCGCTAGACGCAGCCTGGCGCCTCCCTGCTGGGCTGTGCGCTCGCCGGGCCGCTCCGCTGGGCCTCTTACTAACCAGCTAGCTGCTCGCAGCCTCTGCACGCTGGTTAAGAACTCTTAACCAAGCCTCTCCGCTGCCTCCCCTTCACCGGGCCGTGTCCGTGTAGCCCTGACTTACACGCTGACGCTCTAGTGCTCACCAAGGTGATTTCAGTCTGTTTTGTTAACATTACTTTGGCCTGGAGACATCTCAGTTTGTGTGCACTTTGACATTTGTACTTAACAGTTTAAACAAACTAACATCGTTTGCATTCAATTTTTTGTGTTAGAAAATGTTTTAAAAAGAAATTGTGACGTGTGCCGAAATGATCTGTTCTTGACTTGGCGATTTTCAAGTAAGACGCACGATAAACTCTAAGTGTTGCCGTTCTGTGTCCCAGTAACCGACCAGCTTCTTACTGCGTGTTTCCCTGATGAGTCGTTGCGTTTGCTTTTTCCACGCTTGTTCTCTTCCTCCCTCCTTTATGAGATTCACTGGGCACCAAACTCATTTCATTACCCGTGAGCCTGACAGGAAAGGCCTGCAGGGATGCCTCCTCCTCCTCGATTCTTGAAGCGCGCTGTGCGGCTTCACTCACTGACAGCTTGCCTCGCTCCCGATCACGCGGCTGACAGATAACTGCGTCAGACCAGAGCTTTGAGGGAGCTACAGGGCAACTAATTATCACCAAAGAAGCAAAAAACATACACTAGAGAAAGGAAAGTCTCTTCAACAAATGGTGTCTTGGCTACTGTCCGTAATGCTGCAGTGAACAGAGGGGCACATAGAACTTTAAAAATCAGGGTATTCGGCTGTTTCAGGTAGATGCCCTGAGGGGGTGTGGGTCACAGGTAGATGCCCAGAGGGGGTGTGGGTCACAGGTAGATGCCCAGAGGGGGTGTGGGTCACAGGCAGATGCCCCGAGGGGGTGTGGGTCACAGGTAGATGCCCCGAGGGGGTATGGGTCCCACGGCAGTTCTGCTCTTACTTCTTGGAGGAGCCCCTGTGCTGGTTCCCCTCCCGCCCCAGCAGTGGGAGGGTCCTTTGCTCCTCGTCCTCCCAGCACCTTCCTCTTCTCCCTTGTTGCCAACAGCGTTCTAACACGTGGCGGGGGCCTCTGTGCTCTCCTGTGCGTTTCCCTCATGACTAGTGGTGTCGGGCATGCTTTCATATGTCCGTTGGCCATCTGTGTGTCTTCCTTGGAGAAGTATCTATGTAGTCCTCTGCCAGTGGCCGGATTTCACGGTTGTCACTGAGTTGTCTGAGCTCTTGATGTAGTTTGGGCATTCGCCCCTATTGGACTTGTTTGTTAATATCTCCTACCCTTGGTGGGTTGGCTTTTTGTTTTGTTGATGTTTTTTGTTTTTTGCTGTGCGGATGCTTTTAAGTTTGAACTAGTCCCATTCATTTATTTCCTTTTACTTCCCTTGCCTCTGGGGTCAAGTTCACAAAAGCCTCTCTCAGACCAAGGTCCATAAGTGTAGTGCCTATGTTTTTTTTATGTGTTTTATTGTTTCAGGTCTTATCGTTAAGTCTTTGATCTATTTTGTGGATCTTGAGAGTATCATGCGGAGTGAAATGTGTCAGATGGAAAAAGACAAGAACCTATGGTTTTACTCACGCGGATGTCACACAACACAAGCTAGTGAACAGACACAGAGAGAAGGGTGGTCACCTGAGGGGAGGGGCTGGGAGGCGAGAGGCAGGGGTACAGGCCTGTGGCGAGGGGCCCGGGCTACGGGCCGAGCACGCAGGAGAGTAGACGATGTCTTACTATCCAGTCACGGGTCTGGGATTGTATGCTGCTGCTAACCAATGGACCGCAGCGAGTGATAAACTTACAGAAGGCACTTCAGTCCCCGCAGAGGTGGGCTCCCACTGAGGGCGGGCGTGTGCCTCCAGGCTGAGGGGCTGTCTAGAGAGGTGAAGATGAAATGACCAAAACAGTAGTGTTTTGCTGTTAGTATTTTTAAAGCAGTTGAACCTCAGGCTGCACACTGTGGCATGTTTTCAGTGTAAACTTAATAAACTCTGAATAGACGTGCTTGGTGCAGTGTCTTCCAAGTCATCAGTGTCCAGACGTTGACGGGCCTGCCTCCGGCCTGTCGCCTCGCGGAGATGGCCTGGCTCTGCACCACGTGGTCTGGTCCCCCGGCTGCACGGGGAGTGGCGAGGTGCTGTGCGCTGTGTGTGCAGCTTTACTCGTCAGTTCGTAACAGAGTGAGGCTGGGCGCTGAGGTTAGATAGTGCTCACCGGCTGGGCGCTGATGCAGGGAGTGGCTGTGTCCCACCGGCCTTTGCCCTGGTGGTGCTGGAGGAGGCAGGGGAGGTGTCGGCTTCCCTCCTAGGAGCCGGCGCGTCTCCCTGTAAGGGGAGGCCGAAGGCGAGGCGGACAGGTCGTTCGGAACATTAGCCTCCATGCCGGTGGGCTTGCCTTCTCTCTGTGGTGCTTATGGTTTCTTTAAACGCGTCAGAACGAGAGCAGGGAAGGTCGAAGCTGTAAGACCCATAGCTGGGGTTCTGGTCCAATGTACCACGAACCAGCTGTTCATCCCGTGACCCCGGGCCCCAGCGCCCACGCCTGTAACACGGAGGCTCCGGTGTCGTTGACCCCAGGCAGATCCTCTGTAGCCTGTTGCACATGCAGAAAATGTTCTAAGTAAATTGCAGAATGACTGTTATTTTGACTTTCCTTTGAAAGGAGACAGTGTTTTAATGGGTTGTGTCTACTTTCACGTGTGTAAAGAGGAACCTGCCTTATAGCTACCTGGTATCGAACAGCTTCTTGGGGGAAGTTTAGTCCCCGGGGACGGCCAGGATCTGAAACTACTGAGCCCGTCTGAGAGACGGGGAGGCCCTGGCTACCTCTGAAACCACCCCCGGGCTTCCCTGGGTTGTATCTGGGCTCAGTCACTGCCCCCGAGTTCCCTTAGCCCCCGCCTGCTGCAGGGCGGCCTGGGCTGGTTTGCAGGACGCTCCCCTTGGGGTGTGAGCAGGCGTGTCTGCGCTGTAAACTGTAAAGGCTGCTCGCGGGGAAGGGCGGCCACGGGTCCTGCCCCAGCCACACGCCCTCCCAGCTCGTCCTGCATTGAAAACACTCGACTCCATCGGGTGCTTCAGTGTAGCCTCCTGGGCCTTCCGTTCACACGTGTTCTCCGCGCTGTTCCAGGGGCCGGGCCCCGCCCCCGGCGCAGGGTCGCTGAGCGCCATGACCGTGGACGCCGTGTGCGAGCGGCTGAAGCAGATCGAGGGGCTGGAGCCGAGCATGCTGCCCCAGTACTGCGCCACCATCCGCAAGGTGAGGCCCCTGCCCGCCCGGGGAGAGGACGTGGGGGGCACGGACCTGGGCACCAGCGCTGCCCACGCAGCCTCCGCCCGGTGCCCTCAGTGCCTCGTCCCTCAGGGTCTGGGTGGTGGGAGGCGGGAGCTGCGTGGCAGGGTCACTTTCAATGGCCGATCGAGGGCGAAAGGGTCGCCTTTGGCTGCACAGTAGCTCCTGCTTCTCACGCAGCCCGGAACCCGGGAGGCCTGTGCTGCCACATGTCCCTTCTGCATGTTTATTTGTGACTTAACAGATAGAAAGGCAGCCATGCTCTCGGTTCCCCCGAATTCGCATTTCCACATCCTGCAGGACTTGGGGTCCTGTCCCGTTGGACAGAGCTCCCGGGTGTGGGTTTGCCAGGCCGGCACAGGAGGAGGCTCCTCTCCCGCAGCTTGTCCGTGCTCTGCGGTTCCCGGGGCTCCGCTTTTCCACCGCGAGAAGCGGTCAGAGGCCCGGCCAGCCTCAGGTGTGCGGCTCGGGAGCCCGTCCTGCAGGGGCTGAGCAACGCGGTGCTGCTGGGCCCCTCTCCTCCGCCCAGCGAAGGGCCAGCCTGTGAGCCGGCCGTGGGCTGGTCCGGGCTGTGGCAGCGGCGGCAGGCCCGGCCAGGGCCCGGCTGGTGTCCTCTCAGGCGGGGCAGCTCGGGACCCTGCGTGCTGGCATGCTCCCACGGGCGGGGCTTTCTCCCCGCTCAGCGCATACCCACAGGCCTGGCTCTCGAACCCCCCCCCCCCCCCCCCCCCCCCCCCGGCAGCTGCTGGTCCCGGCCCCGCTGCCGTCCTCCCGAGGCGGGGCCCCGGCCGCAGCCCCAGCTCCCGTGCACCTTCCCCGCCTGGTTCACTTGGAGACCGGGCAGCGTCAGTTCCAGATGTGGGCCTCCCGCCATTCCCGCCCGTGGGTGGGTCAGGGCTGTGGGGAGTCAGACCTGCCTGTGAAGGGACGGTCCGTCCTTTCCCACGTGGGCGGCTGGAGCTGTGTCTGCGCCGCCTGCTGTGGCTGAGAAAGGTGTGAGGGGGCCTCGTGGCTCTTTCTTTGCACAGAGCTCGGGCGGCACTGCCCGGCCGTGTCCCTCCTGCAGCTGCTGTGCACGCTGGGGTGTGACAGGTTGGAGCAGAGATGAGCTTTGAGGCTGCTCCTGGCGGGAGGTGGTGTGGACAGAGCTAGGGGGCCGCCCCTGGCCTGTCCCCGAAGAGGTGGTTTTGCTTGAGAGTGAGGAGGTGCGGCTGTGGTGTTCGCCCCCCCTCCCCCCCCTCCCTCAGTCAGGTGGCCACGCCTCCTGGTCCCCGGGCCTGTCTGTGCTGCGCGTGGGTGCGCTAACCCCCCAGTGACCCGGAGCCCGTCACACCTCTTCCCTCCGTCCTTGTCCTCAGGCCAACATCAATGGGCGCGTGCTGGCGCAGTGCAACATGGACGAGCTGAAGAAGGAGATGAACATGAATTTCGGAGACTGGCATCTCTTTAGAAGCACAGTAAGATACTTGATATTCACTGCACGTCATCAAGCAAGTGCCAGGGAGTGTGGTCTCGACTAGACAGATACATCCGCGGCTGCTTTAAAAGCAGGAAAATGCGTTTGGCCTGTCGGCCCACCTGTGTGCTCCCTGAGGCAGGACACAGCACGCTGTGGCGTGGCCCCTGGCCTTTCCCGGGAACCTGGGAGAGGCCCCTCCTGCTCCCACTTCCCCTTGGCCTGCCTCTGGTCAGGTCTGAAGCCTCAGGCCGTGGCCTCGGGTCTGTCCTGGTCAGGCCTGCGGCCCTCACAGCGAGAGTCCTTATGTCTCTTCAGTGTCTGATCGCCCTGGGCCATTCGCTCCTCACTCCCAGCGTCCCCTGGGCCACCTGCCCCGCCTGCCTCGGCCAGGACCCCGTCCAGCAGGCTCAGCCCTGACCCCCCTGCTCCTGAGGCTGGACTGGGCCCCACGGTCCCTGGGGTCCGGCCCCCCTCCCCCCCGTCCCGCCCCGCAGTGGTTCCTGATCACAGCTGCTTTCTCTCCGGGAGCAGCGCCCAGCCCGGCTCACACGCCCCGGCTGCCTTTGGTTTGGCTCTTCAGTTAACCTGAAACTAAAATAGTCACATCACATACATAGGATCCGACCTTCCTCCTTTCAGTGTTCAAGTAACGGTGAGCGGGTACGGACACGCTCCCTGGAAATCCACTTACTGGCAGGAAGTGTGCTTCTCATTTCCAGAATAACTTTATGTTTTATTTTTAACGTAATTTTTGATGCTTCTAACCTGTGCCTTGTCAGTGCGGATGTGAGTGGTACTTTTCCTGTGAGGGCTCTGGACACAGACTGTGGCTCTCAGTGGCCTTGTCCTTGTAGGTGCTGGACATGAGGAGCGCGGAGCACCAGGGGGCCGCGGAGGACCTCCGCCTCCTCAGCGAGAGCAACAGCGGCCCCGCGCCCCAGGGGGAGGCAGCGCGGAGGCCCCCCCACGAGCTGCCGCACACCGAGCTCTCGGGCCAGGCCCCCTACACCCTCAACTTCAGCTTCGAGGAGCTGAACACGCTGGGCCTGGACGAGGGCGCCCCGCGGCCCAGCAACCTCAGCTGGCAGGTAGGGTCACTGTTCTTCACGGGACCGAGGGGGCGGACGGGACGGCCAGGTCAGCTCATCGGCTCTGCGGGGGCAGGAGGTCGTCACTCAGAAGCCACTCCCGACCCGAGGGAGGAGGGCAGGGAAAGCTCGGGGGCCGGGACCCGTGAGAGCCGCGCAGACAGGAAGCCGGGCTGGTGAGGGCGCCGGATGGGCTGCTGGGCTTCCGGGTCAGAGAGCTCAGGCTCCGCCTGCGTCCTTGATTCTTCACGTCTCTCCTCTTCTCCATCTGCTCTTTCTGCTCCTCGTTTACTAGCTTCTCTGGGATCAGCAGCAAGTCTGACCCTGACACTTACATGGGAGCCCTGGCCTGTGTGGCTCAGTTGGTTGGGTGCCGTCCTGTGGACCGAGAGGTCATGGGTTCAGTTCCCGGTCAGGGCACAGGCCCGGGTTGTGGCCTCGGTCCCCAGTGGGGGTCGCGCAGGAGGCAGCTGATCCATGATTCTCCCTCATCATGGATGTTGCTCTCTCCCTCTCCCTTCCTCTCTCTGAAATCAATGAAAGCATGTTCTTGAGTGAGGATTTAAAAAAATAGAATAGACAAATAAACAGCCCTTCACACTGGGAGCCGATCTTCTAAAAATATTTTATTTCTCTGTTTACAAGACCTGCCTGTTGGCTCACGGCTCCCCTTCCTGCCGAGGCGGCTCCGTGTTTACCTCTCCCGCCTCCAAGCTCTAGGCCCTTTAAAGGCTTTGTTCTTTTTCTTTTCTTTTCTTTTTTGCGTTTTGAGTATATTTTCTTACTCTGAATTGAAATTTGACAGAAACATTATATCTTACAAGTTGAGAAAGGTGTTTTGTATTTTTAAACATACATTGAAGATATGAGTATTTTGTTTTTGAGATATATCTTTAATCTTCTTTCTCTTTTCAAAGGGGAATTTTTACATTTTATCAATGAAGTTGGCTTTTTCAAAATAAAAGTTAAAAATTTGAAGTTTTGAAAACAAGTGTTAAGATTATTTGTTAACACAACCTTTAATTTATACTTTAAAATATAAAACTAATTTTATTAAAATTTATATCAAGTTTTCTATTAACAGGAAAATTATCCATAGTTCACAGCTTTTGTTAAACTATCATGCAGAATTCTTTTTAAAAGTGAGGACTTTAAAATTCTTAGTGTACATATATATTTCCTAAGCTGGTGTTTACTATGCCCCTCCCTTTTTTAAAGGTGGAGAGTTTTGTGGTTTTTAAAATATATATTTTTTTATTAATTTCAGAGAGGAAGGGGGAGGGAGAGAGAGAATCATGGATCAGCTGCCTCCTGCTCGCCTCATGTGTCCCGACTGGGAATCGAACCCTGACCTCCTGGTTCATAGGTCGCCGCTCACCCCTGAGTCATGCCTGGGCTGCCCCGCCCCCCTGTTTGCTTACCTGAATCTGAATGGTATTTTTCTCTGTCTTCACAGTCGCAGACGCGCAGAACCCCCAGTCTCTCGAGCCTCAACTCCCAGGACTCCAGCATTGAGATCTCCAAGCTGACGGACAAGGTGCAGGCCGAGTACCGAGACGCCTATAGGGAGTACATTGCGCAGATGTCGCAGTTAGAAGGGGGGCCGGGCTCCACGGCCGTCAGTGGCAGGTCCTCCCCCCACAGCACATGCTACCTGGGGCCCAGCTCCTCGGGGGGCTCCATCCACTCCGCCCTGGAGCCGGAGAAGAGCAAGGACGGCGACCCGAAGCCGGAGGACGGGAGGAAGCCGTTCCTGCTGAAGAGGGCTGACGTGCTCGATTACTCCTCGTCCGGGGTCTCCACCAACGACGCCTCCCCCCTGGACCCCATCACCGAAGAGGACGAGAAGTCCGACCAGTCCGCCAGCAAGCTCCTCCCGGGCAGGAAGTCCTCAGAGAGGCCCAGTCTTTTCCCGACGGACCTGAAGCTCAAGGGCGGGGGCCTGCGCTACCAGAAGCTGCCCAGCGACGAGGACGAGTCTGGCCCGGAAGAGTCCGACCACACGCCCCTGCTCCGTGACGACAAGGACAGGAAGGCCGAGGCCCGGGCGGAGAGGGCGCCCCGGTCCCCGGAGCGCAGCGCCGAGCCCATCCGCACCTTCATCAAGGCCAAGGAGTACCTGTCGGACGCCCTGCTCGACAAGAAGGACTCGTCCGACTCGGGCGTGCGCTCCAGCGAGAGCTCCCCCAACCACTCGCTGCACAATGAGGCGGGCGACGCCCGGCTGGAGAAGGCCAACCTCATCGAGCTGGAGGAGGACGGCCCGGGCCGGCGGGGGCTGCCGCGCAGCCTGAGCGGCCTGCCGGACCCCGGCCTCGCCCGCATGTCCATCTGCTCCGAGGACAAGCAGAGCCCGTCCGAGTGCAGCCTGATGGCCAGCAGCCCCGAGGAGGGCTGGCCCGCCGGCCCAAAGGCCTTCAACCTCAACCGCACGCCCAGCACCGTGACCCTCAACAACAACAGCGCCCCGGCCGAGAGGGAGGGGCCCCGGGACATGGCCCCGGTCCTCCTGCGGCCCAGCCCCAGCTCCACGGCCCTGCAGAACGAAAACCTGAGGAGCCTGGCGCCCAAGCGGGGCCCGCGGGCGAGCTACGCGCGGCTCTCCAAGGAGTCCTCCGAGCTCCTGGCCGTGGCCGCCGCCGACAGCACCGGCTTCGGGGAGGAGAGGGAAAGCATCCTTTAGGGAGCCCCGCAGGATGGCGCCACGAGGTGCGACAGCTGACCGGGTTGTGGGGCGAGGGCACCCTCCCATTCGCATCCGTGACGCGGGCCGTGGGGGCAGGACACGCTCCGCACCACAGGAGGGGCCGCTGCCGGGCAGCCTGCCTCGTGGCCTTAGTAATAGAAGCTTTCGGACTCACTGTTGTTGTAACTTCCACTGGCCCGAACCCACAAAACTGTCTGCGACGATCTGGGTATGAAGATGGGCCGGAGTCTTACCTGCACGCAAAGGCTGCCACTTGCAGAGAAAACGGCCCCCTCGGCCGCCCCCGTAGAACATCCGCTCCCAGGTGTGGGAGGGGAGCCCGCTGTCAGGTGAACCAGAGCCCAGTTTGCTTTTAGGGGGAAAGATAAGGATTGACGGGCACGGAGGAGCCCAGAGACTGTCGGCAGATGGAGAGCTAGCGCAGCGACACCACCTCAGTAGTCAGGTTGCTTATCAAAGGGTTTTAACTTTATGTGGAAAATACATGATAAAAGGGCTTCAGAACTGATGACAAAGTGGGTCCAGAGCCCCAAAGTAGCGCCTCGGGATCTGCGGTGTGGCCTGTAGGGCGGGCGTAACCTCCCCACAACCTGGACGCTCTTCTCTCCAGTCTCAGACCGGCTCCCAGCACGGCCACCGGCCCGGGACCCTCCAGCCTGCCCTGTAACTTCAAATTGTGAGCCCAGTGTCCCTCTGTGCCCGGGACCCTCCAGCCTGCCCTGTAACTTCAAATTGTGAGCCCAGTGTCCCTCTGTGCCCGGGACCCTCCTGTCTGCCCTGTAACTTCAAATTGTGAGCCCAGTGTCCCTCTGTGCCCGGGACCCTCCTGTCTGCCCTGTAACTTCAAATTGTGAGCCCAGTATCCCTCTGCCCCTAGCAGTGAGGAGGAATCTGACTTCTTCTCGGGGGAGTAGGAGCTCAGCAGTGCTCATGGCTGAGAGCAGGAGGAAGTGGTGCGTCAGGGCAGTGACATTTAGGCAGAACTCACCCTGGCCTCCCGTTCCAGGGCGGAGCTGAGAAACTTCATCTTCTAAATCCACATGTTAATTCTGGGGGATCCTAAGAAGGAAGAATGTTTTAAAAAGTTGAACAACATACAAAGCAAGGGTGACAAGAGGACAAAGCTGTGTGGCTGTGGCCGGGCACAGCTGTGGGCAGAGAAGGAGGGCATTGGAGGTTCCATGGCGGGAGCCCCCCCCCCACCCCCACCCCCGCCCACGCGGGGTCTCTAACCCCCGTAGATGAGTTCCTGCAGGTCGCTGGTTGCGAGATGTTAGTTGTGACTGTAGGTGTGTGAGTACCTGGATCTAGTGTCACACTGTGATGGTCTCTCTCCACGACCTTCACTCATGTGCCGAATAAGTTCTTAGCTTGACAAGTCATTGCACGACTAGTTGCTGTTTGGGGTCTCACTGCCCGAGGCTCAAGTGTCTAACTTTTTCTCACGTGTTTCTGTTGCTCGACCCCAGCAGTGTTGTAGCCAGTCGGGAGCACGAGCGCGTTAGGGTTTCTGTGTGTGTGAGCCGCAGGGCTGCGTAGTCAGTGGTTACTTCAGAGGCAAAGCTGTTCCCCTCCGACGAGCAGGCGCGCTCAGTGGCGCTGTCGGGGTGATGCTGCTTGTGATGCTCCCACTGTGGTATTCGGTGCACGAGAAACTAGAAAAATAAACAATATCGCATGCTAGTGTGGCTCCGAGTGTTTATTCACTGCGGGGGTGACGGGCTCGTTTTGTGTTGGTTTTTTCATGTGTCTGGAGTCTGTTAGGGGCGTCCAGGCTCAGGGCGCAGCCAGGCGCCGGCAGCTCTGAGCCACCCACAGTCCCCGGGAGAGCGCGGCTCTCGGTCCGTCCAGTGCATGCGGAGCTCTCGGCAGCGGTGCCGGCGGCAGCTCTGTGCCCTGCACGTCTGTTGCTGCAAGAAGTAGGTTGTCCAGATCCTGGGGGCTAGCGATTATTGGATGAACTACCTGGAGAAGTTTGCTTCTCCATCTGTTACAGAAATCAACAAACCTGAGCCACACCATCATCCCATTTATCTGCGAGTCGGTGTGTCTGTGTGTCTGTGTGTGTGTGTGTCTGTGTGTGTGTGTCTGTGTGTGTGTGTCTGTATGTGTGTGTCTGTGTGTGTGTGTGTGTGTGTGTGTGTGTATAACGTGTAGCTCGGCCTGGTTCTCACGTGCAGAGCTGTGTTCGGCGGGTGGAACACTCTAGGGAAGAGCACCGGTGCCCTGACCTCATAGCCCTTTGTCCCGCAGCGTCAGCCCTACATGTTCAATAAACCACTTGACCTTCGCTGGAAGCCAGACGGTCTGTTCACGTGGTACCGGTTGAGCCAGGCCCTTCCCTGGGGCGTGTGGGGCGGCACCGGGAGGGACCAGGAGGGACGGAAGCCGCTGTGGCTCTCGCCCGACGCCTTCCCGGAGCCGCGCGTCCAGGACCACTCAGAGCCGAGCTCGTCTCCGTCACAAGGGGACGTGTCTGTGGTGTCTGTCACCTGAGCACGTGGTGGTGAGAGCAACGGCATTGCCTGGCCTGGTACGTTTAGAACCTTGTTTGCTGGAGTCCTCACCTCACTAGTACACGGGCCGCTCGTTAGACTGCATGGTACAGGGCTGCAGTCAGATCTATTTTAATCGTCTTTTTCTTGCAAACACCATTAGAAAATAGTTTTTGAATGAAATTAAGTATTTTCTTTTGGCTAAAAGGCTAAATTTAAATAGTTTTAAGACTACATAATTTTTGGTAATACCAGGCATTCTCAGCCTATTTAGAAGTTTCCCCGAGGTGAAACCCCCCGAATTCCTGGATAACTGACTGAATCTATGTCACTACCGGGAACAGCCAGGACGAGGGGGCGCTGTTCCGTCACCGCAGGGATCGTGGCTTTGAGGGAATAAGCCCGGGACTGGGACCCTGCAATCAGATCCCCTCCTGGCGAAGGCTCCGGTCCCTCCTGCCCCAGGCTCAGGCTGCGGGCAGCTGGGCAGAGGCATGCTCGCTCTGGGTGGGGGCGGGTGGCTAAACGAAATGGCTGCCTCTTTAATTCCCGGGTGTGGTGTCCCCCGCTCTTCCCTACCTCGTCCCTGTCAGGAGGGACCATCATCACACAAATGAATGGAAAACTAGAAAGAAATTCTATGTGACGTGGGCGGCGCTGGATGGACGTCTGATGGCTCGTCACTTCCGGAAGGTTGAGAGCCCTTGGCTGAGGCCGCTGAACGGAGGGGGAACGTAAATCCTGTGTAACTGACCGCTCTCCTGCCTAGGCACACCGGCCGCCCCCGGGAGACGCCGCTGCAGAGGGTCCGGTGTGAGCGCAGGTAGGCGGGCACCCCTCACAGCACGCGGAAGCCGGCGTTGGAAACAGCCGTCGCCACGAGAGAGTTTACATTCGCGCCATTTTAATAGAGTTACGCCAGAAACACCTAGAGCAGCGGTTCTCAACCTGTGGGCCGCGACGCCTTTGGCGGTCGAACGACCCTTTCAAGGGGTCGCCTAAGACCATCCTGCATATCAGATATTTACATGACGATTCGTAACAGTAGCAACATGACAGTTATGAAGTAGCAACGAGAATAATTGTATGGTTGGGTCACAACATGAGGAACTGCATTTAAAGGGCCAGAAGGTTGAGAACCACTGGTCTAGAGTAATGGCTAGAAATCCACCCGACACCACAAAGCCTAAGCTGTGCAGGGAGCATTCCTAGCGAAGCCCAGCTCCGCGGGGCCTGGTTAACTCAGCTCAGCTCCGCGGGGCCTGGTTAACTCAGCTCAGCTCCGCGGGGCCCGGTTAACTCGGCTCGGCTGCCCGGGGCCCGGTTAACTCGGCTCGGCTCCGCGGGGCCCGGTTAACTCGGCTCGGCTCCGCGGGGCCCGGTTAGCTCGGCTCGGCTCCGCGGGGCCCGGTTAGCTCGGCTCGGCTCCGCGGGGCCCGGTTAGCTCGGCTCGGCTCCGCAGGGCCCGGTTAGCTCGGCTCGGCTCCGCGGGGCCCGGTTAGCTCGGCTCGGCTCCGCGGGGCCCGGTTAGCTCGGCTCGGCTCCGCGGGGCCCGGTTAGCTCGGCTCGGCTCCGCGGGGCCCGGTTAGCTCGGCTCGGCTCCGCGGGGCCCGGTTAGCTCGGCTCGGCTCCGCGGGGCCCGGTTAGCTCGGCTCGGCTCCGCGGGGCCCGGTTAGCTCGGCTCGGCTCCCCGGGGCCCGGTTAGCTCGGCTCGGCTCCGCGGGGCCCGGTTAGCTCGGCTCGGCTCCGCGGGGCCCGGTTAGCTCGGCTCGGCTCCCCGGGGCCTGGTTAGCTCGGCTCGGCTGCCCGGGGCCTGGTTAGCTCGGCTCGGCTGCCCGGGGCCTGGGTGGCCAGCAGCCTCATGGCCAGGGCATCCTGCGCTTGGCACTGGGAGCACAGCACTAGCTGAATGGGGCCTGGGTGGCAGCAGGCTGAGCCCCATCCTGAATTCCCAGTCACTGTTACGTGAAGAGAGGGACGAATTCACAAGAATAAAGGGTCAGTAGAGAAGGAAGAGCAACTATTTGCAGACTAATAGTAGGATGATTCTTTAAAAACCCTTTTTTTTAATGTTTTTGTTCGTTTCAGAGAGAGGAAGGGAGAGAGAGAGAAACATCATTGATGAGAGAGAATCATGAATCGGCTGCCTCCTGCACGCCCCACACTGGGGATCGAGTCTGCAAACTGGTCATGTGCCCCGACCGGGAATCGAACCTCAACCTGGTTCACGGGCCGGTGCTCAACCACTGAGCCACCCGGTCAGGGCTATTAGGACTTAGTTTTTCCTGGATCTTAACAAAGCGTGAAATAATATCAAACACTGATCAGAACGTGAATAAGTGAGATTTTACTTTAAGAAAGAATGTAGAGCTCCATGCTCCATGTTCGAGGGAAGACGCTGTTGAAATCACTGAGACCCCTTTGCTTACTGCCATTTTCCAGCTGTAACCGCCTTCATGCTCATTTACCTCATTTCCTTTCAAGGCAACAGGCTCTGGATCTCAGCGCCTGCCCGCAGCCGGGCCCTCCGACCGCGGCTGAGCTTCCGACACTGGCTCCTCGCCAGACGCCGGGGAGGAGAAGAGACTGCGCGCCAGTCCGCGGCCTGCTGCCGGCGGCGGGAGAAGGGGGCCGCACGCCCCACCGGCTCTTGGTTCTCAGTTGTTAAATTTGAGTTGTTTTTGGTGAAATGTTCCTTTTAGAGAATTTTAGGTAGAAGCCCACACGTAGAGCGAAAAGCATGTGAGTAAGTCCCTGGCCTGAGATTCCCTCTCCTAGAGGGGCTGCTGGGGCGAATGTTGAATGCAACGTTGGGGGGTTATTGTCAGAATTTCAGTCCTGGCTCTTGCATCGCCTAAGCTGTGTTTCTGAGAATGTGCTAGTATAGGCTGCCTGTTGTTATACTTACTGCAAATTAAACCGTTTTTACTTTTAAAGAAACCACTTTCTTTCTGAGTTTTGCTTTCCTTCCCCTCGCTTGCACCTGGGTTCTCTTCACTCTGTGTCTTTAGTTGCTACGTTGTCCTGCATCCCTCCTGTTTACATGAGACCTGCCTGGAGCAGTGCAGGGCGGGAGCGACTAGGCCGGCCCTGGTGAGGGCCGGCGGGCTCTCGGGCAGCACCTGTCAAGGGCGGGGACGCAGGCACAGTGGCCCACCCCAGGGCCCGCCCCAAACCGCACTGACCATTGGCTCACCTGGGCGCGCGGTCCTCCCGGCCGGCCCGGCCCCGCCTCCTCACCCTTGGCCTGTCTGGCCCCTGAAGGCTTTTCTGTTGTGACCCTGGGCATCTTCCCGGACATTACCTGTGTGCAGGCTCCAGAGGGGCCCCCCCAGCCCCTGGGGCAGGCGGGCATCGAGGTGCGAGGCTGCGTGCCCCGCAGGACGGCTGGGAAACTGGTCACTTCACTGCTGGGGTCCAACCCCAGCAGGTCCAGGGGTCCCCAAAGGTGTGGATGGAGTCGGCGAAGAAGGAACGACACAGAGGCAGCATTCAGTTGATCAGCAGCCTAGCCAGGATCTCTAGCCAGGATCTCCAGCCAAGTTCTGGTCTGGATATCCAGCCAAGTTCTGTCACCAGGTTCTAGTCAGGTTCTCTTGCCATGTTCTATCCAGGTTCTGTAGCCAGGCTCTGTCTCTAGGTTCTTCAGCCAGGTTCTCTCGCTAGGTTCTGTCTCTAGGTTCTGAGGCCAGTTTCTGTCCAGGATCTTTTGCCATGTCCTCTCCAGCGAAGTTCTTCTGTCTCTAGGTTCTGTGTAGGTTCTGTGTCTAGGTTCTGTGTCTAGGTTTCTGTTCTGTTGTCTTGTTACATCTGTATTTATACCAGTTGATTCCAATCCTATCAATCTCTATTCCAAAGGTTAGGGTGTTTCTTATCTCCATTCCAGGGAGTAAAGATTATGTAGCTTAAGCATGATTGTTCGTAGTTAAAGTGATTAATTACCCGCCTGGCACTTAGTTAAGGGGTTTTATTCCCTCCCTAACTTCAGGGGAAAATCCTTACCTGGGGAGACAACCTTTCTCAGAGAGGTGATCTTGGTTAAAACACATAGTGCCAAGAAGGTGAGCAAACATATTAAGAACAGTATGCCATATATGCCAGGTCCCTTGAAACAGCAAGGATGGACCGGCTCCCGACACTTCACATCCTCTGCTTGGCCCCGTTTGGACATGCCCGGCCCATAAAGGA